TAAACAAAATCTTGTCCTGATTACGTTATCACTAAAGTACTGAATTTTGTCAAAAAAAGTTTTTTTATATTCTCTACTTTTTTGCAAAACAATACACTTGGGTGTCTATATTGCCGCATGATATCCGGCTTGCTTCTAAGACAGGGTTGCTATACAAAAATTTAATTTTGTTTTTCCTGATTTCCAGACACAATTTTGACTTTTTTCCATGACTCTAGAGAATATTCTGATTCACTCTAAAAATTATTAACTACGCAAAAAAAATGTTCTATTACATTTATTTACAAATTTCTTCAAAAGTCAAATTATTCGCAAACATCAATAACTTCTTTTTTAAATAAACATTTAATCATTACTATTTTTCCGTAGGAATTAAAACTCTTCAAAACATTCAAATTCAAACCTTTTCTTAAATTCAACAACTTATAAGAATATTTGTTATAAAACATGAAGATATCGATAACTCCGAGTCGAAGACTCGGAGTGATCGATTTCTTCATGTTTTATAATAATTAAAGATGACCAAGTGATAAAATCATTAATTTATATTATAAGAATATTGTTACTGTAACTTCTTTAAAATTATTTTCATAATACTTTTTAGAATTTTTAACTAAAATTCTTCTTTAAATCAATTATTCTAATTAATTTTTGAAAAAGTTCTTATTTGAGAATTTTGAAAACTATTTGTTGTTTACAATTCAATTTTACCAAATTACGATTATTTAGAAATTCTTCAATTAACAATGTTTTAGAAAATAAAAACATTAAATAATTTTAAAAGAAATAGAATTAAAATTTAAAAAAAAATAGTTGTACAGAATTTGAAACCTTTTGAAAATTTAATTATTTTTAAAAATTCACGCTATAATGCTTTTAATATTCAATTATTATCTAAAATTTTAACTGAAATTCACTTTTAAATCAATTTTTTTAAAGAATGATACGAGAATTCAATTATTTAAATACTACAAACATAAATAATTTATTGAATAATTGAAAGTTTCACAAAATTGAATTCTTATAAAGAATTTTAAGAAGAAATTTTTAAATAATTGAATTCTTTCCACGAATTTTCATAAAATGCGATGAATTTTATTATTTATACAAATAACTGAGGTCCTGACAAGAATTTTAATATTTATAAAAATAATTGAATTCTTGCAAAGAATAATTGTATTATTTGATGAAATTATTTAAAATTGTATTAATATTAATAATAATTGAAATTCTGCGATAAGTTTGATTGTTTATGAAAAAATTATTAAATTCTTTTGAAGAATTTTATTATTTATAACAAATAACTGAGGTCCTGACAAGAATTTCAATACTTATAAAAATAATAATTGAATTCTTGCGAAAAAATTAAACAAAATTTTTAAGAATAATTGCATTTTTCTAAGAATTCATTAAAAATTGTATAAATAATAATTAAAATTCTGTGATGAGTTTTATTGGTTATGAAAATAATTGAATTCTTTTGAAGAATTTTACTAAAATCCTTAAAAATAATTGAATTCCTGAATAAAATTTTCTTTATTTGTAAAAATAATTGAATTCCTGAATAGAATTTTCTTTATTTGTACAAATAATTGAATTCCTAAGAATATTTTATTATTTATGAAAATAATAGAATTCTTGTGAAGAATTTTATTAGAATTGTATAAAATATATGAATTATTCTGATAAATTTTACATTTGTAAAAATAATTGAATTCTCATAAAGAATTTTAGCAAAAAATTCTAAAATAGATCAATTCTTTGGAAGAATTTTGATAAAACTTTTGTAGAATAATTACATTTTTCAAGGAATTCAATTAAAATTTGTATTAAAAATAATTAAAATTCTACAATAAGTTTTATTATTTATGAAAATAATTGAATTTCTCTAAAAAGAATTTTATTATTTATGAAAATGAAATTATCTGAATCCCTGTAAAAAATTTTATTATTTATGAAAACAATAATTGAATTACTGCCAAAGAATTTTAAAAAAATTTGAAAATAATTGAATTCCTAAAAAGCATTTTATTATTTATGAAAATAATTGAACTCTTGCCAACGATTTTATTAGAATTTTAAAAAATAATTGAATTCCTAAGCAGAAATTTATTACTTTTAAAAATAATTAAATTTAAACATTCGTACATAATTAAATTCTTGTAATAAATATTTTCATTTATATGAAAATAATTATTGAATTCAATTATGCTCTATTCAATTTTGCAAAGAATTTTATTAAAGTGCCTCAAAATAATTGAATTTTCGGGAATAATTTTGTTATTTATCTTTAATAACTGAATTCTTTCGAAGAATTATTTATGAAAATAATTGAATATAGTTGTTAAGAATTTTATTAAAATTTTAAGAATAATTATATTTTTTGTGCAATTCCTGTAAAATTGTATTAAAAAATAATTGAAATTCTGAGATTTGTTTAATTATTTAAGAAAATAATTTAATCTCTCTAAAAAATTTATTATTCATGAAAATAATTGAATTACTGCGAAAAAATTTATAAAAAATTTGTAAATAATTGAATTCCAGTAAAATTTTTATTATTTATGAAAATAATTGAATCTTACCGAATGATTTTATCAAAATTGTATTTTAAATAATTGATTCCTTTTAGAAAATTTTATTAAAATAGTAGATATTAAAAAGTCATTGATTTGAGAAAAATTTTTGAAAATAATTAAAATTTTGCAAAGAATTTTATTAAATTTTTTGAAAAAAAATTGCATTTTGGAGAAGAATTTTATTATTTATAAAAATAATTAAAATTTTGACGAGAATTTTTAAAAAATTTTTGAACATAATTGAATTTTTACGAAGAATTTTATTACTTTTGAAAATAATTGAATTTCTGCAATCGTTTCTAACTTCTCAAAAATTCAATGTTTTTTTAGTGTAGAGTAAAATTATTCATTAAATAATTTCTAAATAATAATTTTATGATAGTTCTTCAAGAATTAAGTTATTTATAAAGAAATTATTGTCAGAAATAGAAAAATTTAAAGGTTTTGTATTAGAATTCGTGGTAAATTCATAGTTTATGAGGCAAACAAAAAGGACACCAAAATTCAGAATTTTCTCTTGAATTTTAAAAATTTAATTTTTTCAGTACTTTTAATAAAAATTCCTGACTTTTTCCTAAATTTCCCTGACCAATTGTATTTTTCCTGACTTTTCCCTAATTTTCCTGACTAATTCTACTTTCCCCGACTTTTCCCAGAATTCCCTGACCTCTCGCAACCTTATTGTTGAGTCAGAATTCCTGAAATTTTCACAGAAAATAAAAAGTATTTTTTTTGAATCGAAATATTGAAAAAACATTTCTATTTGGCCTTAAGAATGTGTCCACCAAAAAACAGAAAAAAAAAATTATTTTTTATAAAAGTTATTGCAAAATTAATTTTTTTGCAACTTTTTGAACAAAATTTTATTTCTCCTAAATGAATGAACCGATTTAAATGAACCAAGCGGGTATATCAAGGAAATAAAATATACTTTCGTTTAGAATTAGAAAATTTTTAAAAAGTTTATTTTTTAATAATTATTCAATAAATTTTTTATAAACAATTAATTTTTTTTAATGTTCTACGCCTTTTAAAAATTAGAAAAAAATATTAACATACACTTAAAACTATAAGAAATCAAAATCCGTTGAGAAAATTTTGGAGCGACAATTATTTTAAAAGTTATAAACAAATTATATTGGCGCGGTGTTGTGCATCAACGCTGAACTTAGTTTTTGATCATTTTCATCAATTTTTATGGTTATATAATTGAATAAAAATGTTAATTTGACAGTGTTTTGTTCATTTCGTAGTTAAAAATAATGTTTTAATTCTGAAAATCATCAAAATCGCATCTCCGTTCAATATAATTTGTTTATAACTTTTAAAATAATTTTCGCTCCAAAATTTTCTCAACGGATTTTGATTTCTTATAGTTTTAAGTGTATGTTAATATTTTTTTCAAATTTTTAAAAGGCGTAGAACATTAAAAAAAATTAATTGTTTATAAAAAATTTATTAAATAATTATTAAAAAATAAACTTTTTAAAAATTTTCTAATTCTAAACGAAAGTATATTTTATCCCCTTGATATTCCCGCTTGGTTCATTTAAATCGGTTCATTCATTAAGGAGAAATAAAATTTTGTTTAAAAAGTTGCAAAAAAATTAATTTTGCAATAACTTTTATAAAAAATAATTTTTTTTTCTGTTTTTTGGTGGACACATTCTTAAGGCCAAATAGAAATGTTTTTTCAACATTTCGATTTAAAAAAAATACTTTTTATTTTCTGTGAAAATTTCACGAATTCTGACCCTGTTGTAAAAATCAAGTTTCAGTATAAGGAATAAGATGATAAGGAAAAATTACGAATATTTAGTAAATTTGAATATTGTGCGCAGTACAAGGATCTCGAGAAACAATTTTCATTAATGCACCCATTAACGAGAAAAAGTAGAGATAGGGTTTTCGCAAGAAACCTGCTGCGTTAATAAATAAGAAACGAACCTTGGGCGCTTGAGTTTATAAACCATGTGGAAATATACCTTCTGGCAAAGAGAAGGCAAATTTCTTATTACAGAATGGAGGGTAAAAAAAAGGGAAAGAGAGAGAGAGAGTTCCTTTGTTTCGAGGAAATTATGTCTCCAATTTAAAAAAGGTCATTACAATAAACTGAAGAACAAGTCGTGGATTCAAATGTCTTGTTTTCAATTTAAAAATGTGTTTTCCAGCAGTTATATACAGCGATACGCAAAAAGATCTGTCTTCCACGAGACGAATGCATAATATTATACGAAACTTTTAATAGTTCTATATTCAGAAGTAATTTTATACGTCAACAAGAAAACTTAAAATTTAGAATAAAAATTTTTTCCCTCACAAGTGTACTTTATAAAAAAAAAACTAAACAATTATATGACTTTAACAGCTCAAATGTCGGTGTTAGTTAAATGGAATTTTTTCGTCTTTGGTAAATTTCAGCGCACAGAGAGCAGTAGAGAGACACGTTTATCTAGGAGAATGGGAAAAAAGCCGCTGAATTATTCCAGCATGTCCGGATACGAGTGTTTCTCTTTCTGGAAACGCCGCGCGAAATCCTATCGTCCGCGTCGCAGCTGCACTTCGAATCCTGAACGTTTAAAGTCCAGAATCGGCAGAAAACGTTTTCTCTCAGAACAGTAATGTGTCTGTAACATTTTTCCTTGACGCTTTTTATAATTTTATTAGTGTTACTTTCTTACTTTGTCACTTTTCCTTTAAAAAAAATAAAAATAAAAGCTGTAAAACTTTCTCTTCTTTTCCGCTCGACTTTACAAAAAGGAGATAATGAAAATAATTTGATCGTGAAATCTCGTTTAAAATCTTGAACAAATTTAAACAAAACGAACACAATTTTATTCAGATCTACCTCTATTAAATTTCATTTTCATGATTTTCATATAATAATACACGAAGGTTAATATGATTTTTCTAAAAATATCCGACTTATAAATGTAAAGTAGTTGTAAATAGCAAACTGTATTAAAATTAAACGCGCTCCGAGACAAAAAAAGAAGCAAATCACTTTAAGATAATTTCAGGGTTGCCACAAAAATTTTATTTTATTTTTCCCTGACTTTTCCCTGATTTCCAAACAAAAATTTTCACTTTTTCCCTGACCCTAAAGAATATTCTGATTCACTCTAAAAAATATTAAATACTTAAAAAAAATGTTCTATTACATTTATTTACAAATTTCTTCAAAAGTCAAATTATTCGCAAACATCAATAACTTCTTTTTTAAAATAAATATTTAACCATTATTTTTCAGTATAGGAATTAAGATCAAAAAAATTTTAAATTCAAACCTTTTGAAATTAAACAATTAAATTAAAATTATTTTCATCATTTTAATTCAATTAATATTTTCTACAATTTTTAACTAAAATTCTTCTTTAAATCAATTATTTTTTAATAATTTTTGAAAAAGTTCTTCTTTGCGAATTTTGAAATCCATTTGTTTACAATTCAATTTTTGCGAAATTTCGATAACTTGGAATTTTTTTAATTAAATATATGAAATATATGAAAATTTCAGATGTTCAAAGTTTTTATTTTGAAAGCTTTACAAAATTCAATTATTTCTAAAAATTGCAATTATTAGCAACTTCCCAAAAACTCAATTATCATCTAAAACTTTAACTGAAATTAATTTTTAAATAAATTTTTATTTTATTCTACGAAAATTCAATTATTTAAATACAAACAGATAATTTACTGAATAATTGAATATTTCTTAAAATTGATTTTTAAAAGTTGAATTGATAAACAAAATTTTATCAATAATTGAATTCCATCGATGAATTCTAAGAAAATGCGATGAGTTTTATTATTTATACAAATAACTCAAGTCCAGATAAGAATTTTAATATTTATAATAATAATTGAACTCTTGCGAAGAATTTAAATATAATTTTTCGAAGAATTCGATTAAAATTATATTAAAAATAATTCAACTTCTGAAATGAGTTTTATTATTTATGAAAATAATTGAATTATTGCGAATAATTTTATAATAAGTTTTAGAAAATTGATTTTTTTCAAAAAAAATTTTTTTATTTTTTAATAATTGAATTCTTGTGAAATTTTTATTATTTTAGAAAATAATTGAATATTCGTGTAGAATTTTGTCAAAATGTTTTTAAAATTTAAACAATTGAATTCTTTTGTGAAATTTTATTAAAATAATAGATATTGAAAATCATTGAATTGAGAAAAATGTTTAAAATAATTGAAATTTTTACACTTTATTAAAATTTATTAAAATAATTGAATTTCGGAGAAGAATTTTATTATTTATAAAGATAATTGAAATTTTGACCAGAACTTTTTGAAAATTTTTCAAAATAATTGAATTTCGGAGAAGAATTTAATTATTTCTGAAGATAATTGAAATTTTGGGAAGAACTTCATTAAAATTTTTTAAAATAATTGAATTTCAGAAAAGAATTATATTATTTACAAAGATAATTGAAATTTTGGCCAGAATTTTTTGAAAAATATTGAATTTCGGAGAAGAATTTTATTATTTATAAAGATAATTGAAACTTTGACCATAATTTTTTCAAAATGTTTGAAAATAATTGAAATTTTGCATCGAATTTTATTGAAATTTTTGACAATAATTGAATTTTATTACTTTTGAAAATAATTGAATTCTTGTGATGAATATTGTTATTTATGAAAATAATTGACTTCCTTCGAATGATATTATTATTTATGAAAATAATTAAATCCTTCAATGGAATGTTAAAATTAATAAAAATAATTGAATTATTGTGAAGAATTTAATGCCAAATTTTAAAACATTTGGTATTTTCGATAAAAAAATTATACAAATTCTATTTTAAATTTCTATTTTAAATTTTTATTTTTTTGAAAAATAATTGAATATTCGTGTAGAATTTCATCAAAATTTTTGTTTAATAATTGAATTCTTTTGGTAAATTTTATTAAAATAGTAGAATAGTGAAAATCATTAAATTAAGAAAAATTTTTCAAAATACTTGAAATTTGGTCATGAATTAAATTAAAATTTTTTAAAAATAATTGAATTTCATTACTTTTGAAAATAATTAAATTCTTATGATGAATACTATTATTTATGAAAATAATTGAATTTGGCAATGAATTTTATTCAAATCCCTAAAAATAATTGAATTTTGTCGAAGAATTTTGCTATTCATTTATAAAAATAATTTAAATGTTTACGACAATTTTTTTTTAATTTTTTGAAAATAATTGAATTTCTGGGATGAATACTGTTATTTATTAAAATAATTGAATTTTTGCAATGAATTTTATTAAAATTCTGGAATATTTTTTTTTTTATTTTGGTTGTTTTCACCTTGATTAGAAATTGTGATTATTCGGAACTTCTTTAATTAAATATATATATTAAAAACCAGAAAATTCAAATAATTTCAAAAAATTTGAATTAAAATTTTTCAACAAATATATTGTACAGAAAATTTGTACAGAATTAAATTAATTTTTACTGTTTTTAACTAAAATTCTTCTCTAAAGCACAAATACGTTTAACAACAGTTCGTTGAACATGAGACATTTCAAATAAATATCTGTAAATACTGTAGGAAAGATTATATTTTCTTTTCTATAGATAACTCACTATATATTCCCTGCGGCTAGAAAAAAATTATATTTATAAAAATAACAGCGATTCGTTGAGTATATCAAGTTATTAAAGAAATGACTCAAAAATAGCTTTGCGAAAATGAATTTGGCTCGATAAACAATTGATAACTTCACATTGATAAGGCACCAAACATAAATAAATTGTTCTTTGACAGTGACAAATCTTTGTCGAGTTAGCAAATTTTTCGCTTACCAGACACGAAATGATCAGCGCGCGATAGCAAATTACTTTGCTGTCGTAGAAAGAACTTTTTTCTCCACTTTTTAACAAACCGAGTTTTGTTCCACTTGCCAAAAGATCTCCAATATTTAAAATCATCCGAACGAACCAAGAATTTTCATTCGCCACAACGAGTTTGATTAAAATTTTTCACATTATTTAACTATTAATTACATATTCATATTCACTAATTAGATGTAAAGACATATTTTGGGAGCGGTACAATTTGCAACATTAATAAAATCCTACACTTTTAGAAAATTTCTAAAAATTATATGAGGAATGTTTAGAAATACTTTTCAAACTTTTCTTTTTCTTTTGATTTCTTATAATATTTTTAAGAAAAAATTTCTCGTTCATTTCAACCATTTCAACGTTCGAAACTTGTCGATTTAAAGTATAAAAAAATTCAGAGTTTTTCAAAAATATTTTCTACAGCAAAACGAGTTTTTTTTTAGTAATTCTAAAAATTAGACGTTTTTCCAGTTCTTTTGATAAAGTTCCCTGACAGTTCCCTAAATTTAGAGCAAACCTTTTGATTGTATGATTTTCTTTTTATATTATATTCTAAAACTATAAATGTAATTTCAAACTTGTATAGATGACAGAGAATTTTATTTTTATGTGGAAGCTGAGAAGAATTATTAAATTATGAAATAATCTTTATATAGCGAATGTTTTATAAATGTGACACGCTTCGATCATAGATACCCAAAACAGCAATTCATTTTAAGGTTATGTTTCAATTATTTTTACCTTATATTAAGAGTTTCTATTTCATTTTCATTTATTTTCATTTTCATTATATTTCATTTATCTTAAACAATAGTAGTTTATATTAAGAATTATTCTCCTTTGATATATTTCCGATCAAAATTCATTCCATTCATAATAAATATAAACTAAAATATTTTCTCCGCAGCGCTTCAGAAATATTAAAATAACTAAAAGGGTTGCCACAAAAATTTAATTTTGTTTTTCCCTGACTTTTCCCTGATTTTCAGACAAAATTTTTACTACTCCTCGGACCCTAAATAATATTTTGATTTACTCTAAAAATTATTAGATACTCAAAAAAATGTTCTAATTCTTTTATTTACAATATAATCAACTCGTCTGACCGAAACATACTTTTACTACTGATTTATTCATTCAGCGTTACCACAAAAATTTTATTTTATTTTTCCCTGACATTTCCATGATTTCCTGACAGAATTTTTATTTTTTTCCTGATTTTCAAAAATATTATCATTCATTCTAAAAATGATTAGATATTAAAAAAAAATATTTTCTATTACATTTATTTACGAATTTCTTTAATTGTGAAATTATTCAAAAAAAACTTCGAATTTTCCCAGAATTTTTCACGAAACAATTTTCAATTCAACAAATATAATTTTTAATTAAATATTTAATCATTATTATCCTGTGAAGAATTTTATTATTTATGATAATGATTGAATTCTTGCAACAAATATTATTACATTTTTTTTTTAAATAATTGAATTATTTTAAGAAATATTATTAAAATAGAAGATTTTGAAAATATTTAAATTTCAAAATTCAATTATTTCTCAAAATTCACTCTGTAATGCATTTAATAACCAATTACTATCTAAAATTTGAACTGAAATTCATATTGAAATCAATTTTCATTAAAAAAATTCTACTAGAATTCAATTATTTAAATACCTAGAGAAAAAAATTTATTGAAATTGAATTCTTTTGAAGTATTTTAATAAAATTTTTAAGAATAATAATTACATTTTTAGAGAAATTCGATTAAAATTGTATTATTTATTATTTTTAAAAATAATTGAAATCCTACAATGAGTTTTACTATTTATGAAAATAATTGAATTCCTGAAAAGAATTTTATTATAATTCATTCTCACTGAACTTTTATTATTTATGAAAATAATAGAATTACTACGAAAAAATTTATAAAAAAATTTGTAAATAATAATTGAATTCCTGTGAAATATTTACTATTTATAACAAATTATCAATTTCTATTAGAAAATTCAAAGAAAATTTAATTACTTAAATACAAAAATGAATAATTTATTGAATAATTGACTGTTTCTTAAAATATTTAAAAAAAATAAAATATAAAATTTTGCGTTGAGTTTTATTATTTATGAAAATAATTGAATTATTGCCAAAAAAACATAAAAAATTCGTAAATAATTGAAATACTGTGAAATTTTTTTTATTTATTAAAATAATCACATGTTTGCGTAAAATTTTATTAATTTTTTTTTTTAAATAATTAAATTCATTTGGAAAATTTTATTAAAATAATAGATATTGAAAATCATTGAATTGAGAAAAATTTTTAAAAATAATTGAAATTTTGACAAGTACTTTATCAAAATTTTTGAAATTAATTGAATTTCTGCGAAGAATCTTATTATTTATAAAGATAATTGAATTTATGACCAGAATTTTTTGAAAATATTTGAAATTTGAGAGAAGAATTTTCTTAATTATAAAGATAATTGAATTTTTGGCAAGAACCTTATTAAAATTTTTTTAAATAATTGAATTTCAGAGAAGAATTTTATTATTTATAACGATAATAAAAATTTGACTAAAATTCTTTAAAAATTTTTGAAATTAATCTAATTTTGGAGAAGAATTTTATTATTTATAAAGATAATTGAATTTTTGACCAGAATTTTAAAAAAAAATTTGAACATAATTGAATTTCTGAGAAGATTTTTATTATTTTTGAAAATAATCGAATTTCTGCAATCGTTTGTAACTTCTCCAAAATTCAATTTTTTTTAAAGTGTTTTCAACTAAAATTCTTCAATAAATCAATTATTTTTAATAGTTTTACAATATTTCTTCAAGAATTAAATTGTTGTAAAATTATTTTTAACATTTTTAAAGCTTTCTGACACAAAAATTTTGAATTTTCTTATGAATTCTAAAAATTAAATTTTTCCCAGTATTTTTAATAAAATTTCCTGATATTTTTCCTAATTTCCCATGATCCCCAAATTTTGAACGTTCAAATGATGGAAATAATTTTTACTAAAGATATTTTTATAAATTACTAATTACAAAAAAGTTTTAAAACTGAAATTGTACTTTTAGAAAGTCAGTAATTAATTTTTTGGATAGTGACGCAAAATAATTGTTATAAAAATTTAATTTGTAGAAGAAATAAATAAATTTCAAATTTGATTCATTTGAACGTTCAGAACTTTAGGATCTTAATTTCCCTGACTTTTCCCTGAATTTCTGTAAATTCTTTCGATACATTAATACAACCATCCATTTGCCATCTTTGTATATAAATATAATTCTTCAGTTTAATAATTCAGTATCAGTTTACAAATAATCAATTAATTTAAAATTCATCAATTGGTTCCGAAATATTCCGAAAACAATTGCCATGGATACCTACTAATTAACACAGTTAGTGTTTTCTAGTGATTAAACTCGTTGAGATGAACTAATCCCTAGTAAACAAATCCTCTTATTTAAATGAGGCAAATACACAACTACCAAATAGTCAAATTCCAGTAAATCAGATAGCTTGTATAGATATAAGTGTTCGTGTTTGTGTGTGTAAGTGTATGGGGGTGAAATCAATTGCTCGAGTGTTTCAACTCGGGAAGGAATTGAATTCCTTCTTTCATGGGCAATTTCTCGAGGAAATAGATATCTGGCGTTAAATTAAAAAATGTTAGATATGTGTGTGTGGAGGAGGATGCGTGTGGAAGATCCACAAATCCCACAACAAGTTGAAACCATGTAACGTCCGGAATAGATATATATCGAGGCATATACTCACCAAGGCGGTAATCGGTGCAAGCACGATCCAGCTGAGCCGCCAATAGCTGTACAGTAAACATCCGAAGTTCATTTGCATTTCCGTGATGTTATGTAGAAATTTGTTGCATCCGTAGAACCACCACGACGATGCAAGTACAACCTCCTCTCTCTCACTCACTCTCTCTCTGCAAAACCGATCAATAGCATGGCCCAGGAAGCTGTGTTCCAGTCCATCAGAGTGAACAGGTAAATTCCCCCATCGAAAACCATAGGTATTGCCAGTAACCAAGCACGTTGCGTTGCGCGCATATTCCCAAAATCACATAAGTCTCGTATTTTCATCGCATCCATATAGGAGAATCCGGAACGGACAGGAACGTCTAGCACAACAACAACAACAACAACTGCGGTGCTAATTGTTTGTATTCCTGCAAACTAAAATGATAAACAATCCTTTGAGATATGCTTAATGTACCGCGTGCATATAAATCATGTCAATGAATCTCGGCACAAAAGAACATATCCTGCATATCAAAGTCACGTCAATAACATTCGCTTAATCGGCAAAGAGAGAGAATTTTCGCCATAAATTTCCAATCGATATTCGTTGACTGATTAATCGAAAACCGGATGATATCCATAGAGAAAAATGTGTTTTGCTATAGAAAAAAAAATCGAGGCATTCTCGTTTGCATTTCATTTTTAAATTTACATTTTTAAAATAGTCTTTTTTTTGCCAAATTCAAATTGAGGAAATTCTCATTACTTTTTTTTTCCTTCTTTTATTTTTTCATTCCCAATATTCGATTTATCAAGTCAAAATAATGTGACATTTCACGGCAATGAAAGGGGGACTTGTTTCCTAAAATAAATTATTGCAGGATAAACAAAATTTAATTTTGTCAGATTAATTCAAATGATTTTACGTCCGTTTTTTTTTAAAATATTTTGTTAGATTTAAAAAAACGGACGTAAAATTATTTGAACAAAATTTATTTTGGTTTTTCTCTGACTGAAAAATTCAAATTTTTGAAGATTTTAATTTGAAACCTTTTCAAAATTCAATTATTTCTAAAAATTCATGCTATAATTCTTTTTTCAATTCAATTATCTACATTTTTAACTGAAATTAATACTTAAATTAACTTTAGTTAGAAAAATTTACGGGAATTCAATTATTTAAAATTTTAAATACAAAAGTAAGTAATTAATTGAGTAATTGAATGTTTTTTAAAATTAAATTCTTAGAAACATCATTATCCACAAATTTTAAAATAATTGAATTTTTTCGACGAATTTTGACAAAATTTTCATTCTATAGAACAGTTAGTTAAAAGTATAAAAAATTGAAATTTTTAAAGATTTCAATTTGAAACCTTTTGAAAATTCAATTATTTCTAAAAATTCATACTATAATGCTTTAAATATTCAATTATTAACTAAAATTAAAACTGAAATTAATATTTAAATCAACTTTAATTAGAAAAATTTACGAGAATTCAATTATTTAAATACAAACCTAAATAATTTATTGAATAATTGAATGCTTCATAAAATTGAATTCTCATAAAGAATTTAATTAACAAATTTTTGAATAATTGAATTCTTTCGACGAATTTTAATAAAATGCGATGAGTTTTATTATTTATACAAATAACTGATGTCATGATAAGAATTTTTATATTTTTTTAAAAATAATTGAATTCTTGCGAAGAATTTAAACAAAATTTTTAAAAATATAATTGCATTTTTTTATGAATTTATTAAAAATATTGTATTAATAATAATTTAAATTCTGCGATTAGTTTTATTGTTTATGAAAGTAATTGAATTCTTTTCAACAGTTTTATTAAAATTTTCAAAAATAATTCAATTTCTAAGAATTTTATTAAAATTTTTAAAAATAATTGGATTTCTAAGAATTTTATTAAAATTTTTAAATTAATTGAATTTCTACGAATTTTATTGAAAACTTAAAAAATAATTGAATTTCTAAGAATTTTATTAAAACTTTTAAAAATAATTTAATTTCTAAGAATTTTATTAAAATTTTTAAGTTAATTGAATTTCTACGAATTTTATTGAAAATTTTAAAAACAATTGAATTTCTAAGAATTTTATTAAAATTTTTAAAAATAATTGAAATTTTCACGCAAGAATTTTATTAAACATTTTGAAAAAAATGAATTTTGGAGAAGAATTTGATTACATATTAAGATAATTGAATATAATTGAATTTCTTCAAAGATTTTTATTACTTTTAAAAATAATTGAATTTTAACTTCTCCAAAAGTCAATTATTTTTTAGTTTTTTTAACTAAAATTTTTTAATAAACCAATTCTTTTTAATAACATTAAGAGAATTTTTGTCTAAATCAATTATTTTTAATAATTAAATAATATATATTGAAAAATTCATCTAATTTCAAATAATTCCAATCAAACTTTTTCAAAAAAATTAATTCTATACAAATTTTAGTTAAAATTATGAAGTATTTAAATTTTCAAAGATTTTAAATTGAAACCTTTTTAAAATTCAATTATTTCTGAAAATCCATGCTATAATGCTTTAAATATTCAATTATTATCTAAAATTTTAACTGAAATTCATTTTTAAATCAATTTTAACTAGAAAATTCTACGAGAATTCAATTATTCAAATACAAAGAAAAATAATTAATTGAAGAACTAAATGTTTCTCAGAATTGAATTCTCATAAAGAATTTTATCAACAAATTTTTAAATAATTGAATTCTTTTGACAAATTTTAATAAAATTTTTAAAAATAATGACAATTTTCGAGGAATTCGATTAAAATTGTATTAAAAATAATTGAAATTCTATGATAAGTTTTATTATTTATGAAAATAATTGAATTCCTAACAAGAATTTTATTATTTATTGAATCTCTGTAAAAAGAAATTTTAAATAATTGAATTTTTGTAAAATTATTATTATTTACGTAAATAATTAAATGTTTGCGTAGAACTTTATCAAAATTTATTTTAAATAATTGAATTCTTTTGCAAAATTTAATTAAAATAGTATAGATATTGAAAATCATTGACTTCAGGAAAATTTTTGAAAATAATTGAAATTAAAATTGTAATTATATAACCTAACTGCAGGAGGCCATTTAAGGCGAAAGAAAAAAACATAACCTTAAATTTCTCACCTCGATATGTCCCTTTCACCACCATAAACTGTCACATATGCAATAAACATTAATAATTCTCTTTTCCCAGAACCGGTATATGAATTTTATACTTCTAAAAATAAGAAACCATATTTGTCCGCACATTCAGCATATAAGAGAAAATTTTTTTGAAAAATGTATCAAGTTAAAAAAAAGCATTATTTATATGGGACTATTGGGATTAAAAAGGAGTTGTCTCCTGACATTACTTGGCTGATTTTCTCTTCTTATTTTTCCAGTCAAAGCACACAAATACGCCTTTCCAACGCCACAACTCCCTTGGGTACAATAGTGACACTTAGAGAGTGGCATCTTTTTATCTTTCACTGCATACTAAAAAAATAATAAAATGCTAATAAAAACTTGTGTGTGCACACCCTTTGAGAAATTGACAAATTTTTATGTCTCCGCATATGCGCGACTTATTAAAATAATTAAATTTTCTCTCTCTTTCTCCCTGCTCTCGTGACTCGTTATACAGTAGATGAAAATGAAATGAAAACTTAAAAAGTCAAATTTCTATTAGCTGTTGGCTATAGGGGTCTGACCGTATACTTACTCGTACTACTGAAGAGGCCTTTCATCATCGTCCGTGACTCCGCTGCACAGTATCTGTAGATGTAGATGATGTAGATGGAACATTTCTCTGCAGCTCATTGTTTTCTGGAAAGAAGGAAAATTTCAATAAAATGATACGAGCAAAGATAAACTGTTTCTTAAATTGTAAAATATAACTAAGAAACAAAAAATTTTAGGTTATGTTTGTAAATTTTTGAATGACAATACTAAGAAGTAAGAAGCAAAAATTTTAGTTTATGTTTATAATGTTTTGAATACAAATACAAAAAACTAAGAACCCTAAGAACTAAAATCAGGGTGTCTACTATTTTCATTCAACAAAATTTCCGGTTATTTCCCGACTTTGTCTTAATTTTTCCCTGCTTTTTTTTCTCATCAAATTTAAATTTATTTGATTTCAAACATAAATAAATATAAAAATGACTTCAAAAAATTTTATTAGAGTTTTTATGAATAATTAAATTCTTTTGACAAGTTTCTTTAAATTTTTCAAAAATAATGTTTTTTTTAATAATTTTAATTAAAAATTTGAAAAATAATTGAATTAAACAAAGAATTTTTTCAATTTTTTAAAATAATCTTGTCTGTTTATAATTATAATTAAAAAATTTGATTAATTCAATTTTATTAAAATGTATTGATACTAATTGAATTTTCGCAAAGAATTTTACTATTTATAAGAGTATAATTTAATCCTTCCAGAAAATGTTATTATTTATGAAAATAATTAAATGGTTGTGTAGAATTTTATTAAAATTTTCGAAAATAATTGAATTGTGAAGAACAATTTATTTATTTATAAAGATAATTGAAATTTTGAGAATTTTTAAAAATAATTGAATTTCTGTAAAGAATTTTATTACTTTTGAAACTAATTAAATTGTTTTTTTAGAATTTTATGGTAATTTATGAAAATAATTGAATTCTTGTGAAGATTTTTTTTTTTAATAATATTCAAAATAATTAAGTAAATCTAAAGAATTTTTCTATTTATAGAAATAATTGAAATCTTGCGATGAATTTTAAAGAACATTTTTAAGAATAATTGCATTTTTCGAAGAATTAATTAAAAATTGTATTCAAAATAATTGAAATTCTGCGATGAGTTTCATTATTTATCAAAATAATTGAATTTTTGAGAAGAACTTTATTAAAATTTCTAAAAATAATTGAATTCTTTCGAAGAATTTTATTAAAATTGTATAAAATAATTAAATTCTTCTGACAAATTTTACTATTTGTAAAAATAATTGAATTCTCATAAAGAATTTCATAAGCAAATTCTTTAATTATTGAATTCTTTCTATAAATTTTAATAAAATTTTTAAGAATAATTACAGTTTTCGAGGAATTCGATTAAAATTATCGTATTAAAAATAATTCAAATTCAGTTGAATGAGTTCAGTTGAGTTTTAATTATTTATCAAAAATAATTCAATTCCTAAAAAGAATTCTATTAAAATTTTTAAAAATAATTAAATTTTTGAGAAGAATTTACTTTATTTGTAAAAATAATTGAATTCCTAAGAAGAATCTTATTATTTATAAAAATAATTGTATTCCTAAGAAGAATTTTATTATTCATGAAAATATTTGAATTTTTGCGAAGAATTTTACTAAAATTTCTAAAAATAATTGAATTCTCTTGAAGAATTTTATTAAAATTGTATAAAATAATTTAATTCTCCTGACAAATTTTACTATTTGTAAAGATAATTGAATTATCATAAAGAATTTCAACAACAAATTCTTGAATAATTGAATTCTTTTTATAAATTTTAATAACATTTTTACGAATAATTACATTTTTCGAGAAATTCGATTAAAATTATTGTATTAAAAATAATTGAAATTCTGCCATGAGTTTTACTATTTATGAAAATATTTGAATATATTGCGAAGAAATTTTTAAAAATAAAATTATAATTACGGTGACTAACGTCCCTTGATTATTTTTGAAAAACTTAAATAAAATTCTTTAAAGGAATTTAATTATTTTTAATGAAATGTAAAGAAATTTCAATTATTTCAAAAATTTTCAATTATTTGTTTATAAAACTTCAATTATCATGAAACAATAGAATTGAAAAATTTCCAAAATCTTATTTTTCAAAATTTTCAAAAAAACTGCGAAAATTCAATTTTATTAAAAAATTATAAGTGTGTATCTTTTTTTTAAATTCACAATTAAAAATTTTAATTATTAATCTTCGCACTAAGAGACATGAATACATTTGAATGTGACTCTTTATAAAATTCAATTATTTATCAATTATTAAATTAAAATACTTTGAAAATTCGATTTGTTAAAAAGTTTTTAATTAAATTCTTTAACAAATTTAATTATTTTCAGTTGAATTTCACTAAATTTCTATTAATTCGATAATTCTTTTTTAATTTATTTACATATACTGTATTTGAATTAGTGACTGATATTTTGCTATCGAATTATTTTTAACTATGTCAAATTTAGAGAAGAGTATAAATATCTGTATAAAAATTGAAATAAAAAGCGATTTTTTAAAATCAATAAAATTTCCCACAAAGATTTAATTTTGATTTTCTCTTTATTTTCAGAGAGCGGCATCATTTTCACTGCTTATGAAAATGAGTATATTGTACACGGGAATAATTTTGAAATCGCAGGTTTTTTCTGTGATGTAGAGTCAGAAGTTAGGAACTAACAATTTTCTTTCATAGTGTACTTACCCGGCTGCCAAGAATAGAATTGCCCATAGGTTAGGAAGTGGCATTCGCACCACTGCCTCAGGTTATGTGCCGCTTTGGACCACTTCACTGATGGGTATATTCATCTGTTGCGCCAGGAACATTATGGAAAATATCGCAAATCCAGCAAAAACACGTCAACGGATTTCCGGAGTGAAACAAAGATTGCATCGCTGTAATAATAATAAATTTCTTTAATTATTTTTAAAAAATTTTTGCAAGAATTTAATTCTTTCAAAAAATTTTATTAAAATAAATACTTTGAATATCATTGAATTGAGGAAAATTTGTGAAAATAATTGAATTTTTGCCAAGCCTTTTATTAAAATTTTTGAAAATAATTGAATTTTGGAAAAGAATTTTTTTAAAATATTGAAAATCATTGAATCAATAAAAACTTGTTTTATAAGAATGAATACAAAGTAATATTAAAGTAAAAGTGAAAAAAAAATATTATAAGCTCACATAAGGGAATTTCTGACACAAAGCAATATATATAATTTAGTAAATTTTCATTTCAATAATAGAAAGAAGAAAGAATCTTAAGGAATCGTCTCTGCCGTATAATTTTCTCACTTGAAGGATTTAGAGAGAGCTTTTCATTCTTTTCGGAGAGTTCAATTTCAGGCTTGGTTTACATAATATGACACGCAACAAAACCGCAAAAGCAGCCACAGTGTGATACCCGGGTATAAAGTCACTTTGTAAATAAAGCACTATTAGTTGAAGGCCACTTTGGTTTGATGCACAAGCTAAAACATCGCCATGGGTATTGTTTGAATTTGACTGTTTGTTCATCGTATACGTAGGTATGGGTATTGTTAGTGCGCCATATTGAGACAGATTGATTATTTTATACCTAACTAGTGCTTGTAAACACGGGACTAAACACTATATTTAATAATTACTGCTTTACAAACATCTTTACCTCCCATCTTATCAGAATGGTTCAATTATTCAAGATTTACGATTTCGATCTTTCGCTTCTGAACGCATTCGACTCGGAGTGATCGATTTCTTCATGTTTTATATAATATAATTAAATAATTTCAATTATTCGTCAATTCTTCAATTAAAACTTTATTAGAAAACGAAAACTTAAAATAATAAAAAAATTCAATTAAAGTTTTCCAAAAAAAATTAAATTCAAAATTCAATTATTTCTAAAAATTCACGCTACCTATATTGCTTGTAATATTCAATTAAAAAATTTTAAATTTCAACTGAAATTCATATTTAAATCAATTTTTAATAGAAAATTCCACGAGAATTCAATTATTTAAAATTTTAAATACAAATAAAATGCAAATAAATAATCACTGAATAATTTAATGTTTCTTAAAATTAATTTCTCATAAAGAATTTTATCAACAAATTTTTGAATAATTGAATTCTCTCCACGAATATTAATAATATTTTTAAGAATAATTGGATTCTTTGCAGGAATTCAATTAAAATTGTACTGAAAATAATTTAATTTTTTGGCAAAAAATTTTGCGATTTATAAAGATAATTCAAATATTAGCGAGATTTTCTCAAATTTTTAAAAATAATTGAATTTCTGCGAAGAATTTCATTACCTACTTTTGAAGATAACTCAATTCTTGTAATGAATTCTTTTGTTAATAATTTCAATTATTCGTTAATTCTTTAATTAAATATATTTTAGAAAATAAAAACTTTTAATAATTTCAAAAAAAATCCGCAATTAAACTTTCTGAAAAAATTAATTACACGGAATTGTTAGTTAAAAATATAAAAAATTCAGATTTTCAAAGATTTTAATTTGAAATCTTTTCAAAATTCTACTAGAATTCAATTATTCTATTTTTCTTCAAATTAAATTCTTATAAAGAATGTTATTAATAAATTTTTAAACAATTAAATTCTTTTGAAGAATTTTAATAAAATTTTTGAGAATTTATTATTTACGAAAATAATTGAATCCTTCTAAAAATTTTACTATTTATGACAATAATTTAATGATTGCGAAGAAATTTATGAAAAATTTCAAAATAATTGAATTCCTGTGAGAATAATTTAAATTTTGCTAAGAAATTTTTAAAAATTTTTGAAAATATTTGAATTTTGGAGAAGAATTTAATTATTTATGAAAAAATTGAAATTTTGACAAGAGATTTATTAATTTTTTAACTAATTAAGTTTCTGTGAAAATTTTATTACTTTTGAATATATTTGAAAGATTGCAAAGAAATTTATAAAAAAAAATTTGTAACAAATCGAATTCCTGTGAAATTTTTTATTATTTTATGAAAATAATTGAATCATTGCGAAGAGATTTATAAAAAATTTTGTAAATAATTGAATTCCTGTGAAATTTTTATTATTTGATGAAAATAATTAAAGGTTTGTGTAGAATTGTATTAAATTTTTTTTAAAAATAATTGAATTCTTTTGGACAATTTGATTAAAATTAGTAAATTTTGAAAATCATTGATTGTGAAAAATTTTTTGAAAATAATTGAAATTTTTCCGCAAGAATTTTATTAAAATTTTTGAAAATAATTGAATTTCTGCGAAGAATTTGATTACTTTTGAAAATAATTGAATTCTTGATAAGAATTTTAATAATATTTCTTTTTAAATAATTGAATTCTTTTGTGAATTTTTCTAAAAGTAGATATTAAAAATCATTGAATTCAGGAAAACTTTTTTTAGAATAATTGAAATTTTCTCAAGAATTTTGTTAAAATTTTTAGAAATAATTGAATTTTAGAGAAGAATTTCATTATTTCTAAAGATAATTGAAATTTTGACGAGAATTTTTAAAAATTTTTGAACATAATTGAATTTTTTAATCAGATTACGAATCTTTTAAAAAAAACGGACTTTTACGGACTTAAAGCAAATTTACTTGTTCGAGCCCTGGTCCTGGTCCACGTATATTGATATTTAATTATTCCCCATACAGAGGGAAATAAAAATTTTTTTTCCTCCGAGAATATGACATTTGATATACGCTATTTTTACACGGCTTACAGTTGGCAAGTCTCTTTTATTGCAATGGTCAGAGAGGGGTTTTCTTTTCTACTGCCGCGATATAAATGTTGCCGCAATACGTCGCTTGTCCCTCTATGTGTGAAATCGTCGCTTTACAACTAAACGTGCACACTTTAAAAGGGGTTTTGCTGCTTTATCTAGCAGTACATGCTGCAACGAGTCGGCGAACATTTCATTACAATTTCAGCAGGGTTCGTGAATCCATGTATAAGTTTCATACTTCACTAGTCAGAGCCATCGCGTGTCTGTACCTATTTACCAGCATTTGCTGTTAAATCGAAACGTTTGATCCAACAACAAATACGGAGTAAAGATGCACACGTGTTATATAGGGATATTTCATCCAACATATACATATATATATATATATATTCTATACACTGTTGTACATATAAATGCTATACTGTCACTTAAGCAATGACATGGACCAAATTTGCCAATCGGGAAAAAAAATCGAATGATCGATGCCCGAGCTTGTACATTTATTTGATCCGCGCACGATAGCTGCTTACCTGTGTGACATTTGTAAAGTTGATACAGCTGGACAATGTCACCAGAGAATACCATCCAATTCCAAAGGAGAAAAAAGTTTGGGATACTGCATCACCTCGTACATTCTTGACGACTATAAACTGATGGCGAATTTTCTTCTTTCGATGTCCTTCTTTTATAATGTGACACGTCCTGAAAATTTCAATTTCTATGCGTAAAATTATAGATTTATGCTTAAAACTATTTATTGATTTGTTTTTCAAAAAGAAAAAAACATTTTTGAAAGAAAGAAATTTAATTTACACAAAGAAAAATTTCAATTAGTAATAAATTGCACGAGTCTTAATAATAAGTGACTTATTAATTTTTAATTAATTCAGTACAATCAACTAAAATCCTTATTTACAAAGAAAATATTAAAGTAATATACAATAAATATACAACCACGAAAATTTAATTTTGGTTTTCCCTGATTTCAAGACAAAATTTTTACTTTTTCCCTAACCCTAAAGAATATTCTGCATTCACTCTAAAAATTATTAGATACTCAAAAAAATTTTCTTTTAGATTTATTTACGAATTTCTTTAATTGTAAAATTATTCGAAAACATCAATAACTTCTTTTTGAAATAAATATTTAATTATTATTTTTCCGTAGGAATTAAAATTCTTCAAAACATTCAAAATTTAAACCTTTTTGAAATTCAACAACTTATAAGAATATTATTAGAAAACAGAGTGAAAAAATCATTATTTTATATTATAAGAATTGTTACTGTAACTTCTTTAAAATTATTTTTATCATTTCCATTCAATTATTATTTTCTTGAATTTTTAACTAAAATTCCCCTATAAATCAATTATTTTTAATAATTTTTGAAAAATTTTTTTGAGAATTTTCAAATCAATTTGTTTACTATTCAACTTTACAGAAATTTCTATTATTCGGAAATTCTTCAATTAAATTTAAAAAAGAAAATAAAAAATTCAACTAATTTCAAAAAAAAATCTGCAATTAAACTTTCTCAAAAAAATTAATTCCACAGAATTGTTAGTTAAAAATGTGAAAAATTCAGATTTTCAAAGATTTTAAATTTGAAACCTTTTCCAAATTCTACTAGAATTCAATTATTGCACTTTCCTTAAATTTGAATTCTCATGAAGAATTTTATTAATAGATTTTTAAATAATTGAATTTTTTTGAGGAATTTTAATAAAATTTTTAAGATTAATTCCATTTTTTGAGGAATTCGATTAAAACTTTAAGAATAATTGAAATTCTACAATAAGGTTTATTATTTATGAAAATAATTGAATGATTGTGTAGAAATTTATAAAAAAAATTTGTAAATAATTGAATGTCTGTAAAATTTTTATTATTTTATGAAAATAATTGAATTATTGTAAAGAAATTTATAAAAGATTTGTAAATATATAAATTCCTGTGAAATTTTTATTATTTTATGAAAATAATTAAAGGTTTGTGTACAATTTTATTATTTTTTTTTTTAAATAATTGAATTCTTTTAGACAATTTTATTAAAATTAGTAAATTTTGAAAATCATTGATTGAGGGAAATTTTTGAAAATAATTGAAATTTTGCCAAGAATTTTATTTAAATTTTTGAAAATAATTGAATTCTCTCCACGAATTTTAATAGGATTTTTAAAAATAATTGAATTCTTTCGACGAACTATAATAGAATTCTTTGCAGGAATTCAATTAAAATTGTACTGAAATAATTGAATTTTTTGGCAAAAAACTTTGCAATTTATAAAGATAATTGAAATGTTAGCGAGATTTTTTTTTCAATTTTTGTAAATAATTGAATTTTTGCGAAGAATTTTATTACATACTTTTAAAGATAACTGAATTCTTGTGATAAATTCTTTTGTAATTTATGAAAATAATTGATTTTTGCAATGAATTTTAGCGAAATTCCTGAAAATAATTGAATTCCCAAGAAGAATTTGATTTGTTTTGAAAATAATTGAATTTTGCATTGAATTTTCTTAAAACTATCAATTTCTATTAGAAAATTCTACGAAAATTCAATTATTTAAATTCAAAAATTAATAATTTATTGAATAATTGATTATTTCTCAAAATTAAATTCTCATAAAGAATTTTATCAAATAATTTTTAAGTGATTGATTTCTCTTGACGTAGTATTTTAATAAAATTTTTAAGAATAATTACATTTTTCAAAGAATTCGATTAAAATTCCATTAAAAATAATTAAAATTTAGCTTTGAGTTACATTATTTATGAAAAGAATTTAATTATTGCAAAGAAATTTATAAAAAATTTGTAAATAGTTGAATTCCTGGGAAATTTTTCTTAATTTATGAAAATAATTCAATCTTTGCGAATAATTTTATCAAAATTGTATTGTAAATAATTGAATTCTTTTGACATATTTTAATACAATTTTTAAGAATAATTACGTTTTTAGAAAAATTTTCATTAAAATTGTAAACTCAAAGCTTTTAAAATTCAATTAATTTTGAAATATTCTAGTAAAATTATTCATTTAATAATTTCTAAAATTAGTAATTTTACGATATGTCTTCAAAAATGAAGTTATTTAAAAAGAAATCATTGTCAAAAATAGAAAAGAATTAAAGGTTTTATATTAGAATTCTTGGTAATTTCATAGTATTTATAAATCAAACAAAAAAGACAAGAAAATTCATAATTTTCTTATGAATTCTAAAAATTAAATTTTTTCCACTACTTTTAATAAAAATCCCTGACTATTCCCTGAATTTCCCTGACCTGTGCGGCAACCCTGATATACAAATAAAAATTATGAAAGAATTTACGATAATTATATAATATTTTTAGTAAATTTTTTCTACAGTAAATTTGTTTAAATTGCATTATTAAGTAACTCATTTTCCATCGAATTTCAAGCAACATTTACTTTAAGAACTATTCGAGCTTCTGATCCATGAGTACATGGATTTTCCACAGGATGATAGAGAAAAAAGGATAGGGTCGCCTTGGTGACAGTCGATAGAAAAAAATCTTTATCAGAATCTAGAAAAAGAAACCTTTCTGTCTCGAGCAAAAATAGCCTCCACATTGTTACTAGGAATATTTTCAATAATACTGAATATAAAACTATATACTTCACTAAGCAAAAATCAATAACTTTTTATACATAAAAATGTTCACACGAAAAGTTTTATTTATAGAAAAAAAAGAAAAGAATAGGAAATAGAAAAAATAGAAGAGAATCGGAAATAGAAAAAATAGAAAATAGAAAGAATAGAAAAAAATGAAAAAGTTGAAAAAAATTAATGTTTTCATTGAAAAATCTAATTGAAAACTATAATTACTTTAGAAAAGTTAATAAGTAGCGAACTTTTAAGTTTTACTGATAAGGTATTGAAAGTATTTTCTGTTCGACATGTAAAAGAAAATACTCACCTCTTGTTAATAGAGCAAAATATGGGAACAATGGAGCAAAATAGACGATTTTTCCGAAAGACTGAACTCCTTTCAACAGACAAGAAACGGATTATCCAAGCAAGTGGGAGGCATCATCTTATTCCACCCCAATTTTCCCACGTGGCTCCTCGAATACCTAAAACATAATCACACTTTGCCCCTTAGCAATTAGGTTGGAATAATAAAATAAAATTTGAATTTTTAAATTCTTTCAAATAAAAATAGAATAATCCATTTCAAATCGATATATTAACATAGGGGTTCATAATTCTAATCAGTCCAATGGTCTTATCGATGTTAATTCAGATCGTAATAGGTACTCATAGAGCCGAAACGGATTAACTCAATTATCTCTTTTATCCACAAAAAACTTCTTAAAAATCAGAGTGTTTACTATTTTAGTTCAACAAAATTCCCGGGTTTTCCCGGTTGTTTTTCTTATCAAATTTAAAATTATTCGATTTCAAACATAAATAAATCTACAAATGGCTTCAAAAATTTTTATTAGAGTTTTTATGAATAATTAAATTCTTATTCCCGGTTTTTCCAGGTGAAATTAAATTCCCGGTTAGTAGACACCCTGCTTTTTATATTTTTGTTTATGTTTTTTTTTTAAACAGTATTTATAAATTGAATACCTGAAATATTGTTCCGAAAATAACGGCATAAAGATGACGAAGAGCTGTCACATTCTCGCCTTTATAAAGCAATGCGGGTAACATAAATACAAAACTCGATCAAACACTTGCAATTGACATGCATGATTTGCTACAAAATATTGTCGAAGAATCATTTTTCTGTCATTCCACATCTTGTAAATCTGTAAATTTAACAAAATAGAAAAATATATGAATTTATCGACTTTAAAATATATAAATTTGAAATAATGAATTTTCATATTATGATTAAAATAAACATATATGCTAAAATCATTATTATAATTACTAATTTAGGAATGATACGGACACACAGAATAATGTATCCGTATTTTACCATTTTATAACAAAATAACAATAAACATAAATTTAAATGAAATCTAAAATTAATGCGATATATTTTTGATGCTCTCAGACAAGTTCTGCCATCAGGGAAAATTCAATGAGGTTTATTTCAAATTATTCCATTTAATCATTTAGCTAGACTGACCCATTTCCATTAATTACATTCTACCAGAGCGACTCGGTGAAAAATCATTGAAAATTCCACTTTCACAGAAATAGTATATATGACAGAAAAACTTCATAGGAATTTCATTTCTGAATATAAAAATAAAAAAATCCATCTCGAGAGGTATTCCTGCGAAATCGTTTTGCTTCTAATATAAAAAGAGGAAATATTAAATTTTACTATTATATTGTTCGATATGAAAGTAATAAATTCGCAAATACGATAAATATACTTATTTTGTAAATGTACCTTCTTTAATTTTAGACATAATAAAAGTATTACAATTTATAATTAATTCAGAATTATTTCATATAATTAATTCACAACAGAAAAATAATCTCTAAATTCATAAGTTTGGCAAAAATCGCAAAAATCGATAACTGATCGGTTTTCAACGTTTTCAATTTTTGACAAACTTATGAATTTAGAGGTTATGTTTCTTGGCTAAAAACGGCAAATTCTTTGTAAATGTCTTTCTGTCAGTGGTTTCTTTTAAGCGTGTTTATTTAAAACACTAGATTTGTCTTCTTGTAAAATGAAAAAGAAACTTGATGTCAAAAAACGAATTCGAGATACTTTTTACTCACTTTTATAACCACACTAAATGCGGAAATATTCACATTTCGAATTTTACTCCTTTTCAGTATAAAATAAAGATAAATTTATGAAACACGATTTTAAATAACAAACCTGAAAAATGGTGACTGTACAAACGAAAATAATTAGCAATAATCTAGTGTTCTCTCTAAATTTTTTCGACATCGACAGCAAGAAGCAACAGGAAGTGTTGTACTTGGCCGCCATCTTTTATTTAGCGAATATTCCCGAAAACACTCGATTAGAGAATGTAATTTATTCTATTTGCAATTACTTACATTTTGTCTAATTATAATTTAAGACTAATATAAAACTGAATTATAAATATGACACAAGCCCAAATAGCAGAATAGATTCTTGAACAGGAACTGACAGGACCGGAAATGTAATCGCAATCTGTAGAATGAGTCAGAGAAAGATAGAGATATATGTCTGTCCTTCACTTACTCATTAATTTCCGTTCAAGTTTCCGTTTTGTGTATTTTCGTTTCGAAAATTACAAACATTTTTTTTTTCATTTTACAAGTTACAAGATTTGGAACATTTGGAATACCTGAAATTTTTGATTACTAGAAGAGAGCGGCAAAAGCAAAGGATACATTTTTAAAACTTAATAAAATTTCCCTCCGTATTGAAGAATTCACTGCCTTCGGAATAATTAATAACTACAATCCTTTCATTTAATAAGTTGATTCATATTTTGTTTCTTTAAATAAATAAAAAGGATATGAGTCAATAGAAGAATATCAATTATAAATATATATTATAGGAATTATATATTTGGGGTCATTCACAAGTTCCAAACTACGTCACACTCATAGGAGAGGGGGGAGGGATCATACGGTCTAAATGTGAAGAAATGTACGAAAAGATATTACTTTGATAATGTAAAAAATATGACGTATTGTGAACATGTCAAAATATAAAAATACTAAATTGTCCTAAGTGTCATTGATCTAAAGATTAGATTTTTATTTATATATAATAAAAAATTACCTTTCTATTGTATTTAATTAATAAATTCTTTGTAGAGTCTTTAAATTTCCCGCAAAGGAAACCTAATGCGCCATCTATGAATTTTTTTCTCAACTTTTTAGACTTTATCAATATTTTGCTATAGTGCGACTTGCAAGTGTGACTGTGTCGTTATCTGTCAAACAGCAAGAAAATGACAGTTCACAATTTGTATATATTTTCACGAAATGGTCAATTGTTATTTTACACGGAATGGAATAGATTAAATAAATCAGGAATGACACAAGAGGAGGTATTTGGAATACCATAATTTCTTTTGAAAATAGTCCATTTTTCTAAAAATTTTAAATCATAACCTAAAAATAACCCAAAATATTGCTAACTTTATTTTGCAAATTAATAATTTAGAACTGTCTTTTTTTTACATAATTTAGGAAGCTAAACTAATGTACGGAATGCTTTTTTCAATAAAATCGTTTGTGAATAAAATATCGCCTTTAGATCCAAAAGAGGGATTTCTTTATTACAAAACAAGTAAATATACTCTTTACTGTTTTGAAACAGTTTCGGGATTGAAATTTGTTCTTAACACTGACAATGGAGCTCAAAATGTTCGAGAATTATTACAACAAATTTATAGTCAAGTAAGAATAATTTTAATATTTCAAAGAGATTTGTTGTTATTATTAACGATAAATGAATATTTAATAAAATTTTTGTTTTCCAGGTGTATGTAGAATTCGTAGTAAAAAATCCACTTTGTCAACTAAATCAACCAATTCAGAGTGAATTATTCAGAACAAAATTAGACGAATTGATTAAAAAATCTCCAATTTATTTAAACCGATCATTGTAACTTCCTTTATGAATAAATTATATTATTTTTTATATAACAAAGGATTTCATTTTTTACCAAACAGAGCTACTTATTCTTTTTTCAAACAATTTTTTCCTAAAAATTCTTTGTTTTCCAAACATTCTTTTTTTCCAAAAATTCTTTTTTCTTTAAAAAAAATTCTATTTTCTTCAAAAAAAGACTATTTACTGACAAGTAATAAAAGAGACGAATATTTTAATGTAGGAAGTTTATTCTAATAAATTTGTTTTCCAAGTAAGATTAATAGCATATATTCATCCGTAGATATATTTTCAGATGTATCTATTTAAAGTTCACTTCTATTTACATTATACTTTATATTACTTTTCTACAAAATAACACGGCAGTTTTTTTTTAATTCGATGAGGCAAGAACAGTCATATCAATACTAAGGAGTTTAGGCAGACTGCATCACTCAGCTTTAGATGTACAGTTTTCACAGTCAGTTTAAAATGTTTCTTTACAATTTCTGTATAATATGACAAATGAAAAAAAGGAAAAATTCTTTTACTTTCTTGAAGTTTTTTTCAATATTAACTATTAATCTAAAAGAAAAAAAATTTATTCCTAAAATTAATATACCTACAAATAAAAAATTACCTTAATCAAGACAATTGATTTTTTTAAAAATATCTTATATATATTTTTCGAATTATATACAAAGTGTTAAATGGGAATTTTAAATTCCGTGTGTACAAACAATTTTAACTGACTGTAAATAACAAAAAAATTGTCATCCACTTTTTATCACATATTAAAAATAAGTTCTGTGACTTTTAGACTCCACGTTTGTTCAAAACAAAACATTTGGAGATTTGAGCAGAGAATGACATGAGAAAAAATTTTTAAATACTTTTCTGGACAATCGGAAATTAGAGTTTTTTTTTGTAAAATATTACGTATAAATTTTGAAACTCACATGTTTCTTTTTGGTCAACAATTTTTCTGTTGATACTTTTTTAATTTAAAAACTTTTAATTCGAAACAAAAGTTGTAAATACTTTTACAGAAAAAATTATTTCATCACTAAAGATGAATATTCAATAAAGTGGATCTCACTCTGTCGCAAGATATTTAAACCTTCAATAAATTTCACAGTCATTCTCAAACATTAATATTTACAGTTTGATTATATTTTACGTACCAATAATTGAACCCCTTGATGCAAGAACCAGACGTAGCCCATTTAATTTCTATGGTCTATGTCTGGTTCTTGCATCAAGGGGTTCAATTTCATATAATTCATCAGAAATATTTTTACACTCTACAGTAAAATACAAAAAATTTCGCATGTAGAAAGACGAAATAAGAAAATATTTGGAAAATTTAACAAAAATTTAGAATTATTGGATTTGAAGGACGAAATGCTCTTTAATATGACGATATACAAGATTTAATAAATATCCAGAAAAACCTGCTGGTAAATGATTTCTTTACATAATGAGGAAAAAGAAAATTTTCATCATTCTAAGCATAAAAAAACATTTGTTAACCACGATTCCTTTGTGATATACTAAGTCATCATATAATTAGATCTCTAATAATATGTAATATTACTTGAAATTATTATTGGTGCTATATTGCAGCATTGTTATAAAGTAAAAACATAAACCAAGCCAGTTTTTTGATATTCACAGTCCCTGTACGCTATTTTTTTTCGAAAATATGTCCCTAAAAGTTCTGAAGCTTCAAATGAACGAAATTTTTTTTTCTTTCATAATTACAAATTTTTTTTTTACAAAATTAATTAATATAAATAAATAGCCAATTATGTGATCATTAGGCAAAAAAAGTAAATTCTTTTTCGTTCATTCGAACGTTTCGAAACTTGTAAATCATTTTCACTTTGTGTTGACAAAAATTGAAAACAAAAGTAATATTAGAGAAAAAAAATAAAGAATGCGTTTTATAAACTACTTACACATACTTTCCTTTTTTTCTTGTTTTATGAATTAGAATGCAGTTTTGCAAAATATAAATTTTTAAAAATCCAATGCAATTAATTAATGCCTACATTTATTAACCATTTAAATGGTATTATTCATATTTTTTCGAAGCAGTTTTTCACATCGTTAACTGCTCTCCTTTGTAAATGTATGAACAATTTGTATAATTGGACATGTACACGTTTTTATGAAGTGTATACATTTAAATATTATGTGTGTTGATACATATACGTAACTGTACAAATGTGCATACATTTTTTTTTCTTTTTTTTTGTATAAATTTTTACTTAAGCATATCTAAACACTGTCCTTTCATTTTCAAACATCTGTTTCATTAAACTGTTTCTCAAACACGCTCAGTCTTTGATTTCGCACAGTACATATACAAATACTCGTATGCATCAGCAGTGACGTGTAACTCATTATAAGCACGCTAACATTGGCTCTTATATTTTTTTTATAATTACTGACAACGTTCTCTGATAATAACAACAGATAACAGTTGACTAATGGAAGAAAAATTTTAAAGATTAACTGTATGATCTTTTTTTTTGACATATTCTTAAACCAATTCTAATAAATTTTTAATACAAAATAATGTCGAATCGCAAAATAGCAATCGATTAAGTCATCTTTTTGTTACATCCAGTCTTGAAAGATTAAAAATTCTCTGAACTAATAAAAATCTAACGTCAATGAAATTGACCTTCTTTTTCAAATTCTAAATTAATCTTCTTAAAAACGTAAAATACATTTACTGGAATTTTAAAAAAAAAGTATCGCACAAAAAAAATGTGTCTAATATTTAAGACGCATTTACACAAAGTTGATGGATTGGTGTGCGTTTTTTTTTTCTTTTTGTTTAAAAAAAAATAGATTTTTTTGATATATACGTATGTATATGGGATACATAAATATATATTTTACTTACAGTAATTCTTACGTGTTGAGTCTCGTTGTTTTCTGTGAATCAGCATCTTGATCGAGTTCCTTGTTTCTTTTGCGTCGTCCAGGACCTCTTGTGACATTTGTTGAGCTACTTGCTTCCTGGTCAGCTTCAATGAAACTCACATGATGATCGAATCGAACACGTTCTGAGCCACCGTCTTCCTCGCAAACAGTCCAACTGTTGGATTCGCTGTGTTGTCGGTCCAAAGTGGGCCTTCGGCGAGAACGTTTCGCCAAACCAGGTGTTATTTCTTCTAACGAACTGAGAGAAGCTGCTTGACCTGCTGAATCAACATTCGCCTCGGTAACAGTAGCGACCGTTGCGTTTGATGTTTGTTCTCCTTCCATACTTGGACCGCTCGTAATAGAACTGCCCTCAATCTAAAATTTTCAACATTAATTAGATTCAAATTATTCTGCCTCAGAATTTTTTGTTTTCATTATTTAAAATTATGTAATTAATAAATATTAACTATTAACACTATTTTGTTTTTACGTTTAGAAAATTTGTTGAATTTAAGTTTAAAAATTTATGTTTAGAAAATTTGTCAAATTTAAGTTTAAAAATTTAATTCAAAATAATTTGAAAATTTATGTTTAGAATATTTGTCGAATTTAAGTTTAAAAATTTAATTTAATTTGAAAATTTAAGTTTAAAATAAAAGAATAAATTTAAATTCTAGAAATTTAAATTCTATATGTAAAATAATTAGAAACCTTAAAATTTAAAACCGAGCCGGCTAACGCCCTCGTGGATGCCGCTCCATCGTCCAAGGCAATAGAAGCGTTGACGGATTTTTCAGAAAGACTCGTAGTTGCTGATGCAGTTTCACTGCATAGGCTAAATCTCTGCGTGGAGGTAACATCGGCTTGAACTTCCAGTCTGGAGAGATAAAAAAAATTTATTTTAATTCATTTTATTAATTTTATTAATTTTAGAAATATTTGTTACAAATTTTAGAGAGAAAAAAAATGGAGAATTTACAAGTACCTTTGGCCTCCTGGAAGTACGCTTGATGCTATACTTCCCGCAATGCTGGTTCCTGCAAGTGCAACATTACTGGCGCTTTCACGATCATTTTCACGACCCAACTTTTCTAATTGACTTCCGCTTCCTAGTGAAAGTGAAGCTTCTCCTATCGATGGATTCCCACCTCGATGACTTACAACACCAATTGATGCTGCATCTGCAAAGAATATAATATAATTTTAATATACTTAATTGATTTATTAATTTTAGATTTTACTATTTTTAATAAAAATATTTTTATTAATTTTAATATTTTATTACTTTAATTTTTAATTAAATTTTAATTCATTTTGCTTCCTCATAAAGGAAGCCTTATAGTGATGTCGATTTCTGAATTTTTTTGAGTCAATTATTTTTACAAATTTTCAAGTGTAGTATATATAATTTGTCGAGAGGAACAAATGTCCGGATGTATGTGTGTATGTATGTGTGTGTGTGTGTGTGTGTGTGTGTGTGTGTGTGTGTCACCGATTCTTGTGGACAAATTTTCTCTTACACGTCTTGATGGATTTTGATAAAATTTTGTAGGTGTATTACGGTCATGAATACCAAAAATCAGACAGAAGGATTTTAAAAAATATCTAAAAAAAAAAATTTTTTCAACAATTTTTTAATTTTTGAAAAAATTAATTTTTGGATTTTTTGAAATAACTTTCTTCTATATTAAAATTTTTATTAATTGTTGTCAAAATTGCATTCCTGACATAAAAACGAATCGATTCATGTATATAAAGTATATATTTTATCAAAATTTATAGAATTAATAAATATTTTAATTTTTCACAAAAAATTGAAATTTTGTATTTTTTGACATTTTATCATAACACTTTAAAATAATTATTCTAAAATAAAAAATTAAACAATTGGTATATATTATATTGAGGAAGCTTAATGATCATGAAATGAACAACTTGTTTAATTAAGTCTTCGACTCGGAATGATCGCTTTCTACATGTTTTATAATAATTAAAAATGATCGAGTGATTAAATTATTATTTTATATTATAAGAATATTGTTAATGTAATTTCTTCAAAATTATTTTAATTTCAATTTAATTATTATTTTCTCGAATTCAAACCTTTACAAAATTCGATTATTTGGTGGGAAAATATATATATTTTTTTCAAACATTGTTCATAAACGTTGCAAACTTCACCGACGTTTATTCAGAAAATTTTTTTTTTAATTTTGTAAATAATAATTAAATACCTGTGAAATTTTTATTATTTATAATAAATTATAAATTTTAACTAGAAAATTTTACGAGAATTCAATTATTTAAATACAAAAATTAATAATTTATTCACAAATTAAATGTTTCTTAAAATTGAATTCTCATAAAGAATTTTATCAACAAATTTTTAAATAATTGAATTCTTTTGACGAATTTTAATAAAATTTTTCACAATAATTACATTTTACGAGGAATTTGATTAAAATTGCAATAAAAATAATTGAAACTCTGAGATGAGTTTTATTATTTATGAAAATAATTGAATTCCTCAAAAAAAATTTTAATTTATGAAAATAATTGAATCTCTGCAAAAAAAATTTTATTATTTATAAAAATAATTGAATTAATGCAAAGAAATTAAAAAAAAATTTGCAAATAATTAAATTTCAGTGAAATTTTTATTAATTATGAAAAAAATTAAATGTTTGGGTAGAATTTTTTAAAAATTTCTTTTAAATAATTGAATTTTTTGGGAAAATTTTATTAAAATAGTGGATACCTTTTAAAAATCATTAAAATGAGGAAAAATTTTGAAAATAATTGAAATGTTGTCGAGAATTTTATTAAAATTTTTGAAAATAATTGAATTTTGGAGAAGAATTTTATTATTTATAAAAATAATTGATATTTTGACGAAAATCCAAAAAATTTTTGAACATAATTGGATTTCTGCGAAGAATATTATTACTTTTGAAAGAAAATAATTGAATTTCTGCAATTATTTGTAACTCCTCAAAAATTCAATTTTTTTAGTGTTTTTAACTTAAATTCTTCTATAAATTCTTTATTTTTAATAATTAGTTAAATACATGTTAAAAAATTTAACTAATTTCAGAAGAATTTGAATTATTAAAATTTTTCAAAACTCTAAGATTCTTTAAATTTTCTAATTAAATTCATTAAGAATTAAAAGTTTATAAAATTTCAATTTGATACGTTTTAAAGTGATAGTTCTTGAAGAATTAAGTTATTTAAAAAGAAATTATTGTCAGAAATAGAAAAAACTAAAGGTTTTGTATTAGAATTCGTGGTCATTTTATGAGTCAAACAAAAGACACAAAAATTCAGTATTTTCTTATGAAGTCTAAAAAATTAAATTTTTTCCAATATTCTTTTAACAATAATCCCAGAGTTTTCCCTGAATTCACAAGATTTCACAAGATTCATTAAAATCCAAAATAAATTATTATAATTACAAAATTTACCTCCAACATTTCGACCTCCGAGTGCACCCATTAATTCGTTTTCATCGTCAAACTCAAACCTAACACCTGAACCATTTGTCGATACTCCGCATCCTCCGCTGCGACACAATGAAACGGGAACTACACCATAAACGTAGAACAATAAAATTGGAACACCAATTCCCACTGCTAAACCAGCTAACACAGGAGCAACTAATACCTGAAAAAGAAATTTCAAAATTAATTTACAAAAATTAATTTCACAATTTTCGAAATTTGCCTCTACTTCAAAAAGGTCGAAGCAATTTTCTTCATTTCATCACAAAATTATTATCTTTAACGTTTTCTAACACATGTTATTATTTATCTTTCACCATGTACTTGTTTTACTTTGCTAACATTTCATCAGGAAGTAAGGAGAGCGAGAGAGAACAATAAAATTAATTGAGCCATTACACTGCATTAAACTAACTCTAAAAGCCTCAAGGCTAAAATGGAGTGCAAGTTTGCATGTTAGAGCGAACTTGCATGATTTTTGTAAGACATCAACGTTCTCTAATCCTGTACAATGTTAATTACTGTTTCCATTAGCAAAGTTTTCGATTTTTTTCATTTCTCTTCGTTCGTGAATATATTTTAATCATAAATATCGTTGATAAGTTTCTTGCAAGAATATATTGAATATATGAAGACTGAAAAATATTAAATATTCTCTCCGATAACTTTTAAAAAGCTTTAATTATATAGTATAAACTAATAGTGAAAAGTTGCGAACACAGTTAATTTTACTTCTAAAAGTGGAAAAACGATGCATCAACTATTTTCCAATAATTAATAATTCAAGTACGAGAGAGTTAATGGATAAAAAAGCTAATAACAACCTTGAAGGAAAAAAAATTTCAAGGATAACTTTTTTTTAAGATGAACATAAAATATGGAAATTAAACACGTGAATTTTTATTGCACGTGAGAAACATTAATTGCCGAAAAAAAGAAAATTTACATTAAATTTTATCAACAAATGAATAAACAAACGAAGTAATTAATTAATAATAAAAACAGTAAGTATTCGTTTTTTTTAAAATGTAATTATATGTAGTCAGAAAATAATTGTTAAATGACTAAAGAACTGATAGATTTATGTTTGCTTTCAGGGGGAAAAAAACGTTCAAAATTTTTTTTATTTCTGTCAAGAATTAATTTTTTCAAAAGTTTTAACGCAATTGTCTTGACAAATAATACAATTCTTCACAGACATTCAATTATTTTCAGAAATATTAATAAAATTCTTTGCAAAATTTCAATTAATTTCAAAAGTTTTTCGCAATTCAATGATTTTCAATATTTACTATTTTCATATATTTATCAAATAATTTAATAATTGAAAAAAAAATTTTTTATACAATTTTACGAAAACATTCAATTATTTTCATAAATAATTAAATTTCATTTAGAAATTCAATTATTGTCATCGCAGAATTTCAAAAAATTGTTAATACAATTTTTAATAAATTCCTCGAAAAATACAATTATTTTTAAATATTTTATTAAAACTTGACGAAAGAATTCAAATTTTAAAAAAACATTCAATTATTCAATAAAATAATAAAATTCGCTACAATAATTCAATTATTTTCATAAATAACTTTTAATTTGTCGCAAAAAATCAATTATTTATAAAATTTTATTAAAACTTGACGAAAGAATTCAATTTTAAGAAACATTCAATTATTCAATAAAATAATAAAATTCGTTGCAATAATTCAATTATTTTCACAAATAACTTTTAGTTCGTCGCAGAAAATCAATTATTTTAAAAAATTTTTAAATAATTCTGCAAAAGAATTCAATTATCTTGGTAATCACAAAATTCTTCCCTAGAAATCAATTACTTTAAGGAATTTTAATAAAATTCTTTTCCAGGATTCAATTATTTTGATAAATATCAAAATTCAATTCTTTTGAAAAGTAATAAAATACTTTGAAAAACATAAATTATTTATATACTTTTTAAAAATTCTCGTCAACAATTAAATTATCTTTATAAATAGATAACGAAATTTATCTCAAAAATTAAATTATTTTCAAAAATTTTAATAAAATTCTTATCAAAATTTCAATTATTTAAACAAAATTTAATAAAATTCTTCGCATAAATTCAATTATATTCATAAATTAGTATTTAAATTCTTCTCATAAATTCAATTATTTAAAAAAAATGTTAATAAAATTCTTTAAAAAGTTTTCAATTATTATTTTCAAAAATTGTTATAAAATTCTTTAATATAATAAATTTTATTTAAATTCCTTAAAAGAAATTAATTATTTTCAAAAGTTGTTACTAAAATTATTCGTAAAAATTAAATTTCAAGAAACATTCAATTATTGAATAAATTATTTATTTTATTCTATTTAAATAATTCAATTCTCGTAGAATTTTCTAATAAAAATTGATTTAAAAATTAATTTCAGTTAAAATTTAAAATAATTGAATATTAAAACTATTACAGCGTGGATTCTTTTAGAAATAATTGAATTCTGAAAAAGTTTCAAATTAAAGTTTTTCAAAATTTGAATTTTTCGCAATTTTAACTAAAAATTCTGTATAATTAATTTTTTGAAAAAGTTTAAGTGAATTATTTTTGAAATTATTCGAAATTTTTATTTTCTAATATTATATTCAATTGAAGAATTTCCGAATAATCGAAATTTTGTAAAATTAAATTGTGATTATTATCACTGGATTTTCTGTAAATAAAAACATGAAGAAATGAGGAAACGACCACTCTGAGTCGAAGACTCGATTTTTTCATGTTTTATAATAAATATTCTTTCAAGTTATTTAATTTCAAAATAGTTTGAATTTGGAAAATTTTAATTCCTACGGAAAAATAATAATTAAATATTTATTTAAAAAAGAAGTTATTGATGTTTTCGAATAATTTTACTTTTATTTATTTATTTATTGAATAAATTTGTAAATAAATGTAATAGAAAATTTTTTTGAGTATCTAATAATTTTTAGAGTGAATCAGAATATTCTTTAGGGTCAGAGAAAAGGTCAAAATTCTGTCAGGAAAGCAGGGGAAAACAAAGTTAAATTTTTCTGGAAATCCTAAATTAATTTCTTTATATTCCAATTAGTCAAATTAGACTTTAGTTGTTGTTTAGCTATTTTGTCTATCTACAAATTAAATAAACAGAATATATGTATTTCAACAGTAGGTAAAATTTTCGCTTAAAAGGTTTAAAGGTTAAAGTCAACAAGGCAGATGATTGTCCTTGCATAAAGTTATTTCTGTTGGACATTGAAAGGCACGTCATTTTCACTCCATAAAGCAGCAATAAAATTCCTTAGCCAAAAGCTAATGAAATTTTCCGATTTCAAAAAAGGAAAATTCATTGAGCAAAAGTAAGACGATGTCCTAATTTCGACAATGGACTCATGATGCCATCAATTATTCGACTTGAATAAGGGATGTAAAAAGAAATTACAATCATACATTCCAATGATAGATAAAATGGGAGAAAGATATTGATTAAAGCAAGCAAAGGGAAAGAGAGAACGAGAGATACAGAAGCATGCGCGTCGAGGAGATATCGTCCCACCCATGGCGCCGTCATGCGAGGTATCTGGAGCCATCACTAGCCATCACACTGCAGTTAGGCCGGGAACAAAGTCAGACGAGTCGAGGCCGCCGGAAGGGGTCAGTAGTCGGTGTGTTGCACTTCCTGGTCATACAAATCCGGCCAATGACAAAAAAACATTCAACCATGTCTCACTCGAGTAATGAAATTCAGTCTTTGTAACAGGAAAAAGGAAGGTCCAGAAAAAAACGATTCATTCTCACATCGAGACTCGCCCAATGAGTTAGTTTAATAATGCTCGGCACGAAGCAGTGAAGTAGACCTGGCAATAAAAAAGTAAACGATTTAGAATCAGTAAAAAAAATTGCTGGAAATATTTTGAGGATAAAGCAAGAATGTCTGACAGTGAGGACACCGATGGTTCCGGTGGTGAGTGGCCGGTGACCAAGGAATGGCTCGAAGGACTATTGGCCGAACATCACGGCGCAGGATCTCAAGTCACCGTTGATGATTTCACAGTGAGACCCGGTTGCACCGCTGGCGAAAGTGTTCTCAGTGACATATTAGCTGTAACGGTTGAATATCGAACGAAACCCGATGACACGCGGTGCGAACTCAGTGTCATTGTCAAGCTTCTGCCTCAGGACCCCTACAATCGATTCTTCGTCACCGAGGCTCAGTTCGATCTCCGAGAAATCAAATTCTACACTCAGGTAACTTTTTCCTTTTCACTGAAATAATTTATTATTAGAGACAACTTAGAGAGAATTTAAAGAGAATTTAGAGAGAGTTCGACAAGAGAAATTATCCTTTTTTTTGTAGGTGGTACCTGATTTGGAAGCCTTCCAAAAGAAACAGTTGACATCGCCCGACCTAGCAATCGAATTGCCAATTCCGGCTTGTATCCACGCGCACTACAGTCCAGGTGGTGGCACAGAAGACAGTCCCGAACCACCAGAATCTTTTCTCGTCTTAGAGAACCTAAGACCACGAGGTTTCGAGGGAGCGGAATTCTCTCGCGGTTTGACACTAAAACAAGCCGAAGCAGCTCTCAGTGCTGTCGGATGTTTACACGCTCTCTCCCTAACATTAAAAGTCAAAGAAGGTCGCCAACTCTCCGAACGTTATCCCTTTCTTTTCCAAACAGCCAGGGCGACCGATTCCTATCAGCAATTAGTGGAACGTGGCCTCCCACAATTGGCCCGTTTCCTCGAAAGAAGACCAGGTCTCGAAACAGTTCTCGAAGCTCTCCTCACTCTTCGACCTCGCACGAAGGAAGTAATCGCCGCTCTTCTAGCCCCCGAGGATCCTCTCTCACTCATAACTCACACCGACTTCTGGTGCAATAATCTCCTCTTCAAAAATGACGACGACGGAAGTTGTAAGTGCGCCATCCTCGACTGGCAAATGGTCACCTACAGCCGACCAACAAACGACATCGCCCTCCTACTCGTCAGTTCCGTACCCACAGAACTACGACGTCGTCACACACAAACTTTACTCGATAAATACTGGGAGGTTCTCACCACATCGAGTTTCAATTTAGGTGTCGACATTCCAAAAGATTTAGGCTACTCGAGATCCGATCTCGACAAAGACTACAGACGATCACAATTACTCGCTCTTCTTCTCTGCATAGGCTCAGTCGATGTCGCTCTCGGCGATCCTCTCACCGAACAACGTCTCATTGACGTCCTCGAAGATCTCCACAATGACGGGGTCCTGACTGGTGAACTCGCCGAAACTACAGTTACGAATCAATAAGCCACCGCCAATAACCTTTTGGTTTACGATAATCGCATTATCGCATATTTAGGACAGTGAACTGATTGACCTCGATCTGTGCAAAATGAAGCCGTTACTTGTGTCTTTTATTTCTCCACCAGTCGAGTTCCACATTTAAATTTCACAATCTTACCCAATACAACCAAAACTTGAAACTTATTTATTCAAGTTGTACATAAATAAGAATTTATTTTCACTCCGAAAATTTTGCACGAAGCGACAATCATTTATTTTTCCGAAAAGGAGACTCAAGTAACAATTTCCAGTTCTGTGCAATTGCCAAAGTAGAAATTATGATAAATTAGTACGAAACCAGTAGAATGCAAAAGGAACATTAATCGCAAAATCGATGAAAAGGAAACTGTTTTTTTTTTAGAAGCTTTATGCGTGCGAAAGTAATCGAGCTTCTTCGTGAGACGATTTTTCATTTTCTTCACATCGACAAAAAAAAGTGCGCGATTAAAATATTGTTGAGTCGAATAATAATGTTTGATAAAAATATAAGCTTTGTTCACGTTGATACAAAAATATTCATTTTCCCTCATTCACGAAATCAACTATTTTATATGAAATCACATTTTTCACTAAGGCACACTTTCCTTTTTTCGAAAAAATTTTACGAATTTTCCTATTTTACGAAAAAAAAACAAAAAAAAAAAAAAACCTGTCTATTGAATGAAGAAAAAATTGTAAATTCAATTATGACAAAAATTGACTCTTGATTTTTGGCATATTTTGAAATATCAAATAATTCTACGAAAAATATTTATTAATACTACTCTCAGTATTTGTGCCAATACAAAAGACTGGCTAATTAAAAGCTTGCATTCAATTTATTGAATAAAATAAAGAGAAATGAAAAAACAAATCTAATTGTTAAAAACTACTAGACGTATTGTTATTTTATAATTAATACTTTTCCTGAATAATAAATTATCGATATAAAAACAACTTAGTTTTAACAAAAAGTTTTTCAATATTTATAACCCAATATTTTATCAATAAAGAATGACTGTTAATTATTTTGTTTTATGAAAAGTTTTAATATGAAAATTATTAACTCACCGATGCTGTTACTCCGCCCACAATGAAAGCGTTCCTTTTGTGTTTGTTTGCTTTTTCGTATCTGGTGTACAATTTTCTGCCCACCCATACAGGTATACCTAAACATTATAACAACGCATCGTTTTTAGGTTGAATTACGATATTGAATTACATTTTTAATTAAAAGGTAAAATTTAATGAAATTAATTAAATAAAAATTAACGATTATAAGGTAAAAAAAATTCTTTAGACTTCTTTACTAAAAGAAAAGAAATAAAATTCTAAAGCTTGTAATTTGCAAATTGTCCAAATTGGAAAAAATTCCAAATTGGAAAATTTGGAATTTTACTTCTTTTGATTTAAAATTTAATTAAAAAATAAGTTCAAAACCTTCAAAAAAGGTTCAAAACCTTTTTTTAGAAAAAATCAAAAAAATACAAGACCAATTTTAAAATCATTGAAAGCTATCTTCCTTCACAAGTATTACAATTATCATTAAGAAATTTTTGATTAAATGATAAAAGTCGATAGAAAGACCTTCGAAAAAAATTCAAGATTTTGATAAAAAGATATTTTCCGATTAGGTATGCGAAAGGGTAATTCGAAAAATTCTCACCTATTATCATTGCAGGAACAGCTATACCCGCGACAAGACCAATTCCAACTGGAGCTCCAACCAAAGTTCCCAATTGCCATAAAATCTTCTTCTTTCTGGACCAAGGTTTCTTGCCCCAAAATGTACATCCCGATGGACTGTAATTATTTTTAAAAGATTATTCTCTATTTTAGAAAAAATATTTCTTGAATAAAGAAAAAAATGTAATTTTTACCTCAAATAATGAAGATCACTAATTTCTTTCATACAAAGCCAACAAAATTCGGCTGTACAGACGGCGCAAGTCATGTGATTGCAACTGCCATCATCCATTTTAACAATGAGAACTTGACATCTCGGACAGGGTTTAATGTCATCTCCTGTAAAAATTTATTTTAATTATTTTCTTTTTCAAAATAAACTAATGTAGATAAATAACTTTCAAAAATCACTCTCTTTAACTTTTTAAGCTCTTTACTAAATTTACAAATTACAATACAGAGTTCAATGCATAATAAAGAATGAAAATGAAAAATTTATGAAAATAATTTATTTCTTATAAACAAATGTTATCAAAATTTTAAAAAAAATTTGTTTATTTTAAACTATTTTATTGAAATATTTTAGATAATTGAATTTTTTTTTAAGAATTTTATAAAAATTGAATAGAATAATTCAATTATTTCGAATAATTTCATTAAAATTGTATTTCAAATAATTAAATTTCTGTGAAAATTTTTTTATTCTAATTAAATTTTCTCGATGAAATTTATTACATTTTTTGAGATTAATTTTTGTATTTCAACTATAGTGCAAATTTTCAAAAAAAAATAACCGCATTTGGGCCTTTTTATTATAAGATAATTACAAAAAGCAAATATTTAATTAATTTAATTTCAAAGTAACTTATTTTTAGATTTATCTCTCTAAGAGAGAGAGAGAGAGAGAGAGCATTTCTAATTGTAATTATTATACTGTTTTCAAGTCGTATTATCTTTCGTATAAATAAGGGTAAAAATAGAAATACATTCATAACGTTCAGATAAACTATATAGTGTGTCTTAATGAGAAAGGTAATTAACTTACTGTGTTGTGAATCACTTTGGCTGAAACTTAACGACGAACTTCGTTCATAGTGTTGGAATCTTTGAGCTCGTGCAGCGTCACACGTCTGATTTGGATGCCATCGAGCTTTACAGTGGTAGCAAAAATATGAATCACAACCTGGCCTTTCGCAACGTAATTTTGGACAAGAAGCACAGCCACTTGCAATTACAGCGAAGAAACAATCAGGAGCAGGACACCATCTTGCGTCTGGTTCGACGGCAAGAACTCTTCGAACCATAAAATCTTCATACTTTTCTAACTGAACTTGATCGTTTAAAATCATACGAATATCTGCAAGGAAATAAATTCTCCATTAAATAATTAAATCTCCATATTGCAGGGCTCGAACCAGTGAAAGTATTTCAAAATACGGACTTTACGGACCAAAAACTAAAAATTACGGACCATTTACTGACGAAAATATAAGTCCGAGTCAAATAAGAGAACATTTTACTTAAAACTACAAATTAAAGTTTTTATAACTATATAAAACATGAAGATATCGATAACTCCGAGTTTTCGACTCGGAGTGATCGATTTCTTCATGTTTTATAATAATTAAATAATTTCAATTATTCGTCAATTCTTCAATTAAAACTATATTAGAAAACGAAAACTTAAAATAAAAAAATTCAATTAAGCTTCTTAAAAAAAATTAATTTCAAAATTCAATTTTTTCTAAAAATTCACGCTATATTGCTTGTAATATTTAATTAAAAAATCTAAAATTTTAACTGAAATTCATATTTAAATCAATTTTTATTAGAAAATTCTACTAGAATTCAATTAGTTAAATACAAATAAAATGCAAATAAATAATTTATGGAATAATTGAATGTTTCTTAAAATTGATTTCTCATAAAAAATTATATCAACAAATTTTTAAATAATTGAATTCTTTCCACGAATTTTAAAAGGATTTTTAAGAATTGAATTCTTTCGACGAACTATAATAGAATTTTTAAGAATAATTGAATTCTTTGCAGGAATTCAATTAAAATTGTACTGAAAATAATTGAATTTTTTGTGAGAAAAATTTTGCAATTTATAAAGATAATTGAAATGTTAGCGAGATTTTTTTTTCAATTTTTGTAAATAATTGAATTTCTGCGAAGAATTTTATTACCTACTTTTCAAGATAACTGAATTCTTTTGATGAATTCTTTTGTTATTTATGAAAATAATTGATTTTTGCAATGAATTTTATTAAAATTCCTGAAAATAATTGAATTCCCAAGAAGAATTTTATTTCTTTTGAAAATAATTGAATTTCGCATTGAATTTTTTGAAAATTCCTGAAAGTAATTAAATTTCTACGAAAAATTTTATTATTTTGGAAATAATTCAACTTACTTCAAAAGAATTTGAATTAAAATTTTTCAAAAAAATTCATTAAATAATTTTTAAGTAATAATTTTATTTTAGTTCTTGAAGAATTAAGTTATTTAAAAAGAAATTATTGTCAAAAATAGAAAAATTGAAGGTTTTTTATTAGAATTCGTGGCAATAATCTGTACTTTTTATAAAATTTAATTTTTTTCGTGTTTTTAACTAAAATTCTTCTATAAATGCATTATTTTTAATAATGTTTAAAAAATTTCTTTGAGAATTTTCAAATGCATTTGTTTACAAATCAATTTAACAAAATTTCAATTATTCGTTAATTCTTCAATTAAATATATCTTAGAAATTAAAAACTTTATATAATTTAAAAAAAAGCAATTACAACTTTCTCAAAAAAATTTAATTCCACAGAATTGTTAGTTAAAAATATGAAAAATTCAGATTTTCAAAGATTTTGATTTAAAACCTTTTCAAAATTCTACTAGAATTCAATTATTGCATTTTTCTTAAAATTGGATTCTCATAAAGAATTTTATTAAAAAATTTTTTAAGTAATTGAATTCTTTTGAGGAATTTTAATAAAATTTTTAAGAATAATTACATTTTTCGAGGAATTCGATTAAAATTGTATTAAGAATAATTTAAATTCTGCAATGAATTTTATTATTTATGAAAATAATTGAATTCCTTAAAAGAATTCTATTATTTACGAAAATAATTGAATCCCTGTAAAAATTTTATTATTTATGAAAATAATTGAATGATTGCGAAGAAATTTATAAAAAATTTGTAAATAATTGAATTTCTGTAAAATTTTTATTATTTTATGAAAATAATTGAATTATTGCGAAGAAATTTATAAAAAAAATTGTAAATAATTGAATTCCTGTAAAATTTTTATTATGAAAATAAAAAAAATTAGTATTATTATTATTATATTATTATTATTATTATTATTATTATTATTATTATTATTATTATTATTATTATTATTATTATTATTTTATGAAAATAATTAAAGGTTTGTGTAGAATTTTATTAAATTTTTTTAAAATAATTGAATTCTTTAGGACAATTTTATTAAAATTAGTAAATTTTGAAAATCATTGATTGAGCAAAATTTTTGAAAATAATTGAATTTCGGTAAAAGAATTTTAATATTTCTAAAGATAATTGAAATTTTGACAAGAATTTTTAAAAAAATTTTGAACATAATTGAATTTCTGCGAAGAATTTGATTACTTTTGAAAATAATTGAATTTCTGCAATCATTTGTAATTTCTCTAAAATTCTCCAAATTATATCGTACAATTTAAGAACTTTTCGTCTTTTCTTAATCAAATTACGGACTTTATGGATCTTTTTTCAAAAAAACGAACTTTTACGAACTTGAAGCAAATTTACGGACCTTTACGGGATTTACGGATCTAGTTCGAGCCCTGCATATTATATCTCAAATTGGCATAATTGAAAATTTAGAAATCGACAATTATGTGTTTGAAAAAAATACAAAAAAAACAATGAAATAATTTTTTAAATACTTGCCATTAGGATGTAAAGGCTCGGAACATTCAGGACACGCGATATTGACTCTTGATTCGGAAATTTCAACCTTAAGATACTGTTGAAAGCAATCGTAACAACTTCGATGGTGGCAAGTTTGAATCGTAGGAAATAATTCGCTTGGCAATTCGGCCAAGCAGAGAGGACATTCTAGTTCTCCACTTTCGGTACTCTGAAAGTAATAAAAAAATTTCTTTTTAGTCTTTTTTGAATTCTTGTTTTTTTTCAATAATTTCGAAAGAATAATTAATTTTATACCTTCCCTGCAGTTGACAGGACCGAGCCCTTACTGGAAGCTCGTTGAAGATCGGAATTGTGTGACTGAAAGTGAGACGATCCATTACTAACTCTAGCTTCTCCTTTTTCCACATCTATCACTCTATTAACAGGATCTTTTGCTGAAAACAAAGAATTTCATATTTTACTTCAAAGTGTGCAATAATTACAATTAATACTACGTAAAAAGCATGAATCGAACTTGTTTCACAATTATGCAAATCGAACATCAATTATTCAGATTTATTTACCTTTGGTATTTCTGATGCTAGAATTAGTCACTCGTGAAATTCGGCGACCAATTAAAGGACTCGAATATAATAATCTTCGTAATGAAAACCTTGGAAAAAATCGGCGAGGTCTAGAGGTGACACCATTGCAACCTCCTGCTCCGTTTTCAACTTCTTTGAGCATTCTTCAATTATTCACTCTTATCTCACCAAAAATCTTTTTTATCATTTCATTTTATGATTCCAATATATTCGGAGTAGCAGGAAATATTCTCTGTAAAAAGAAAATTTTTTCATTAATTACTAAGAATTTTATTTATACCAATTTTACAAGTACGCTAAGTATGAAAAATTGATTTATTCCAGAATACGAAGAATGTATATGAAAAATTCCAATTCTCAAGGTAAATTAAATTAAACAACGATTTGTGAAATCTTTTTATGCAGATGAGTCATAAGTACGTACGAACAACTTTCTCGTTTCAGAAAAGAGTTGATTTTAATAAAAATTTTTAATAAAAATTGAACTCTAGATAAATATAAATAGAGAAGCAAAGTTAATTTCAGGATGAAAACGTTTGCTGCAATACTTATGTTTTTATTTAAATGCACACAACAGCTGACCTGAACTGATCACAGACTACACTTTTTAGCGAATGACTACTTGCTGCACAATAATTTTCTTTCTCCTTCCTTGTCGTCGACCATCAAACTGCTAACACTTGTGTGTTACCTTGCACACACCAAGATCAAATATATAGAGTGGAAACCTACAAGTTCTACACAGCGATGAAAGTGACATCACATTCAAGCACATTAACTTTTCAAAACATATTTAAAAAAAAAGCAAATGAATTTCGGAAAAATTACCTATAATTTACAGATTGAGCCAAAAAATCTATTTTTACAAAAATTGGTAAAAATCAAAAAAAAGAAAATCAATATCAGAGAAAATTTTCTTTAATTTCCAACTTTTGACACGTTTTCAAAATGAACTGGAACTGAAATGAACTGAAAAGTACAAATCGTGAGGTTTTATTGACACTCGAATAATTAATATTAACTGGACAAATGGACTCAAAGTTTTCCATTTCATTTATAGTAAAAAAATGTCACGTTTTTCCATAAATTAGCTTACTTCGCACTGAAACACGATACCTAAGAATCAAATAAGAACTAGTTTTAAAACTGTGTGTTTAATAGAAAAAATAAATAGATTTATTCAGTAAGGAATTATAGAAATTTACATATCTTGATGTACGTGACAATTAATTACAGTTTCTCAAATTAATTTTTATTCTACAAAAACGTATACAAATATAATTAACTTTTACTAATTGGAAAAAATCTTTTGTAATAAATTTAAAAATAAAAAAAAAATTCAATTTCCTCTTTATAAATTGCAAGTAAACAATATTTTAATAATAAACAAATATTCGTGCTTTTTTTGCTAAATTCTTTAAACCTGTTTACAAACTTTTTAAATACTCCAAAAACTTATATAAGAACCGTGAAAAACATTTTAAACAATAATTACCTACAATCATTATCGTAAATAATTATCAACAACGTCTTTCGAACTCAGCATTATTTTAACTTTATGACGCTACAAATTCTTTTGTAAGGTGAAGACTCGGGTTTCGTGTTATCTTTATCTGTTTATTTTTACATAAATAAAATAATGCAGCTATTTTTTTCTAAAAAAGAATTCCAAAAACAAAATCGCTGTTACAAGTCTAAATTGAAAAAAAAAATTTGATTAAATTCCACGAATAGTGCAAATCGGGCAAATCAATTTAATTTTCAAAGTCAAGTTAGCAAAATGTATATCGTTCTGTTTATTAATGGAAAAATAGTAAATGCTAAAAAACTTATAGGTATACCTGAAAGACAAAATTAAAAAAACACTGCCGACATTAATATAAAATTATTACAAACCTTTTAAACTGTGCAAAATTACTTTTTCCGAATTCCTGTTATTCTGATTCTTCTGATTATAATATTTTTAAGCGCACATTAAAAAAAAACTGATGTTGACAACCACTGAATTTACAAAATAGCAAAAACGAGTGTAAACAAGTTTAACTTTAAAGTAGATAATCGCACTACGGCTGATACTATAAATAAACAATTAATATAGAAAAAAAGTATTATAAATTGATTATCGGATGTGTAAATTTTTTTTAAATATGTTATGATTAAACACTGTTGACACGTTAGAACATGTCAACCATTCTGTCATTGTCAATCTCCTCCCTCTCTTCTTGTTTATTGCGCAGTTCATACGCGCATTCTAGTTGCCGCGAAATTTAAACTATAGATGCGAAAAAATAGTTTAATTATTAACTGTTTTATTAAAAAAATGAATTTTTAACGAGGTCATTTTTTATTTTACTAATTGTTGTGTTTATATGTTATATATAATTTTTTATTAATGTTTATTGCGTTTAATGGCACTTGTTTCTGTTGTAAAGAAAGGAAAAATCCTTTCTTTAATATAAATATAAAGCTTTATTCACATGTTCGGAAGAAAACTGGGTAATAAACTGGACAAATTATTTTCTATCTCTTTTCTTTCTATGGATGGAACATTTTACGAAAGCTGTCAGTGTCACTCAGAGAAAAATAATTTGTAAATTTTATTTTTATGTGTGTGTTCAATAAATTCGTATAAAACAGTTTAGAAATTATTTACTTTTCTTAGTTCTTTCGTTACGATGACAGTGACGAAGAAGCAATAATTGCGTGTATTTATTTGTTAATTCTTTCCGATCCACTGTATGTTTATACGTAAATCAGCTGTTTTCTAGCAATACAATACAAAGTGTAATTTTTATATAGTTAATTCTTTCGGTAAGGTTTATTTTCTTTGCAAATAAAATGAATAAAATTAACAATCATCGTTATCCATAAATTAGAACTATGCAACAATGATTCGAATTTTGTTTTACAGAAACACTGCAATTAAAATTAAAATGTCGTCTACTCATCGAGAAGCAATTCAGAAACAAATTCAACAAGACTGGGCAAACAGGGAATACATTGAAGTCATAACTGGCAGTATTAAGAAAATAACAGATTTTCTAAACTCCTTCGGTAAGTTTATTTAAACTTTATTTTAATAATACTATCCCCCAATGTGTCGTTTTGAAAACAAAGTTTTTAATCTCTCCAGATATGTCCTGCAGATCACGATTAGCAGTTTTAAATGAAAAACTCTCTACTCTTGAGCGTAGGATAGAATATTTGGAAGCACGTGTAAGTATATGTGACGCGATCTGAAGAAAGGGACCTTAGAAGCAAAAAATTATAGGTTATGTTTGCAATTTTTTAAATGAAAATACAAAAAAAGGATCAACTGTCAATATAAATCATTAAAGTTTAAGTCTTCATTAAAACTAAAATATTTAATAAACACTGATTTTAATTCGAAATAAGTAAAAAGAAACTTTCAAACAAGAAAAAAGTAACTCTAACCCAACCTTAAAATGATTTGCTTCTAAGGTCCCTTTCTTCAGATCGCGTCACATATGATACATAGAAATCTAATTAATTGATTAATTCATCTATTAAAATTAATTAATAATTATTTTCAGGTGACCAAAGGAGAGACTTTAACATGAAATATCACCATGAAAAATTTTATACTATACCCTTTTTTTACTTTTGTCTATTATATACAATTGTATATATCTATATATATTTATAGTATTATTTTAACAAACTTTTGAATTATATTAATAAAAAGAAAAATTAATTCAAGTACATTTATTATTAATATTATTATTAATTATTGATATATTACATTTAGAACATTATTCAGTTCACATAATAGATCAACTAATTTTGTTTCACTGAACATAATTCAAGATTTTCTTTATGTTGTCCAACCTCTCTCGTATGTCTTCACTTTCGACCGTTCTGTTCGGAATAATGGACCACGATTCGCACCTTCAATCGTCCCATCTTCTGATGTTGGGAAGAACTGCCAATCACTTTCTATTGAATCTTTTTTGCAAGCAGCAAAAATACTTAAGACGATAGTTCCATAAAGTGTGGTTAAAAAGCATTTACTCCAAAGACCTAATACACCTCCGGCTGCACAAGCTATTTCGATCAGAAATAAATAGAAAACATAAAATTCACGGACAAATAATAAACCTTAATAAAAGTGAGAAATTGATAAATGTACTTTACCTCCTATTACATAATTCAAGGGATCGTCTTTTCCTCTTAAATTTGTTGCCATATAGGTTGTTGATGCAAATGCACAACCCATCCCCGTTAAAGGGATTATCCAAAAGCCAAGGCAACGAGCTGAATCGTAAAAAGTTTTTGTTTTAGATTTCATTATAATATCAGACATTCCCATTAATGTGCCAGTCGCAACCGAGTACTTAGAGATACCCATAAGTTTATTCAATGGATCATGACCCTCCGGTTGAGCATAATAATTAAATCTTTCGAAAACATATCTCAGGGACATTTTGAATTCTCGCGAATATCTAAAAATTAGAAAAATCAATTCTTATTTGGTAAAAGAATATTAATAAAAAGTCACTTGTTTTTAAAAGAAAAAAAAATCACCATCAATCACAAGTCTTAAATATAGCAAAAATTCCTTTTTTACATAAAAATACACTTTATTTAAATATAGTCCATTAATTATAACTTGAAATTTTATTTGTGTTTGCAAAAACTGCTATTAATTGATAAAAATGATAAATAAAGTCAGAAAATAACAGGAGCAATTCTTAACAAAACTTACCAGAGTAGATTGTAAGATAAATTCTAATTATTCAGAGTTTATAAAACTGTTATAAAGTTGGAAAAAATTAAAAATAAATCATATTAAATACCATCATTGACCATAATAAATTTAATCAGCTGTTACCTAAAATTTCCTAAAGGTCTTGTTGCAGCTTGCAACAGCACAACACAAGTGTGAGCCGTGTGAACCAAGCTTAATGTTGTTTTTCTCATTTCTTGCGCAACATTTTTCAGAAAAAGTCTGTGTTTACTTATTTTAAAAATTAAAAATGTTTAAATCTGCCACTGTACGTTTAATTCCGCAGGTAATTATAGTAATTTTAAGAATTTACTACTAAATGTAAATTGCTATTTAATAGTTACAAAATAATTAACTGTCAATAATTTTCTTTTTCTATATAACAACAATATTAATATTTCTAACCTATACCTAATATTTTTATCATATTGTCTATTGTTCATATCGTTCTTATTTATTCAATTTATTCATTTATTCAAAGTTAATAGTTATTGAAATTGTAACAATTAAAGAACAATTAAAAACAAGTTTGTTCGAGTAAAAATGATTTACAAAATGAAAAATAAAAGAAACTATTATTACGATAATTGACAAATTCTAATTTTAAATAAATTGTTTCAGGGAAGAATTATCACTCGTGTTTTCAGTTCTCAGTCTTCGACGAAAAAAAGTGATGGAAGTTCTGCAGTAAATCCAAATGTACAGGGTCTGAGCGAAAATTGCGTCAAGGTGCCAAATCATCGTAAGTTTGTTTATCAAAATAAATTTTTGTTTATTCTATTCGATTACTGATTTTCTATAAATTTATCAGCTGTTGGTCCCGGTGCATCAAAGGATAAGGAGTACAAAACTCCCGAATACTTTTGTTTCACCGCATTTTCATTTGCGGAGGCTGAAGTTGAAATGGAAAAGTATCGACTCCCAGCACCGTCTAGTAAAGCCAAACACACTAAATAAATTTAATTCACAATTATGTATGTCTATTTAAATAGAAATTATTTCATAATTTATGCAATAATAAATTAATAGTATTTAATTAAAAGCACATTAGTAGAAAAATGTTCTGTTTTTATTCTTTACTATCCCAATTAGTAAAGTTAATTTTTCATTTTATCTTATTATCTCTCCTTTTGTTTTTTTTCAGAGAAATATTTTTAAAAGTTGCGGTATTGGAATTGGACATTTTTTTTGTGCTCGTGCGCACGCATTTGGCAATCGGGAGAAAAAGAAGCCGGTCTTTAAACTACCGTATGAACTTAATTTAAGTTCTTTACAGCTCATGAGCTCAGCTGACTGACAGTTGAATTTTGTCATCATTTGCAATATGTCTGTAATAGAAAAAGTACAGCATTATCAGCGGAGTATAGAAAAATGTTTCGACAACGAAGAAAGGGTATGTAATTAATTAATTTTCTCACCCTCAATCGTTTGAAATAACAAATTTTTATATTTGTTTCCTAAAGGATGCATCTAACCTCAAAAAAAAAAAAAATTACAATTTTTTTTTTATTAAACAAATGACGTAATTGAAAATTAATAAATTATTGGTAAAAAAAAAGATTTTTTATTCAAAAAACAATAATTTTACATCCCTGAGAATTCATTCGCGGAGGATTTTCTTTTTTCTACAAATAGTAACATTTTTTTATCAACAGCCATCTGTTACACATTGTTGAATAGTTTCGTTTTTTTCTCTTTGAAAAATATTTTCAAGAAGGGAAGTATAAAAAATAGGTTTCTTTTTTTGTCTTAAGGGTATTTTTTTGGGAATTTTAAAAAGAAATGGAACAAAGATTGCACTGTAAGTAAGGATTGTATTGTAGTTTGAAAATGTAACTCAATGATTTTAATTACTGTAAAATTTGATTTATATGATTATACATATTGTATTTTAATTAATTTTTTTTTCGATTAACAAAACAGGTGGATTTAATGTATATTGAAATTGATTTTTAGTTTTTTCGTGTACTTGTTTAGAAAGATTTTCTAATACAATGGAAAAAGTAACAGGGTGAAATGTGTAGTTTTCAAATTTCGTATTTTTTTAAAACTAATTTCCATCTGCTGCACTAGTTGTAAAAATAAGAATATCTAATCTATGTACCTCCACAACTTGTTCTACTTTCTCTTCATAAAAAAAAAGTTCTCTTAAAACAACCACATTATTATATTTGTAAAAGAGAAATGTTGATTTACTTATATCATTCTATGTTTAAATAATTACACAAGAAAAAGTGTAAAAAGGACAAAAATAATTTTTCCAAGTTAGCAACAAGAATTAATATTTCTTAATTATCTTATCTTTAGATATTGCTAAGAAAGATTTTTTTGTATTTAACTATCGTTTCAAAAATTTCAGAAGGAAATGCACTTTAAAAATTTTATTAATTACATTTATACTTATTATCAAAAATAAAAATATATATTGAAGGAGATTTAAATTTATTCGTATTTTCAGGTGATGTATTGCATATCCAAACTTTATCAATTGCCGGTCACAGTACAGCATTTAAGGGAAACGGGAGTTGGACGAACAGTAAATTCGTTGCGTAAATTCGATGGAGGTGTTGGTAATGCAGCGAAGGCTTTGGTTTGTAAATGGAAGACAATGGTAGCTGATGAAGACTCAAGTGATCCTGAGGAAGAGGACGAAGCTTGTGTGCCAGACGCTCCAGAAAGTTACAGTGAATCTCCAGAATCCCCCAGTCCAGATAACACTTCTGAAAATAATAGGCCGAGGTGTGTGAAAAAACAATTTTTTAACCTAAAAAGTTTCATTAAATTATTAAATTTTGAATCTATTAACAAAATTTAATTTTTCCAGGCATAATAATGAAGAATCAAAAGAAAAATCTGTAAATAAATCAACAAAACACGGATCTTCGGAGCACAGTTCAAAGTATTCACTAAAAAGCAACACTAATTCCGAAGTTAGCAAAAGTAATAAAAGTTCCGATAAAGAGAGACATTCAAAAACAGAATCGAAAAATCACGAACAAAAGCAGGAAAATAGAAAGCACTCATCAAAACATGAATACGATAATGAAAAATCAAGAACTTCAAAAGAACAAGACACAAAAAGAAGGCACGATTCAAAGGATAAAAATCGAACAGACTCAGACATCGGTAAAGTCTCCAGTAGTACTGAATCATGCGAAATGAATGACAATCACAGAAAACGTAAACAGGAAAAATCAACAAGGGACAAGGAGGTTAACAAGAAAAGGAGATATTCAGATTCCGAAAGCGAGGAGGATAATTCTCGTCTTATTATTAATTCGCCAATAGTTTCCGAGCCCGAATCGCCTAACGCAGAGTCTGACACAGGAACTGAAACATCAGGAACTTCAAAAAAGAAAAGTAATCATTCATCATGTGATAAAACACCTTCGCGAAAAGAAACAAGTGATAAAGAGAAAAAACGAAACAAAGAAAAAAGTGATACAAAGCACAAGTCGAAATCCGAGGGTGAGAGGGAAAGTTCAAAACCAAAAGATTCAAAGAAAGATGATAAGCGTAAAAAAGAAAGTCATAGTTCTAGTAAACATTCTTCTAAGTCAAAAAGTTCACATAGTTCATCTAGTAGTAAAGAACGTAGTAGGAGCAGTGATGTAGAGCAGGAAAAGGATAAGAAACATAAGCGAGATGATAAGTCCAAGTCTAGCGATAGTAAGGAAAATGACAAAGATCAGAAATTAAAGAAGAAAATCAAGAAGGAAAATAGCGAGGAAATTGATGGCATTGATTCTCAATCAGGTGAGCAATTTATCAAATTGCAAATTCTTAATTTGTAAATTGTATTAACATTCAGAGTTTTGGAAGATTTATATTTATTTCGATAAATTATAAACTTTGATCTTTGTAAATACTGTTGAAATGTTATAATACTAAAATTTACGTTTCTATAGGTACAAGTTTTGCAGAAGCTCTTGGCATGTGCACGATGCCACCGCCTTCACGTAAACGAGGAAACTATCCGAGTAGTTCATCTGCGCCAAAACCAATTAAAGTAGAACCCGGTACTTCTTGTACTTCTGCTAAGATATCACCACCAATAACAATTAAGACTGAAGCATCCAATATTAATTTAAATGTAAGAAATTATTTTTTATATATTTCGTTAGCATTTTTTTCATCAATTCGTTGGCGATATAAATCAGGGCTCGAACTAGGTCCGTAAATTTGCTAAATGTCCGTTTTTTTTAAAAAAAAAAGGTCCGTAAAGTCCGTAATTTGATTGAGAAAAGACGAAAAGTTCATAAATTTGACTTGGACTTATTGTCCGCAAATGGTCCGTAATTTTTCATTTTTAGTCCTCAAAGGCCGTATTTTTAAATACTTTCACTGACTTGAGCCCTGTATAAAATTATAAATAGAATTTGTTTAACTGAAATAAATTTTTACAGCCATTGTCACTTTTGTCATCAAATGTCAAACTTGAACCATTAAGCATAGACTTGGCATCAACTTTACCTGAAATTAGTCCTAATTATAAGCCACTAGCTCATAGCGTAGTTCCAGTAAATCGAAAAATCGATGAATGCAGAGCTCTGTCCGATGCAATATACTGCAAAACACAAAGGTTCTATAATAATTTTTTTATTATAATTTTATAATCAATATTTCGATGAATTGATTTTTATGTATTCATAAAAATTTCCTTTATTTCAGAACAAAAGTCTTTTCTGGAAATAAAAGCAGTTTGACAAATATACCAACTTTGTATGAACTGTGCATTAGAGTATTAATAGATAATATTGAAGGTATGTTTTCGATCTTTGTCACATTTTGACATAACTATGATAATTATTACTGTAATAAATCAACTACTAAATTAAAATGAATTATCTAATAAAAAAAAAAATATTTTTCAGCTCTGGAAGTTACGGGTGGTGTTCCATATTACATAATAAAACCAGTTTTAGAAAGAGCAACACCTGACCAACTGTTTATGTTGGAACACTTTAATCCGTACCTTATCGAAGACACAGATCCCTTATGGAAATTTCATTGTAGCCGCGAGTTTAGAACTCAATCGAGAGAAGAGATGGAATCTTGGCGAGATATGTATATGGTAAATAAGTAAATTTATGTAATTTAATTTATACTAGACGGTAGTTTATTGGTTTTCTGAAAATTAAACACGAAACGCAACTTTGTGACAAAAAAAAAAAAGAAAATTTGTTGTTTTGCAGCGCTGCTTGGACGAAAGAGAGGCAAAATTGAAAGCTTTTACGGCAAATATGAAACATGCAATGGACAAATCTGTACCAGTGAGGTCGACCATACAGGTGTATGATGATCACATTAAACCACCTCGAAATGTATTGCGAAAGCAAGCCAAATACGGAACTGCGAGAGATTTGCCCATCACTTCATCGGAAGTTAAGAAAAAACTAATTTCTGGTAATACTCAGAGCAATTCTTCAACAACTTGCCCACCGTCGCCAATAGCCCGAATAAAAGCATCTTGTAAGTATAATGATAAGCATATATTCTTTAATATGTAATTGTTTTAATTAAATTTTCCAAAAGAATTCAATTATTTTCAAAAATTTTAATAAAATTATTGACAAAATTTCAATTATTTTCAAAAAATTTTTCTCAATATTCAATGATTTTCAATATTTACTATTTTAATTAAATTTTCATACAGAATTCAATTATTTAACAAAACTTTTAATAAAATTCTACTCAAGAATTTAATTATTTTTATAAATAATAAAAATTTTACAGGAATTCAATTATTTACGATTTTTTTATTTAATTCGCAGTGATTCAATTATTTTCATAAATAATAAAATTAATTTTTAGTAATTAAATAAAATTCTTCGTGAGAATTCAATTATTTTTACAAATAAAGAAAATTCTTCTTAAGAATTCAATTATTTTTATAAATAAAGAAAATTCTTCAAAAAAATTCAATTTTTATAAACAATGAAACTTATCGCAGAATTTCAATTGTTATTAATAAAATTTTTAATAAATTCATCGAAAAATGCAATTATTCTTCAAAATGTTGTTTAAATTCTTTGCAAGAATTCAATTATTTTAATAAATATTAAAATTCTTATCAGGACCTCAGTTATTTGCATAAATAATAAAACTCATCAAATTTTATTAAAATTCGTCGAACGAATTTAATTATTTTCAAAAATTTTTTGATTAAATTCTTTATGAGAATTCAATTTTAAGAAACATTCAATAAATTATTTATGTTTGTATTTAAATAATTGAATTTTGAAACGGTTTCAAATTTAATTTTTTGAAAATCTTAATTTTTCTTTCTTTTAATTAACAATTCTGTAGAATTATTTTTTTTTTTAAATTTAAATTCCATTTCTTTTAAAATTATTTTATGTTTTTATTTTCTAAAATATATTTTATTGAAGAATTTCTAAATAATCGTAATTTGGTAAAATTTAATTATAAACAAATAAATTTGAAATTTCTCAAAGAACTTTTTCAAAAATTATTCAAAATAATTGATTTAAAGAAGAATTTTGGTCAAAATTTGTAGAAAATAATAATTAAATTGAAATCATTAAAAAAATTTGTAAAGAGAATTTAATTATTTTATACAATTTTAATAAGATTCTTCGTGAAAATTCAATTATTTAACAAAAATTTGAATGAAACTCTACTCAAGAATTTAATTATTTTCATAAATAATAAAAATTTCACAGGAATTCAATTATTTGCAAATTTTTTATTTTCTTCGCAGTAATTCAGTTTTTTTCATAAATAATAAAATTCACTTTTGGTAATTCAGTTATTATCATAAATAATAAAAGTTATCGCAGAGTTTCAATTATTTAAAAAAAAAATTAAATTAAATAAATTTTAAATAATGAAACTCATCGCATTTTAATGAAATTCGTCAAAAGAATTCATTTATTCAAAAATTTGTTAACAAATTTTTAATAACATTCAATTATTTAGTAAATTACTTATGTTTGTATTTGATTAATTGAATTCTCGTAGATTTTTCTAATAAAGATTGATTTAAAAATTAAGTTTAGTTGAAATTTTATATGATAATTGAATATTAAAATAATTATAACGTAAATTTTTAGAAATAATTGAATTTTGAAAAGGTTTCAAATTAAAATCTTTAAAAATTTGAATTTTTCATTCTTTTAATTAAAATTTGTGTAGAAGTAATTTAAAAAAAAATACTGGCATTTTTTTTGAAATTATTCGAAGTTTTTATTTTCTAATATTATATTTAATTGATGAATTTCCGAATAATTGAAATTTCAATAAAATTGAATCGTAAACAAATGGATTTGAAAATTCTCAAATTGAACTTTTTCAAAAAATAATTGAAAATAATTGATTTAAAGAAGAATTTTATTTAAAAATTCAATAATAATTGAATTGAAATAATGAAAATAATTTTGAAGAAGTTATGATAAGTTTTATGATAATCCTTATATGATAAAATTGATAATTTTCAATTTAAAAATTTCTTTCAGCCTCTACTATCGGAAAGAAAACAAAAGCTCCACTGATGGCAAAAGCCATTAAATTCATAAAAGGAAGTTACAGACGATAGTTGAACTATTAAACAGTACGCGATTTAAACGATCTATCAATAATAAGTTGGATATGCATCTCTTCCACCAATTTTTTTTTGAAACGATATTCCTCGATTACGACATTTTTTTTTATAAAGAAGATTACGCAAAATTTATTGCGTAAATAAATGTTTTTTAAGTTATTATATTATAAAGAAAAACAAAACAAATCACATGCTTTTATTTGAATAATTAATTTAGCAAATTTTTAATTCATCACCACTGTGTTAAATGATATTTGTAAATTTGTAATTTTATTCGTATGCAACTGGAAATAAAATATCCTCTTTTCTTTTTGTATATTTAAAAGAAACAATAAATGTTACTTTCGTGAGTATTTGTGATTGTGTATAAAAATGGACTTCGTACAACAATGCGTTTGATTCTCAATTATTATGGGAGTCAATTTATCACACACAATGTGAACATGTCTAAAATTTATTTTTTATACATTATAATATTGCTTGTAATTAATGTTATAACGTAATAATTAAAATATTTCAATTAATGTTAAGTGATTAGTGTAATAATTGTTATTATTAGAAAATATATTAAATAAGAAGTAATAAATTGATTTTTTTTAAAACCTTTAGGTCCTTAAATATTTTTAGATTTTCGGAGTTATTTCCTCTTGGTATAAATTTATATCAATTGTATTTAATTGCAATTATAATTATTTGTAATTAATTACTTTTTTGAGAAAGAGAATTGAACTTGACTTTAGTTTCTTTTGAATAGTGAGTCGAATATCTTTCTTCTTTTGTGGTCTATGACCAACTTGCACTTGCAGTTGACTTCACACTGGTTTGCTGGTTATACCCAGTTAACCTACTCGCATTGTATTACATTTTTTAAATAAAAAAAAGTGGACATTTTTATTAAAAATGGAACCGTACGATGTAATTGTTAATCAACCTGTCGTTATTGATAACGTACGTATTTATAATTTCACCCAATTAGCAATATTTTGGTATTTACGACAACTTTCACAAGTGTCAAAATTCTACTAAAAGAAGAACAAGCCATGTTCTTTTACCATTTCTACACTAAATAGAACAATATTTAGAAAATATTTGGTTGTCAATGACAATGGTTTAAATTACAACTATTAATTACATTAAACATAATTAAAATACAACTTTAAAAAAAACTGGTCCCTTTAAATCGTAACTTTACTATTTATTCTTTTGTTTCAATTATTATTTATCAAATATGCTAATGAGTTGTAATAATTAGCTTTTTTTATGTTTACTATTATTTATATTATATACAATAAATTAATACCTTAAAATAATTATTATTAGTGTCTTAAACTGAAACTTGTCATTTACTTTTTGGAGTACAGAAAATGTAACTTTCCGATATTTAAAAATCCATTCAACATCTAATTTTAATTTTTGGTATTTTGTTATTTATTTTTTTGTTTATTTTTTGTTAATTTATGAACAATTGCTAAATAATTGAATTCTATAGGGTTCTGGAGTAGTTAAAGCTGGCTTTGCCGGTGATCAAATTCCAAAGTGCAGATTTCCGAATTAGTAAGTTTGTCGATTTAAATAATTATTTTTCGTAATAATTAAAAATGAATGGTAGATTAATAATGAATAATTAATTATTTGTGGTTTTTTTCTATTTGTAGCATTGGAAGGCCAAAACATGTACGTGTAATGGCGGGTGCTTTAGAAGGAGATTTATTTGTGGGACCCATAGCAGAGGAACATCGTGGCCTTCTTTCCCTTCGTTATCCAATGGAACATGGAATTGTCACCGATTGGAATGATATGGAAAGAATTTGGACATATGTTTATAGCAAAGATCAGTTAGCAACTTTCAGTGAAGAGCATCCAGTTCTATTGACTGAGGCTCCTCTCAATCCTAGGAAAAATCGTGAGAAAGCAGCTGAAATCTTCTTCGAGTCTTTTAATGTTCCTGCTTTATTTGTCTCTATGCAAGCAGTACTTAGTTTGTAAGTGGTAATTTAATTATAAGAAACGGTTTTTATTTCGATGAGCCACACCCTGTTTGGTGTACGAGACTGAAGTCCGTAACGTCGCAACAATGCGACGATTTATTTTATTTTAACTTCAAATTCATAGTTTTTAGCAATTTTTTTTTAATTAATAATTTCTGAAAAACTCACGATCATGAAAAGTAGAAATTAATTTATTTGCAGTTAAATTCGTTCAATGATATAAATGCAAGAAAATTCTTTTTTGATTTATATTATTAATAATGTTGATAATATTCTTTGAATAATTTCATATTCTTTGACTAATTTTGATATTATTCTTTGACTAATTTTGATTTAATTTTTAATTTTGATTTTCTTTTACCAAAATTGATAATATTCTTTACTTGAAATAGATACGCCACTGGAAGAACGACGGGAGTCGTTTTGGATTCAGGCGATGGCGTTACTCACGCAGTACCAATTTACGAGGGATTTGCGATGCCTCATAGCATAATGAGGGTAGACATAGCAGGTCGCGATGTCACCAGATTCCTGAGGCTTCTACTTCGAAAGGAGGGAATTAATTTCAAGACATCGGCAGAATTTGAAATTGTCAAAACAATTAAGGAGAGATGTTGTTACTTGTCGACCAATCCTCAGAAAGAGGAAACTAATGAAACAGAAAAGTTCCACTACGTCCTACCAGATGGAAGTCATTTAGAAGTAATTATCCACACATTTACTGAGTTTCCATTTTTCCAAAAAAGTTAAATTTTTTATTAATTTCCTCTATTTTTTTAGATTGGACCAGCTAGGTTTAGAGCACCCGAAGTGCTTTTCAGACCAGACCTAATAGGAGAAGAGTGTGAGGGACTTCACGAAGTTCTCAACTATTCGATTCAAAAGTCTGATTTAGATTTAAGAAAAGTACTATTCCAAAATATCGTTCTGTCCGGAGGATCTACTCTACATCGTGTAAGAAACAAATTATCTATCATCTACAGGGTTGCCACAGGTCAGGGAATTCGGGGAATTTAGGGAAAATTCAGAGAAAGTAGAGTTGGTTAGGGAAATCAGAGAATAAAGTCAGGGATTTTTATTAAAATTTACTGGAAAAAATTGAATTTTTGAGAAGTTTGAAATGATTGCAGAAGTTCAATTATTTTCAAAAGTAAATAAAATTTAAATAATCTTTAAAAATAATAAAATTCAACTCCAAAATTTAGTGATTTTCAATATCTACTATTTTAATAAAACTTTCCCAAACAATTGAATTATTTAAAAAATTTTTATTCAAATTCTACGCAAAGATTTAATTACTTTCATAACCAATAGAAATTCCACAAGAATTCAACTATTTGCAAATTTTTTTATAAGTTTCTTCTCAATAATTCAATTATTTTTATAAATAATAAAATCCCCAGAAAATCAATTATTTTCCAAAATTTTAATATAATTCTTGTCAAAATTTCAATTATTTTCAAAATATTTCCTGAATTCAATGATTTTCAATATCTACTATTTTAACAAAATTTTCGAAAACAATTTCACAGGAAAAATAATAATAATAATAATAATAATAATAATAATAATAATTAAATATCTATTTAAAAATGAAATTATTGATATTTTCGAATAATTTTACTTTTTTTTTGCAAATAAATGTATTGGAACATTTTTTTTTAAGTATCTCATCATTTTTAGAGTGAATCAGAATTTTTGTAAGGTCAGGAAAATAGTCAAAATCAAAATTTTGTCTGGAAATCAGGGAAAAGCAAAATTTATTTTTTGTGGCAATCCTGAAGAGAAAATTAATAAAAAAAAACAATGAAATTTTAAATATTCGTCAAATTTGATATAAAAAACTCTTTTTTAGGGATTCGGAGACAGATTACTTGCTGAAATTCGCAAAATGTCACCAAAAGACATTAAAATTAGGGTGAGAATTGAATTGAATTATACGAATTGAATATAAGAATATAATTTCCAAGAATTTCAATTAAATTGAATAATAAATTTTCAGATATCTGCTCCTCAAGAACGTCTATACAGTACTTGGATAGGGGGATCAATTTTGGCTTCTTTAGATACATTCAAAAAAATGTGGTGCAGTAAACGAGAATATGAAGATGATGGAGTTAAAGCAATTCATCGCAAGACTTTCTGAATTGATTATTTCAAACAATCGGTTAATATGAGATCATTCTAAAAGTAATACAAAAAAAAAAAATTCTGCACAATTGTCGCACTTGTCGCGTTGTTTTTATGTTAATTAAAACCAATTTTTTTTTAAACAGCGTCGAAGAACAATTCTTCCGGAGCCTTAGCTTTTATCCTTTTTTTTGCGCATATTTTTTACGACTAATTTATAAATACCGAGTATTTGAAGAATATTGAGACCAGTATATAAGAAGGGAGAAATATTTAAGATAACTTTAACTCAAGTTTTATACGTCACTGTTTAATCAAGTGTAATATAATAGAGGATTATTTCCAGACGATTGAATCACACAAAAGTTCTTCACAGAATCAATTTTTTTTTATTTATTGGGATTTTATCTGTATCTTTTGAAAACTGTGATAAAGAACAAGAACAAAAAGCATATTTGAAAGTTTTATACTTTTTATTTGAAGGTAATTTTTTAATGACTAATAATTTCTTTTTTTTTTTAAATAAATTGCGGTTTATTGACAAGAAACTAAAAAAAGCCTTGCTTGACAAATTTTCTATACTCTAGAACTAAGCCGAATTTTTTATTGCAAGAGAAATGTTTTTTTTTATCAAGTGCAATGTTTATGAATGAGATGGCACTGAATTGACTTTTTCACTGAATAGGTGAACATTAATTTGTAAATGTTTATTAATCATCATTATACGTATTATATAAAATTATGAATGCTTCGGTAAACTCTCATTCCTTAGTTATTTATACAAATTGAATGAAAAAAGACGTTTTTTCAATTATTGACGAAAATATTAAGTAAAATGCATTATTGTAATTGCGTTTGTAATTATTCCTCTGATACAAGAAATTATATACTTCGTGTATGAAAAATCTTTATTATAGTATTTCGTATAATATTCACGGCTTTCAATCTTGTTTTCTATAATTTATTTATATTCTCTATTATTAATTTAACATTAATATTTTTATCAAAAATAAATTTTTGAAAAAGCAATTTTCTCTTTCAGTAACTCCCAACCAAGAAGACTAGCTTTATAACAAAAATTAAAAAATAATTATTGGAAAAATGCGATTTTTTTAAAAAAACGAATTATATATAATTTATGATTATATAAATAAATATTTTATATAAATGTGTAAAAAATATATCGCATTTTTTAATTTATAAATTATTATTTACTTAACTGTAAAATAAAATTTGCCGCCAGATTCAAGTACAACGCAAGCGCAGTAGAAGAATTAAAAATGGCGACGTCCAGGGAAATTAACTTTATTGTTTCTCTAATAATGTTTACTTTTATATATTAAGAAATTTCTCGAAGACCAAGATTCATTGAGTCTGTTTATATAAAACTACAATTAATTCAGCAAATCTGGATGAATCCAGGGAGAAAATGATTGCCGCCTCTGATCCACTGGTGAGTTTTTGCAAACCTAACCTCTTTTTCTAAGCGATTGTAAATTACATTTTTTCCATTTTTTAAACTATTATACACATAAATTAAAAATCTTAACTGTTTTTGTAATTCTTGATTAACTTATGAAAAATTCCCCATCGAAATTTGTCTTGTTCCAAGGAATTTGCACCAGGTGGACGTCAGACGGTCCTCAGGCACCCTGGATCTCTGATTAGTCAACTTGTGGCGAATAATCAAGCGGCCCCAGGAGATAGCGTCCTTTTACAAAAATTCAGGGAAGTTAATATTTCCGAAAAACCGTCTGTAAGTAAAATTTTATTATACTTTTAATTTAACCGAAATTTTGTTGTTAAAAATTCTTCTTTTCGTTACAAAATACAAAAATCTATAACTTAACGTTTTTTTAAATTTTTCTTTTTAAATATTATTTTCAATTATTGCAAAGAATTTTATCAAAAAATTTTAATAAATAATAATTAAAATTAAATTTATTCGAAATGTATTGAATTTCTTTTAAATTGAATTCCTGCAAATAGGTAGACATTAATTTAATTGAAAATTCTTTTTGCAGAAAGAATTTTGGATAGTTCGTGACGATGGTGTGAATGGAGAGGAAGAACTTTATTGTTCAGGAAAAGTAGCAATTCATTCGAAAGGAAACCAATCGACGAGAGTACTCCAAAAGTCCTATACTTGCGAGCATGATATCAAACATGCTCTATGGTGTTCTTTTAGAACTTACACTCTAGAACAATTATCAAAAAGTAAGGATTTAAATGATGACGATAATTCTGCAGGAAAAACTATTGACTGCATTTGTCTGCTCGATACCTACACTCTTAAGGTTTTTACCGAAACTGGCGAAGATTATGTTTCGAGTTTACAATTTCAGGTATTTGACGAATTAAATAAAATAAATTCTACAAAATTCATTTGTAGAAATAAAAAATAATAAATCTATTGTTTAGGTTTCTGCTGTCTGGCCAACAAAATTTGGGCTTTTGCTTGAAAAATCGGAAGTCTCAACTTCCTCTTCCTCTAGATATACGTCTTTAGAAATGAGCCGAGCTCTTTCAAACTCTGACAGTCATTTGCCAGTCGCATTTTCTCTGATGCATCCTCTAGATGAAATTTGTCCTCTACTGATAAAACACGGTAATCGAAATTCGAAAGACTTCTATTATTCACTTGTTACTATTTTAATTTCTATTTAACTATTGAAAATATTTCTAATTTCTATTTGACTATTAAAAATATTTCTAATTTCTATCTGACTATTATAAATATTTCTAATTTCTATTTAATTATTTTGTTTCAGGAAGCATATCGTACATGTGCGATTCGTCACAGAAAATCGTTTTCACTAGTTCTGAACCATCTCTAGCTGTAATTTACGATACGAAAACTGGACTACATTCTGTGTATAAAATACGAAAAGCAACTCCAGAGGAATGTCAAATAATTTGTGGAAGTAATGACACGACTCCTAGTTTATTTAACTACTCTACGAGTTCGCCAAAGAACATCGGCAGTAACGCTTCCTTGAACAAAAGTATCACCGGCAAGGCTCTAAGTCTTTTTGGTAAATTTCATTTTTTTCCTACTTTCATATCTTCAAAAATTGATTTAAAGATTAAAAAATTGATTTAAAAACTAATTTAAAGATTTGATTTGAAGAATAAAAACTGATTTGAAGATTAAAAAACAGATTTGAAGATTTAAAAATTGATTTGAAGAATAGAAACTGATTTGAAGATTTAAAAATTGATTTGAGAATTTAAAAATTCATTTGACGATTTGAAAATTGTTTTAAAGATGTAAAAATCTTTGGTGTATTTAATACTTTAATATAAATCCAGGAATGCCAAATCCGCCATTATCTGCCTTGGGAATGGGACTGACGAATAGTCCGTTTGGATCACGAACAACTTCCTACACAACAACTTCAGGCAGTGGACAATCGCCAGCTCAACAGCAACAAATGCACTCGCACTCGAGATCACAGAGTCCAATGGCAACAATATCCCGATGTCAATCGCCAACTCATTCTGGATTCTCTCCTTTATCGGGAGTTCCTCCTGGAACAAATATTCATCAAACTCGTCTTCATCAAACAATGTTTACGAATATTCTGGGACATTCGCAAAATAGTCCTTGCGGAAGTTACAACAGTATGCAGTTTCAAGATATTGGAACTACTCCGAGTAAACCAGTTTATCCAGAAATTTGTCTTGATCACGTTTGGACGGAAAGCAACACTGTTTCCAAGTAGGAATTTCAATTGTAGAATAATCATTTACTTCAATTAAAAGTAACTTTTATAATTATATGAATAATTATAATTCTTTTGAAAAATTATAATTGTAATTATAATAATTATAATGCTATTGAAAAATTATAATTATAATTCTTTTGAAAAGTTATAATTATAATTCTTGTGAAAAGTTAGAACTGTAATTATAATAATTATAATTCTATTGAAAATTATAATTATAATAATATGACAATAATTTTCTTTACTTTGATTGTTTAGAGACGTGATTGCCGACAAAGGGACAAAAGTGTTCTTAACCACCGATCTTGTTGGACAAAGTTATTTGGGTTATTTGGTTCCTAATAGATCTCAACTTTTTTTGGTTCGCCTTGAAAAAACAAATAAACAACAGCAAATTATTTTTGGAATGGTTACTACTATTATTGCCAAAGATGCAATCAATTTACCAGTAAGTATCTTTCAAAAAAACAACTTGACAAATTTTATTCGTCAATTATTTTTTAACATTTTTTAAAGTAATAAATAATAATTAAATAATTGAAAATTGAAATGTTTCAAAGAATGTTATTAAAATTGTTGAATTTAGTAAATACTAATTAATTATCTAATTAGTTAATAAGTGATTTTTTTATTTTGAATCAGAAATTATTCAAAAATTGTAGTTGAAGTTTAAAAAATGTTGTAATTTGCATAATAATAAACGTAATACCGCGTTTCGCGCGCGTAATTTTTGCTAGATTCGAAAAATAAACTAAAATTTTATTCTAATTTTTTCAGAAACTTAATATGGTGGCAATAATGGACATGTCGAATGGAATTACTTTATATTCCGGTACGACATTAGTCGGAAAAGTACACATTCCAAGTATTTTACCATCATTAACGGGTTTCAATCAATTTGTTAAGAAACCAATGCCTCTACGTAGACAAGTCTCTCCTTTTCCCAGAAGAAGTTCTCTATTATCACCAAGTTGTGCCTCTTCGCATGATATAAAATTCGAGGAAGGACTGCATTTATTAAGCCCTGTTGGATTTTGTGGACAACCTTCAAACTTATTGGAGACATCGTTAATTGACGAAAATCTTGTAGCTTTAAAGGATTCTCTAGGAAATAAACTCACATTGGAATATGGAAATCAAAATTACTTTAGAATCACTCTTCCATTGTCAAGTACATCTCCATTAGGTAACAATAGACACATTTCAATATTTATTCTAAATAAATAAAAGGAAATTTTTGATTTATTATTTTATTTTTTTTTTAGATAAAATAATACAAAATTATTAACTGCTTTGGTTTTAATTTATTTTTATTATATTATTATTATATTTTATTTATTTTATAAGTTAACGTCTTATTAATTTACGAACTTTATTTTCAGTTACAAAATGTTTACAAACACTTAAAAGTGTTTTACAACGTGATCTAGCAATGCAATTATTAGTCAAATGGTACGGAGCTCGTAATGCGCCAGGTCCTCAAAATTTCTCTCCAAAACAAGAGTGGCATTTATTTCTCGTTATTTTATTCACACTTCTCGGTTATGAAGTGGATAAATTGCCCTTGATTCAAACTACCGAGGCAAATTATCTCACGGAGACGAATAATTCAGGCGTTCTGAGTAAAAAGCAAAAAACAAACGAGTGCGGCTCATTGGAAGATTGGGCTTATACAGCCGATATGTCCGTTTACGAGAGTACACAAATTTTTGTTTCAAATATTCTTGGTTTGACGAAATTCTCAAAATCGAGTAAAGATGATTTTGTCATCGATTCTGCGGGTAGTAATGGAAAAATAAACACACAAGCTTCCTTATTTCCTTATCTACCTCTAGTACTCTTTTCCCTTCATTTACTTTATGAAGAACTGAAATTAAATTGTCTCATGACTGAAAGTCTACCACTGTTGGCACAACTTCTTTCTCAAATGAGTAAGGACTTGAAATTCGATCATTATTTACATCATTATTTTCTTGATTATCCAAAGCAGTGTAAAATAAATTTCGTTTCGCAAATAACGGACGTCGATTTGCAGAAGATTACGCCACCGAATTACATGTCAATGAAGCCGTCGAGTATTTTTGAGACTTTAAATAATTTAATGAACTTTGAGAATGTTACGCCATTTCCATATCTCAAGCATGTTAATACGAAGACGAGAAATATTATTCAATTGTTTGCGTTGATTGCAAATGAAAATAGAGTTAATCAGTTGGATATGGAGAGATATATCAAGGTTATTGTACCAGCTGGTAGTCGAGTTGATAGTCAAGATATTGAATTTATTCCCAGAGATGTACCGAAAAGATTTGAACAACCGATTGCTGAGAGGATTCTTCTACTTTACCACGAATTGGGTAAATTTTTAATTGAGTTAATAAAATAGAAATAAGAAAAAAAAATTTTATTCGAGAAAATAGATTTTTATTTGTTTATTTTCAGGAATGAGGAAAAAGGACTTGGAAACTTTGCCACCGGGTGTTGCTGTTATATTAAAAGATGTTATGCACAGATGTAGGGAGGAACCTCTCTCGAATTGGCCAGCTGATATCTACGAATTAGTTGATCGGCAAGATTTAGCAGGTTTGGAGAAACATTCTTTGCCAGAGAAGCAAACCGATCATTTAGAAAATGGAAAAAATTACGCAATCAAAGATGATGATCCCGATCAAGATGATGGCATGGACTTTGACGATACTGTAAATTATATTTATTATATGCGAAATTTATTTATATATTTATTTTATTTGAGAAAATAATATAACATGTGATTATATTGGTTGTACTTTTACAAATAATGTTAATTTGTTAATTTGTAATCGAATTCTGTTCGTTTTTCAGATTCTTAAATTAAGGTTCAACAAAGATCATAGAGTAGCGGAATTAAGAAAATTGCTGAATTCTTCAAAGCCTGTGAAAATTTCTGTCGTTCAAAGACCAGTTGTCAGTGATCATGATTTCATTGAAGAGCAGGAGAGACATTTACTTGTTCTCAGCACCAGAACAATGGCTTTGCCCGTTGCCAGAGGAATGTTTACTCTCAGAACTGCAACTCCTATCATCACTGAACAACTTCCAATTCCGAGATTATGTTTAACTGGTCTGTAAATATTACACGTGCTTACATTTTTGAAATTGAGACAAAATACCTATAAAAATTGTTGCGATAAAACTGTCTGAATAATGTTTCTTTTTAGGAAAAGCACCACCACGTGGAACAACAGTTGAACTAAGTCACATTGAAGTACCACCGAATATGAATCTTTGGCCACTTTTCCATAACGGAGTAGCAGCGGGTCTTCGAATACACCCGGACGCGTCGAATATTGACTCCACTTGGATAGTTTACAATAAACAGCAACAGGGTGAATTTGGCGTTGAACATTCCGGATTTCTAATGGCTCTCGGACTAAACGGACACTTGAAAAATCTCGCACCAGTCAGTATGTATGAATATTTAGTAGAGTGTCACGAAGCGACCAGCGTTGGCCTTCTTCTTGGACTTTCTGCCACTCATCGAGGGACAATGGATGTTTCCATGACGAAGTTACTCTCACTTCATGTCGAAACTCTTTTGCCTCCAACTAGCATTGAATTGAGTGTACAGCAAAATGTGCAAGTCGCTGCTTTAATGGGCGTCGGTCTCGTTTATCAAGGAACGGCTCACAGGCACATTGCTCACGCTCTTTTGTCGGAAATCGGTCAGTAATATCAATCAAATTTTTAATGTTTTTTTTTTACTAAAATCAAAAAATAATTTTAATAAAATTGTAAATTCAGGAAGACCACCGGGACCGGAAATGAAGAATTGTGTCGATCGGGAGTCTTACTCTTTAGCTGCTGGTCTTGCCTTGGGCCTCGTGGTTCTTGAATGCGGAGGTGCTTGTGACATTGGAAATATTCCTGATACTTTGCATTACTACATGGTTGGAGGGAACGTCAGGCCTTTCATGGGAGCTCAGAAAGATAAATATAAATCACCTAGGTAAGAAAATCACATAGGAAAAAAAAAGAAAAAGAAAAGGATTGTAATTAAATAGATTTATTTTTTAGTTATCAAATTCGTGAAGGTGATTCAATAAATATCGATGTAACGAGTCCAGGAGCGACAATTGCACTAGGTCTCATGTACTTTAACTCTGGTAATCGAGCAGTCGCCGAATGGATGCGCGCTCCAGATACGCAATATTTACTCGATTTTGTAAGACCCGATTTGTTGATGCTTAGGATTTTATCAAGAGCTCTTATTCTTTGGAACGAAATTGAACCAACGAAAACTTGGGTTTCTAGTCATGTTCCGGAAATCGTTCAAAAGTACAAATTAATAAAACCATCGCCAGAAATCACAGAGGCAGTTGATTTGGAAACTATGAAGTAAGAATTTTTCTTCGAAGAAAATTGAAAAAATATAAAATACTAAATGTTTTTTTTTTTTTAGTCAAGCCTATTGTAATATAATTGCTGGTGCTTGTATGGCACTGGGATTGAAATACGCAGGCACTGCAAATGATACTGCATTCAAAACTCTACAAAGTTATGCGGATTTGTTTATTTCTTTGTCACATAAACCAATTGCTGAATTGGCAGGGAAATTTACAATTGAAACCTGTTTGAATGTCGTAATCCTGGCATCTTCGGTCGTAATGGCCGGAACTGGAAATTTGGAAGTGAGTATATATATAAATTTGAAAATTAGAAATTAAGTAATTTTTTGGTTGTAATTTAGTGAGAGATTCTAATATAAAGAAATTCGGTTTATTTCTTGGTTGTTAAATAGGTTATGAGAATGTGTAGATACATAAGAACTCGTGTTGGTCCAACGAACAATGTTGTAACTTATGGTTCTCATTTGTCAACACACATGGCTCTAGGATTTTTATTCCTCGGAGGTGGAAGATATACGCTATCAAATAGTCCGAGTGCCGTCGCTGCCTTAATAATAGCTCTTTTTCCCAAATTCCCCACTCACAGCAATGACAATAGGTACGATAATTTATTTTAAATTGAAAGAAACAAATTATCGTAGTTTAAAATAATTTTTTGAATTTTTAGATATCATCTTCAAGCCTTGAGGCATTTGTACGTGTTGGCAGCAGAACCGCGGTTGCTCCTTCCGCGAGATATTGACAATTCTCAATATTGTTATGCGTCCGTCACGTTAACATTCCAAACGGAAAAAATGTCAGAAGGCCAGGAAATAATAATGAAAGCCCCATGTTTACTACCTCAAATGAACAGTTTAAAAAAAGTGCAATTAAACGATGATCGCTACTGGAAAATAAGTTTCGAAAGATGTCAAAATTGGACTCAACTCGAAGACATGCTTTCCAGATGCGAACCTTTGGATGTCAAACAAAGAGCCGGATGTTTATCCTACTTAGAAGACCCTCGAGTAATTAATCATTCATTACTATTTTCGTTATTTTCAACATTTTTACATTAAATACAAAATGTTTAAATTAATTTTTGTAATTAAAAAAATGTATTTTTTTCAGGGATTTCGAAGTCTCATGGCAAGGACTTTGACGACCGAAAATGTTATCGCCTGGGCAGCTCAATCGGAGCACATCACCTCATTCTCGAACGATAAAACAATTCTAAATATAGTGAAATATTTTCTTGACGGCACTACAAGACAAAAGTTTCAAGAAGAAATTCTACACGACATTTGTCCATCAAAAAATCAAATTAAAACGCCTAGGAAAATTAATGACTCGATGGATAGAACGGATTCAATAAGAGAACAATCAAGTTTCGTTAATGATAGAATGGAAATTGGTGAGACGTCATTTTCGGAGAAAATTCAAGAGAGCTTCAATGATATTGAATTGAAGCAAATTTTAGAGGAAATGTCCGAGTCTGAAAGGCATTTTTTGCAAATATTTCCCATTATCACTTACGAATGTGTTATCAAAGATAAAGTGAGTTTTCTACCACTTTGGGTTAATTTGTACAAAACGATAGAGGAAATAAAAAGGAGGCCTAGTTCTTATTTAGTTTGGCAAATTAAACTAGTCGGATCACGAATTCTTTGTGAGAATTATTCAGAAACTTCTAATCGACTTTTAACTCTGGAAAGTATTTTAGCGATTAAGCAAAAAACGGCAATGATCATGGACTTGTGGGAAGATGGTAAATATTTAAATTTCAATTTATATAAATATAAATAATTTATTTTCGTACACTCCCTTTTTAAATAAACCAGGGCTCGAACCAGTGAAAGTATCTCTAAAATTCTTCAAATTATATCGTACAATTTACGAATTTTTCATCTTTTATCAATTAAATTACGGACTTTACGGACCTTTTTTTAAAAAAAACGGATTTTTACGGACTTGAAGCAAATTTACGGACCTAGTTCGAGCCCTGAATAACTTACAAATTTAGGCAGAAATTACTTTTTGTTCTTTAGAATTAGTACCACTGATTCGTCAATATTTAATAAACGGAACCGTGCAAGCTGAACCGGAAAAACTTGCAAAACTCACCACGTATTTAGTATTCTACGATATTTTACATCAAATCGATCTCAAAGCCATTTGTAAGTACTTATCAATGCCAACTTAATTTAAATTAACAATATTCCCTGTTTTATAATGAATTATTTCATTTTCAGCTGATCCACTAGCGGCAAATAAATTATCATCGAATACATCGATTATTAGTCTTTTCAAATTACACCAACTATTGCAATTATAGGTGTACAAACAATTGCGTATTTTTCCTTTTGTAAACATTTACAAGGAAATAAAGATTTTTATTTAGATAGTAACTTTTTGATTTTTTTAATATTGATATAAAAATTGATAATTCTTGATGTGTGCAAAACGTATTTTTTATAATTTAAAATACACCGAGAATGTAAATTAAAATCTTTACTTTTGTATAAATTAATGTACAATATTTAATAAATAAATTTTTTTCATATTGTATTTTAAATTATATGTTTTTTTCTGAAATTGTATATGTAAATTACTGAAAAAATTTATATATCAAAAGTTATCACAGCGAGATTTCTATTCACAAAATATTCTATTTTTATAAATAAATTTTTTTCACGCACGTTTGGAAATTTTATCTAAATGAAAAAAAATTACCTCGTCTTCGATAAAATTGTTCTTCGTGTATAATTGGTTTACCGGTTAAAGAAGAAAGTTTACCGTCTACAAATTCGCCGATAAAAGTGTAACAATATAAGCATCCAACGAGAATTCCACCGAGATGTCCAATAAATGATGCATTTGGTACGAGTAGATGAATTAAAATTAATTCGGCCCACACGGCAAATTTACTTGGAATTCTAAAGCCTCCGACGTTGTGCATTCTATCGTGTTCCTCGCAAACGACAATCACTTTTAAGGCAAATAGAACAGCGGAAAATCCAATAGCACAAGCAGTAAAGTACGAGTAATCTGCTGTTATTTGAGTGAGGACGTATCCAATGCCGACGTACATCGCACTGCATCCCATTGATAAAAGTCCCAAGAGTAGTGCAAAATTTGCCGATCCATACATTGGCTCCAAATAATGTCCTTTCAGAATGAAAGAAACCATATTATAATAAAGATGCATGTCCGAACCGTGCTCAAAATTTGAAACGATAAATGATCGCCAATCACGATATTTCAGTACTTTTAATGTTGATATACAAACATCTTCTGCATTCCATCCAACTTCAATTACGCCCATATAAAGAAGAGCCTAGAAAGAAATTAAAAATTAATTAATTAATTAATTCGAAAATGAAATTCATTTGAATAACAGATTAATAAATTAATAGAGATAATATTATACCTGAGCAGCAATTCCAATTAAAGTGACTGGAGGAATTTTGTCAACACCAAAATTTAAAGCTTGCAAACCCAATAAATAAATTCCATATTGTAAGCCTGGTTGTCTTCTTTGACCCGGTCTCATGGTGACTTTATGGTTTTTTAAACCTTTCTATTCGAACAGTTATTGTCAACTAAGCATGAATGTTTCAATTAATTGGTACACGTAAGTAATAATATTCTTCCGTTATAAGTACTGCAATTTTGTTTTTCTAAACGAAAATGACATACACGAAAAGTCTGAAAGAAATTAAAACAGAGAAATTGATTATTAATATCTTACAAATTAAACAATTATATATCCTTTTCCTTTTGTTATTTTATAAATAATATTATCCTTACCGAATTTCATCATTATTTACTCTATTTACTCGTCCATTGATCACTATACACAAAGGACACAAAGATTCACCACGAGTTTAAACATGTACATATGCATTTACCGTATATTTACATTTACATTTACATTTACCAAAAAGTGCGTGCTAAAAACAGCGCGAATTTTGAAATTAAAACTTTAGAATTAGTGAATTATTTTGTTATTTTTAACAAACTTTAGAATATTAGTAGAGTACTTAATTATATTTTAACGAACTTTCAAATCAGTGCAGAGTGCAGACTTTATTTTTATTTTAACGAACTTCCAAATTACAGTAAAATTCGTAAAATTTCATCAGAACAAAATCACAAAAGTGTAAATATTTTACATATTTCCCATTGGTAGAGCTATTGAAGATGACGTTCAATCAGCCAATGAGCTTAAACTCGCAAAAGAATAAATTTTGTTCCATGATGGGGGTATGTTTTACTCGCCATTTGGTCACTGAGTCTGTGTGGCGCACTATGAGCAAATACGATGCTAAAAATTGCGAATTTTCACTCTGTAAACGTATTTTTTTCTACAATCAAACAGCAAAGTAGCAAAAAAACAAAGAATCTTTTAACACCCAATTTTTCTTCGTTTACACTCTGTAAAAAACAATAAATACAATGGTTTCAACTTTCTGTTATGTTTTACTACCAGTTGTCTTTATAATCGGTCTTCTTCGAAAATGTCGAGAATACTCCTGGGGAAGATACAAAGACAAGGAGGTGGATTTGAGTGATCGAGTTTTTATTGTAACCGGTGCAAATTCCGGCATTGGCAAAGAAACAACAAGGGAATTAGTAAAACGAAAGGCAAAAGTTATTATGGCATGCAGAAATATGGAAAATGCCAGAAAAGCAATTGATGATATACGCACACAAGTAACTTCTGGAGAATTGGTAAATTTACATCAATGATTTACATTTATGTATTTTATTCAACGATCATAAGATTTTAAATTTTTCAGACTGGTATTTATAGATTTCAGTTTCAAAAGTCGAATATTCTTCGAGAATACAATCTTTAGTCTTTAAGAATTTAATTTAATCTGCAATATTACAGATTCCAATGGAACTGGATCTTAGTTCTCTGAAATCGGTCCGTAATTTCGCTACTCAAGTTTTGAACGACTTTCCCAAAATTAATGTTTTAATTAACAACGCCGGAGTCTATGTGCCTTTGAAAGAACATGCTTTTACGGAAAATGGTTTTGAGATTCATTTTGGAATTAATCACTTGGGTCACTTTTTACTCACCTATTTATTGTTGGACAAATTAAAAGAAAGTGCTCCCAGTAGGCAAGTATATTTACATATATAGATATTTATATTAATGGTTTTTTACATTTTAACGCAAATCTTTGAAAGAATTCAACTATCTTAATAAATATTAAAATACTACTATTCTAATACCGAATATTGTTCATAGAATTGTAATAGTTACTTCAAAACTTCTCGAATCTGGAACAATCGATTTTGACAATTTAAACGGAGAAAAAGGATTGACGACCGAGGGACGCATGAATCCAAGTTATTGCAATTCAAAATTAGCAAATGTCTATTTTGCTATTGATTTGGCGAGAAGAATGAAAGACACCGGAGTTTCTGTTCATAGTGTTTGTCCCGGTTTCACTTACACAGGATTATTCAGACACGTTAAACGAAGTTGGCTACACTACATTATATTTTCGCCAATTGCACTGTTGTATCTTCGAACTTCAAATCAGGCGAGTTTATAAAAATCATTTGATTTTTCCTTGAATTTTAATAATTTTTATTTTTTATTGTTTTTAAGATACTTATAGTAATTTATTTTAATTTAAAAAACAGAAACGAATAATTATAACAAACTGTGTACTAATAAACTTTTTTTTAGGGAGCACAAACTATTGTATACTGTGCATTAAGTCCTACTTTGGAAAACGAGAGTGGAAATATTTACAGAGACTGTAATTTATACGAACCGAAGAAAATTTTAGATCCTGAGATTGCAACAAAACTTTGGGACGTGAGTGCAAAACTCACGAAAATCACTAATTAGAATTTGGAAAAAGTGAAAGCACAAAGTGCACAGAGAATACAAAGACTTAGAGACTTTAGTGCACTAAAATACGTACAAACTTAATTTTTTCTTTACTTAAACTGACATTTACAAAAAAAAAAAAAAATCATTCTTGCGTGATAATGGAGTACCTTAAATTTTCTAAGGACTTTTTTTCTAAATGCGAATAATATCAAATAACTTACAAACTTCGCGATATATTACAGAATTTATTTACGATATTGAATTCTCATTCAATTGGTCCAAGTGTAAATACACAATTCAAATATGTTTAGCTATGTTTTACATTATTTACAATCATTCATACAAGTTTTGATTTAAGTACAAGGTATTTTCTCCTTTAAAAAAGAATTAACTTTTCTAAATAATTACTTTTCAAGTAAATTTATTCTTTTTAAAAATATTTGTAAATATTACTTTTTTTGAACTATTAAAAGTCTTTAAACGAAGAGATAACAAATTAATTATTAAAATATCAACAATACTTAATTCGTGAAATAAGTTAATATTCTATTTACTAATTTGTTCTGTACATCATTTTTTTTATAAATTAATGATGAAACGATACATTTAATATCACGATATAATTACGAGTCTTGATATAATTTGAATAAAAACGAAAAGATATTTTACAATTTTTTTTCCACCTTTTAAATGTGAGTTGAGCATAATGCGCACATTTTTCGAGTGAACAATTAATTTTACAATTTATATTAAAATTAAGCGAAAATTTCTTTAAGGAAGTATCCGACAGAGAAAAAAAGTAAGTAAAATTTCATTATTTCGTACTTTTATTAAAATTATGTCTTTTTTTTTAAAATACGAAATTATGACATTGACTAACTTTTGTTTTTGACTGTATATTAGATTCCTTCTTAAAAACGTAGTTTAAGTATATAAATTATTGTAAACGTGATCTCATAACTTTAAAACTGGCTTTTTTATTAGCTAATGCCTCGGTTCGAGCAAAAACATTTTCTGAACTCTTTCTGATTGAATTTATGTACTCGGTAGAAGTTTGAAAATCTTTGGCTATGTTATCTTCCTGTTTACTTTGAAAGAGACACAGCTGGCTTTCCTTTAATAGTTCCTTTACCTAATAATTATAAAGAGACGTAAATGGAAAAGTATGTAAAATTGAGGAAAATTTAAAGTTGAAAAATAGAATTTAAAAACTTACGGAAACGCCCGTCTCGGTCTCTCCAGAAGCAACAGGAATTGTACTCTTCTTCCAATTTTCAAGAAGCACTTGAGTTTCCTCCTGATCCTGCCTGAAAAGGTTCTCCTGTTAGACTGGAATTTAGAAAGTAAAATCTAATGTATGGAAAAAATAAGTTTAAAATAAAATGCGATGACTGGAGAAAACATAAGACAATATAAATATTTGCAAAAATAAACACAAATAATAATTAATTAAATAATTAATAATAAATAAAAGAATATAAAATATACAGGGCTTTTTTGAAAATTATTAAAAATAATCGAATTAAAGAAGAATTTTAGTTAAAAATTCTTGAAAATAATAATTGAATTGATAATGATTTTATCACTCGGTCGTCTTTAATTCTTATAAAACATGAAGAAATCGATCTCTCCTAGTCGAAGACTCGGAGTTATCGATATCTTCATGTTTTATAGTTATGAAAAATTTATTTTATAGTTTTAAGTAAAATGTTCTCTTATTTGACTCGGACTTATATTTTTGTCAGTAATTGGTCAGTAAATGGTCCGTAATTTTTCATTTTTGGTCCGTAAAGTCCGTATTTTTAAATACTTTCACAGGTTCGAGCCCTGAATATAATTTAAATATAACGAGTACCTTGATTCTGAATCATATCTCTTTCGAGTCAAGCTTTTAGCTGACAAGAATACTTCATCAGGTTCACTGCAAAGAGAAACAGCTCTTTGTTTTGGCTCCGATTTATCAGAATATCCAATTTCATCTAACGATAAACAGCAGTCTGCACCATCTTTGGAATGTCCGTGACTTTTTGCTTCACTTTCCAAAAGTGGAAATGTCTCATCACAATCAACATCATCGTCAATTTTCCTATTGTCCTCTTGTTCGTATTTTACTTGTGAAAAATTGTCACAATGAGAACTTTTGATAAAAAATGGACTATCCTTTTCACTAGTTGGAAACGATTGACTCATCATCTCAGTTTCCTTAAGTGTTGAATTAAATTGATCATATTGATCGCAATGTTTCGCCGACGTGCCATTCGAACTTTCTTCACCATCATTTTGACTACAACTCAAGGCCATTTCACAGCTACTTATTGAATTTGAACTTCTCTGTCGGGCAGTGGAACTCTCATCATTATCAGAATTAGTCTTTGGCTTCGATATTGACGTTGGTATACTAATTTCAATACTATTCTCCATAAAATTGTCATTGGGAAATTTCAGGAAAAAATTTTGACAACCATTACTTCTGTCTGTTGATGAGACATTTTGAAAAATAGTTTCGTTTAATGTTTCATTACTACTAACACTAGACGTATCTCTAGGCAATGTTAATGTTGTACTATCAATGGCACTTTCTTCTGATTTACAAATACGTTTTGACTGAATATTAAGATTTAGTGACTGAATGGGCCTGTCTAAGCCTTGATCAAGAGAAGCGCCCAATAACACTTTTGATGTTTTCAATTGGCTCATTGATCGAGTTGTTCGGTGACATTTCTCAAATAAGATTTTCTGAATTGGAGGTGTTAGTGGTTTAATCGTCGTTACTTCCGCATCTAACGATGAACCAGAAAATGTCCTCTTCGAACTGTCTAATCTAAAAACGAAAAGGTTATTTGAAAAAGTACTTTTCGAAATCTCAAAAATCCACATTTTCTTATTTCGAAAAATTGAAACAATTAACAGGATTTCTACTGATAATAATTTTTTCTTAAATAACTTAATTCTTGAATAACTATCATAAAATTAAAACTTATACATTATTTAACGAATTATTTATCTTAAATATTTCAAAATTAAAAGAATTTTAAAAGAGTTATGTCTACAATTTTCATAAAAAGATAAACTTCCAATAGGTTTTAATTTGAAATTTTAGAAAATTTCAATTTTTAATGAATTTCATTACAAAAATTTTAAAGAATTTAAATTCTTCTGAAAAATTTTAATAATTATTTAAAAATACTTTCACAATAATTCAATTATTTACAAATTTTTTCGCAATAATTCAAATTATTTTTATAATAAACATTCTTTTAGAAATTCAATTATTTACATAAATAATAAAATTCATTGCAGAATTTTAATAATTTCTAATACAATTTTAATCGAATTTTTCGAAAAATTAAATTATTCTTAAAAACTTTATTAAAATTACCAAAAAAAAAATTTAATTTAATTTAAAATTTTTTAAATCTTTGTTCATAAAATTAAAAAATTATTCAAAATAATTGATTTAAAGAAGAATTTTAGTTAAAAATAATTCTTATTGTTGAATTTCAAAAGGCTTTGGATTTGAATGTTTTGAAAATTTTGATTCCTTTGGAAATTGAATAAAATGTTTTATAATACAATTATAATAGAATATTTTAGATTAGATTCTTAAAATATGAAATTTAATATCAAGTTTTTGAAAATTTGATCCTCAATTGTGATTGCACATTTAGAATGTAAAAATATTAAATTCTTATTGTAATTATATATTATATCAATTATTTCTTACGTTTGATTTGGTCTTGAATTAATTAAACTTGCAAGGTTTGGTAAAGTAGCTCGTAGATCAGAAGTAGAAAGTCCACAGTACCATCGAAGTTGGGCAATATTTTTATTTAGAAGATAAACTGCGTAATGAAACTGCAACTTATCTTTACTTCTTGCAAACAGTGGAAACCTAAGAATTTAGTTTTTTTTTTAATATAATAATTAATTCATTAATATATATTATTATATTCTGTTAAACAAAAGTAAAAAAAATATCAACGAACTACTTACTGTCTGTCAGTGTCGGGAAGACTTTCTGTTATATGATCAATAATTTTACTTCGTGAACCATAGTGAACAATGGGGTATCTAAGAGGAACATTGAGAAAATTTGCAATCATTTGCGTCGTGTGAGCAACAAATCCCAGAGCTACCGCGATGTCAGTGTCATTTGTCGATTCCAAATTTTCACTATCCGGTAGAAATACATTGTTTATCCTGAATGTTCCATTTGTTTCCTGGAAAATGAATTTTTAACTTAAAATTAAAAATATTTAAGTATAAATTTGTTGATTTCTGGTTAATTAATATTAATCTTCACTTAATTAAGTTGAATTCAGAATAAATTATTATTATATACCTGATTTATAGGATAAATTAAATTCAGTTCGGAAATTATCTGCCTTCGACGATGGGTAAGTCGAGCAGTAGTTTGAAGAAAAGTTTCCCTCACGTCTATGTGATTTTGACGCCACTCTTGAAGTCTCTCCATATCTTTTTTAAGTTCACGATAACGTTCCATTAAATCAGAACCTGTATTGTGTTAATAAAAAAATCATAATTAAAATTCATTAATTAAAATTCATTTTAGTTTTCTATTGTTTTTATATTTTTCCTTATAGTTTTAAATATTTATATTATTTATAATACAAACCATGATCTTGATTTTCTTCAGTAATATCCAAATGTGACTGATTCAAAGCTCGCACTTGTCCCATTTTTCTCATTCTCTCCTGCTCAAGTAGCCTGGCTCTAAATTTCGCCATTTCCAATTCCTTACGTATATTCATAATCTCGAGTTTTTTTTCTTTATTTATTCTTTTTGGTTGTAATAATCTATTTAATGTGGTTTGAGGATATTTTGGCGTTTGTACACTTTCACCAGAAGCAATTTTCTCCCTAAGCGCTTGAACTGAATCAGACTGTTGTTTCAATGCCTGCATTTTACTTCGAAGGCTACGAAGTTTATTCACACTGTAACTGTCTCTTATTTCATTAGAATTTACATTGATATGAATGTATCTTTTTAGTTGTGGTTGATTTATAAAACAAAAAGCAGGAGCAAAATAACCGCCTTGAATTTTAAAAAGAAGAGAATTATCACGGAGGACGGTCTCCAATTTGTTCGGAAGTTTCGTTCCAATATATTCTAAACCAGTGAATGATATTCCCCAGGTAAATTGGGTTATATCTGAATAACCATTTCCCGTTTTTGTACGTCTCCATAGTCGCAGAATTATTTCTGGAAAAAAAGAAAGAAAAAAGACTGGTTTTAGTTTTTATGGGGATGGTTAATCAGGGTTGCTACAAAAATTTAATTTTGTAGACTTTTCTTTGTTTGTTTCTTTTCTTTTTCTTTCTTTTCCCTGTCTTTTCCCCAATTTTCAGACAATATTGTCAATATTGAACATAATTGAATTTTTGCAATCATTTGTAACTTCTTCAAAATGTAACATTTTTGTCTTATTAACTAACATTTTTCTAAAAATTCATTATTTTTAATAATTAATGAGATATATATGCAAAACTTAACTAATTTCAGAAAAATTTGAAATATTACAATTTTTAAAAAATCTAAGTTCTTTAAAATTTCTAATTAAATTCATTCAAAATTAAAGTTTTATAAAATTTCAAATTAATACCTTTTGAAGTTCATCTATTTATGAATGAAGTTATTCAATTAGAAATTATTGTCAGAAATAGAAAGAATTGAAGGTTTCGTGGTAATTTCATAGTTTATGAGACAAACCAGAAAAACACAAAAATTCAGAATTTTCTTATGAATTCTAAAAATTTAATTTTTTCCAGTACTTCTAGTAAAAATCCCTGTCTTCCCTGACCTGTGACAACCCTGTTAATATAGTTTTTGTAAAAATAATCACCACTGGATGTAGAATGTCCTGTAGCATGAAGAATAGGCACTTCTAGGCTTTCCCATCGTGGACTTGAGTTATCTATCGGCTCACTTGTATACAAGGGAGATGACATGCACGATCTATGGATTGTGTAATAAAACCAACACACCTTGCACTTGTCATTTTTGTTTAAATTATATCCGATTATTTGAATCAAGTTCCTGAAGCGTAGCTATTAGAAAACAACAAAAAGGATATCAAAAATGTAAGAAAACCGAATAATATTTAGTTACATTACAAGTAAAGTGTTTCTTAAAATAATTTCATATTTATTGTAATAAGCATGACATTATTTTAAGGTTAATTTTATTTATAATTCATCACCTGTTGGGTAGCAAGTGGCAGCCAAACTTTATAACGTGGAGCTGTCCGTGGTTGAAGGGTCAAGTCCAAATCTCTAACAAGATTTCGAATATCTGTCACCTCCATTATTTACACACATATTACATACTAAATAAAATACTATAACTCTGATTAAATAGATAATATATATTAGAAAACAGTCGAACTATTTGAAAAATTTGTTTATTTAATGTAATATAGGTTATGTGCGATGAAAATGCATTTTATCGAGTTCTTCACTACGAATTTATTCTCGAATTATCAACTTGATTTATTTCATAATCCAGCATTATCGTATTTTCTGCTCAACATCATTTCAATTTATATACTTGAAATACTTCCACTTTGTTTGAAAAAAAGATTACATATCTGACAGCAGAATATGTGACATTTCACTCACATTACATTCTTTCTCACTTGCTCATCTCATTGGCAGGTGGTCAGGTCACAAGTGAAATTATGATTCATCCACAGCCATTGCAATTTGCAAGTAGAACCAATCGTAGGTCTTATTTCAAAAACTATTATTTATATTCAATTTATTATTATTTTCATAAATAACAATGTTTCTCACAAGAATTCAATTATTTTCTAAATTAATAAAATTCTTCGCAGAAATTCAATTATTTTCATAAATATTAACGCAATTCTTCCAAGGAATTAAATTATTCTCTTCAAATTTTTTGATAAAATTCTTTGCAAGAATTTCAATGATTTTCAATAAATTAATTTTAAAATTGAAAATATTTAAAAAGAAAAATTTTTAAAAAAGTTAGGAAACAAAAAATCAATAATAGGTAGTTAATTTATTGTTGTCCAAATTATTGAAAATTATTCCTTTTCAAAATCTTGATGTTATCGATATGACACGTGAATTTCTCGTTTTATGGTTGCCATAGAAACTGTCAAATTTACTTACCTTTCTTTTACACAATTTTACCAAAAATTGAACAGTTTTAATTGTAGAAGTTGTAGTGTTCATTGTTAATCTAAAAAAAACTTTCATATTGTTTATTCCTTTTTTTAGGTTACTGTAATTATTTTAATATTTATACGATTTAGACGATTTTTCCAATAGCAGCTTTTCAATTAGAAATAAATATGGAATCACCAATAAACATAAATAAATTTAAATCAATGATGATTGAAAGAACCTCAGCTGAGCCTTTGGAAGAAAATTATTTGAAAGTCAGTAAACAGGCATGGATGGGCGAAAATAAAAATCAATTAAAAATATTGGATCCGAATGATCCAATAATGAATAGATTTCAAGAAGCTCTTCGAACTCATCTCACCAAAATCGATAATAAACTATCAGAAGAAATTAATGAACTTGTATGTTTTTAATATTAATATTTGACTAAAATTAATATTTATTTTTATTTATTTTATTTTTTAATTTTATTTATTTATGTTATTTCTTTGTTTTTTTTTATTTTATTTATTTACTGTTATAATAATAAATTCACATTTATTTTCAGGAATCAGGAATAAAAAATGTCAAGAAAGAATGTGAAATAGAAAACCAAAAATTATACGGTGCTCAAGTAGAAATTTCTCGACAACAAAAAGTTCTGGAAAAATATGAATCCATGTTAGATAGAATAAAATCTCTCTATGAAACTAATGATCAACAAATAAAAGATCTAAAAGAATTACAAAAGCAAATTTCGAAAGAATTACAAACAGAAAAATCGAAAGAAAAAGAACTTGTTCGTAAATTGGAAAACTTGTCAAACCTCGAAACTTCCTTCATTGAATGGGAAAATGAAATAAACAAGGAATTGGCAATTTCACAAAGAGTCTCCGAAAAGGATGCAATAATGAAAAAAGAATTGATCCAACAAAAAAAGCGCAATGATTACATTCTTTTTAAAGTAATGAACGAAGTGAACAAAATAGAAGATGAAATTCGTTATCTGGACGATCAATTGCAATTGAAGGAAAAGGAAATAATTTATGCTGCTCAAATGTTGGCCGACGCAAGTACAGATTTAGAAGTTGTGCAAAAGGACCAAAAAATTTTACTAAGCACATGGAACAGTGTTTTGGTTTGCATTAGTCAGCGAGACAATATAAACGATCAACTTGGCACTGAAAAAAGGTAACAAATTAATATTTTCTAAAAAAAACAAATAATAAAAATATAAACAAATGATAAATTTTCCAAACAAACAAACATCACAATAAATAATAAAAATGTAATGTTAAAATAAAATGTAAATAAAAAAAAATAATCGAAACTTTTATTTCAGAAAAATACGCGATTCATTTCATAATTTACAAATTCAAACGGAGAAAATGAAAAAGGACACAAATAAAGAAATGGAGAACAACGAACAACTTACGGCCATTCATATGCAATTGGAAGGCGAAATGAGAAACACAACGAAAATAATTTCTTTAGCAAAAGACAAAGTTGAAAATTTGGAATCTCAATATGCGAAAACAACCAGACTTCTCGAACAAAGTCAAAAAGACTATCACACTTCCTCTTTGGTAATTAAATAAAATTTTTAATCTATTTATTTTTTTATCTATCTATCTATTTATTCATTTATTTAATATTGAAATTTAATTTCTTTAAAATTTTAATTTTTCCAGGAATATCAACAATGTGAAGCCGAGGAGATAATAATCGATAAAGATACCAGTAGGATTTTGGGTCAAAAATTGAAACTCGAAGAGGAAATTGTGTCTAATTTAGATGACAAAATAACGCACAATAAAGTAATACGTCATTTAAATAAATTACTGTCAGACATTAGAAATTCAAATCAGGAGCAGGAATTATCGATGATACAAACTGAAAATACTTACGGGAAAAATATTCACGAAATCGAAAAACTTAATTCACAACTCGATAACGAAAAGTCAGATCTGCAAGAAATTGATAACGAAAACATGAAAAGGGATCAAGAAATACAGCGAATGCAGGCGGAAATTGAAAAGTGCGACAATCTTTTGGAGCAGAAGCAAAGAAAAATTGTTACATTGAACAAAAAAATAGAGGAGGTAATTAAAATTTTGAATATTAAAAATTTGTTTCGAACCTTGACTTTAAAAATTACTAAAATCCCTCTTTAATATTTTTTTCTATTTTAGATTCTGTCAACCGTTGGCGAGGACACGAATCCGCTGGACTTGAAAATAGGATCTCTCGAGAGAAGCATAGACGAGATAGAATTAAAGACGAAAAAGTTAAAGCAATTTTGGTTGCGTCAAGAGGGAAATATTGTGACAGTCAGTCAGCAAAGAAATAATCAAATACAAGAAATTAGTCTCACGAGTAAACAAATTACCGTCATGGAACAAAAAAATCTAAAACTGGAAATCGAAATAGATAAGCAAAATAAGGAGAAGGCAAATATGGAGAAAATAATTAATTTATGTCAACAAAAGATAGCACAAATAAACAGTCGACTTGCAACTCAAAGAGACTTGAAAGAAGACCTAGAAAGTAAAAATTACACAATGAAAAACGAATATATCAAAGCTCTTCAAGATTCAGAAACAGAACTTATAAAATTACAAAATGAAATTAAATGTCTAATAAATGAAAAGGCAGTTCTTAAAGATCAATTACTTCTCTTGCAACGTGAGAGTCTTTCTTGGGAAAAGAAGGTAAATCCAAAAAAAGAAAATTGAAGAGTAAACTAAACTTGTAAACTTAACTTGTTGACTTTTAAACTTAAGATTTCTAAATTATTTATTTTGTTAATTTTCAGGTTCAATTAGCAATTGAAACGAGTAAATCGTTCAAAGAAGAGCGCAACACTGGTGGAGATGTGGCATTAATGAAAAGCGAAATACACAAAATGGAAATACGATTGTCACATTTGAAAAAAATTCAAGAAAAATTAATAATGGACATGGAATTTTGTATCACGAGAAGAGATATTATTTTAAATGGAGCAATAGCCAAGGAAAAGAGAAATCCAAGGGGAATGCATAATCAACGATTTATACTTCGTAAACGATTGGACGATCAAAAGACCAAAATTAAACAAATTGCCAAAGTAAAATCAACGCCCCCAGGACGATAAAATATTCATTCAAATGTCAAGGGAATAAAATATTAACTCAGAAAATCGGTTTCAGTTTCTGTCGTTTGTTATCGACAGTCTCCATTTTTGTGCCTGTTAGGTAACAATATTTGTCAAAAATAAATAACAAGACTTTTTGAGTCAATATTTTGTGCCCTGACATCTGAATAAACATTTTATCGTCGAAAGCGTCGAAATAATTAATATTCTTGATTGCAAATTACTATTTTGATACTGAACTGTACGAAATGATTTTAGGAAACAAAACACATTGAACACAATACAGTTTCTTTGGAGATGGAACAAAGAAAAATATTAGAGAAACTAGACGGTGGCCAAAGAATTTTGCGAGAAAATGAAGATGCAATTCCAGATATTGAAAAGCAAATAATGGAAGCTGAACTTATAAAATACCACGTGAGTAAAAAAAATATTAAATTATTACTTATATAATTAGAACTATATCGAATATAACAAATTTTCAGAATCTGGAAATTCTTGTGAGAAAACAAAGAAAATCGTCAATGCTCCAAGATGTGAAAAATGGAAAATATAAAATGATTTTTAAATCAGAATTCGCATTATGTGAAGAAATTAAAAATCAACAAATTTTAAATACTAAACTAAAAGATATTATGATTCAGACAAATCACGATTTTCCACTTTTGCAACAATATATTCGTAAAATACTCTTGACTTTAGAAGCAGCTTAATGAAAGTACTTTCTTGGTAAAGAAACTTTTTTGATAATATAATAAATGTTTTATTAATTAAAAATTAATAATTAAAAATTAATATTGTCAATATAATTTATAACCACTTAACTATATGATAAGTTTTCTTACCCACCCTAATCAATGATAAATTGTTCGGCAATATATGAATTCCAGGTACTATCATCTCATTAACATTAGTTATTTTTTGATGATTTATGTGAAATCCACCAGCTGGGATAATTCTCATTGCATCGTTTTCTTTTTTGAAGCATTTAACTTTCAAAGCTAATTCCGAAACTGTTAATCCTGGTTCATTTATAATTTCCACTAAAGTTGCACCTTCGAATGCAGACACCAAATCATTGGCTTCCATTTTTGATAGTGTATCGACTGTACTTTCGTAAAGAATTGCCGAAGTGTGTTTCGCAGATTTTAAACCTTCCTCTGAAAGAATTTTTCCATTAAAAATAACTTTCTGATGAAATTAAGTAAAAATACGAACCTCCATGTACGAGTGTTGTGACAGCTTCAGCCAATATTTTCTGCGCTTCACGTTTCTCCGGATCTTTCCGATGGGCCAACATAATCTCTTCAATTTGCGGTATCGTCAAGAATGTGAATAAATTAAGAAAATTCCCCACATCAGCGTCCGTAGTTCTAAAGAAGAACTGATAAAGTTGAAAACTAGAACTCCTTTCCGAAGATAGCCAAACAGCATTGCCCACAGATTTTCCAAATTTTTTACCACCCTCCGACGTTATAAGCGGCGATGTAATTCCATAAACATTCTCATTTCTAACTCGACTAATCAAATCATGACCAGCGACAATATTTCCCATCTGATCACTTCCACCAATTTGAAATCGACAATTATATTTATTCAGCAAATGTAACCAATCATAGGCTTGAAAAATCTGATAAGTAAATTCTGTAAAACTCATTCCGCTCTCTTGTTTCAAGCGCGATTGAACGGAAGTTCTTCCCAACATTGTACCCAGACGAAAATGTTTTCCGACTCTTTTCACAAAATCAATGACATTCACTCCTGTGTACCAATCACTATTATTTACAATTGTTATTGGTTTTAATTTATAATGGGGATTCTTCCAAAAATATTGTTCATGATTTGCAAAAATTGTTTCTATATTTCTTCTTATTGACTCGACATTCTCCTTTACTAGGACTTCTTCAATTTGTTCACGTTCTGTTTTCCGTCCGCTTGGATCGCCTATTAATCCGGTAGCTCCACCGATTAATGCCAAAACATCGTGACCCGATCGTTGCCAATGAAGAAGATTCATTAGAATTAATAAGTTTCCTACGTGGAGACTGTCTGCTGTGGGATCGAAACCAGCGTAGACACATTGTGGCGAATTGCTATTAAGAAGCTTTATTATCTTATCCCTAAAAAATATTTTTGAAATTTTAATAATGAAAATAAAAATAATATGAAAACTAAAAAGTTAAAGTTAAAATAATTAATACATATACCTTTATTATTCAGGGTTGCCACAGGTCAGGGAAGTCTGGGAAAAGTTCACAGAAATTCAATTATTTCTAAATTTCTTCACAATAATTCAATTATTTTTATAAATAATAAACAATTTTACAGAGAGTCAATTATTTTTATAAATAATAAAATTCTTTTTAGGAATTCAATTATTTTCATAAATACTCATCGCAGAATTTCAATTTTAATCGAATTCCTCGAAAAAATTCCTTTATGGGATATCAATTTTAGGAAACATTCAATTATTCAATAAATTATTTATTTTTGTATTTAATTGATTGTAAAATATAGAAAGAAATAAATAAATATTTGAATTTTCGTAGAATTTTCTAATAAATCTTGATTTAAAAATGTATTTCAGTTTAAATTTTAAATAATCATTGAAGATTAAAAGCATTACAGAGTAAATTTTTAGAAATAATTTAATTTTGAAAAGGTTTTAAATTAAATTCTTTGAAAATACTGAATTTTTCATACTTTTAACTATCAATTCTGGAAAAATTAATTTTTTTGAAAAAGTTTAACTGAATTTTTTTAAAAACTATTTCATGTTTTTATTTCCTAACATATAATTAATTGAAGAATTTGCGAATAAACGGAATTCCGTGTAAAATTGAATTGTAAACAAATGAATTTGAAAATTATTAAAAAACTTTTTAATTGTTGTTATTGTTGTTTTCGAATAATTTTACAATTAGAGAAATTCGCAATTTTTTTTTGAGTATCTAATCATTTTTAGAGTGAATCAGAATATTCTTTAGGGTCAGGGAAAAAGTCAAAATCAGTCAGGAAAAAGTCTGGAAATCAGGGAAAAACAAAATTAAATTTCTGTAGCAACCCTGTTATTATTTTTTATATTATGTCAATTTGAAATACTTACGCACTTTGTTCTGGAAATAAGTTATCGAGCATTCCTCTTTCATGTAATTTTAAAATATTTCTATTTGTATAATATCTGGATGAATTGTAAAACGTTTTACCGGCACGACATAACCTCAAAAATTGTTTGGGATTCATTTTGCTCATTCTTCAAAGTCCTCACGCAGTACAATATCTCACAAATAAATGCTTATCAAATTGAATTAATTGCAGTTACGAGAATTCCATATTTTATCATTGAAACCATTTATACTGTATCAAATTTACCTAATTTGTTTATAAAGTTTATAAACGTTTTTCATTACACTGAACCTAAAGGCACAATCACAGTTCTGTAGCAGTTCTGTAGTTTGCAGGTCAAGGGGCATAGACTATATAAAAAACATGAGATAGAAAAGGACAGCGCGCAATATGATGACATCAGCTGATGAATATCATCATATGGTGATCATATGTTTACCTTTTAATACATAGAAGTAATCAGTATTCTCTATAAAAATAGAAAATTTAGATATAAAGCAATATAATATTTCCACTAATTTATATTAATAAAAAATCAGTGCAAAAATGACCAATTGTGACGGTTTGTTTATAATTATAATAATTTTGAGGTTATGTTTATATATTTTTCATTTTATTCATTTTACAATTATTATGTTTATTTTTTCTTTTTGTTCTTTCTTTCTTTCTCTCTTGTTCATTAAATATCAAAAAACTAATTATTCAAAAGAATTTTTTTTTATTTTCTTCTCTGAACAAATATTTATAATTCGTTTTGTTTTAATTTTAAAAATAGAAAAATCGCTTTACTTTCCTTTCTTTGCACAGCTGTCAAAATTTTATTAGGATAATATTGATTTTAATCGTTTTCTTTCTTTTATCTTAATTTCGTTTTAGATAAACGAGTTTTAACATGTATGAGACGAACCCAGGGTGATGGAATGGAGTTTATCGACGTCGATAAATTGGAAACAAATAAGGGAAATAAAATTCGACTGGGTGATTCTTTGATTTATCACCCGACAAATTTTAAGCAGCTTAATTCAAAACCACCAATAACTCCCAGTGGTACAGTGGTGAATTTAATACCAAAAAGTACAACTCATATTAAAAAGGAAAAGTATGTTTTGAGTTCATTAAAATCGAAGGAACCAAAATTTGTACCCTATGAACCTTACAAGGCAGCTGTAAATCCGATTATTCCTTATGAGAAGAAAGGCAAAAAACAATCGAAACACAATGCTGATATAAATACGATGATATCGCAATTAGCCATTAAGACTAATGATAAGAAAATTGACGAGAAATCCAAGAGTGAAATAGTCATTGATAACAGTGATAGAAAGGAATATGAATCTGAAATTAAGAAATTGAAAGAAGAGAATAGTCAGTTGGAAAATCAACTTAAATTTCAAACACAGGTGAGTAACATTCAAATTTTGTTAGGGTTTGATTTATTTTTCACTTAATAATAATTGAATTTTTTTTCATCAAAAAGGTTAATGCAGAATTAAAGAATTTATTAGTTGCTGCAGTTGGAGAGGACTTAGAAAGTAGAGTTCATTTATTGACGGAAGATAAACTTCAATTGGCTCGTGCTTTATTAAATTCGGCGAAAAATCTCACGACTCATCAGGAGCAAACAGAATGGCTAGCGGGACAATGCGAAGTTTGGAGGAGTAAATTTTTAGCAAGCAGGTAATAATTTTGTCTCTAATTTCACGCGAGACTTGTAAAATGTAAAATTTAAAAATATCATTACAGTCTGATGGTTGAAGAATTAGCAAAATGGAAAGCAGCCTTATGTCAGAGAGCGACTGATCTTCAAGAGTCGATAAAAAGATTATTCGAAGAACACAACAAAGTTAGGGACACATCTTTACGAACATACAGGTAGAAAATTTGTTTATTTTTCAATTCAATTATATTCAAAAAAAATTTTTTAAATTCTCGTTAAAATTCCTATTATCTTTATATAAATAATAAAATTCTTTCTCAAAATTCAATTATTTTCAAAAATTTTAATAAAATTCTTGGCAAAATTTCAATTATTTTCAAAAATTATCATTAAATTCTTCGCAAAAATTCAATTATTTTCAAAACTTTCAAATAAAGTTCTTGTAATGAATTCAATTATATTTTCAGAAATGACAGAATTCTTCCCAAAAATTCAATTCTTTTAAAAAATAACATTTTTGCAGAAATTCAATTATTTTTCTTAATTTTCATAAAATTCTTCACAGAAATTCAAAAATTTTAATATACTTCTTTGAATTCTCGTAGAATTTTCTAATAAAAATTGATTTAAAAATAAATTTCAGTTAAAATTTGAAATAATTGAATAATATTAAAAGTATTATAGGGTGAATTTTTAGTAATAATTGAATTTTGAAAAGTTTGCAAATTAAAATTTTAGAAAAATTTTAATTTTTCATTCTTTTAACCAACAATTCTGTAGAATTAATTTTTTTTGAAAAAGTTTAATGGAATTTTTTTAAAAATTATTTGAATTTTTTATTTTCTACAATATATTTAATTGAAGAATTTCCGAATATTCGAAATTTCACGTAAAATTATGTATTGTAAAGAAATGGATTTGAAAATTCTCCAAAAGAACTTTTTCGAAAGTTATTCAATACAAGTTTAGAGAAGAATTTTAGGTAAAAAATTGTAGAAAATAATAATTGAATTTAAATGATGAAAATAATTTTGAAGAATTTGCAGTAACAGTATTCTTATAATGTAAAGTAATGATTTTATCACCCGGTCAACTTTAATTACTTTAAAACATTATTTTAAAACATAAAACATCGAAGACTCGGAGTAATCGATTTTTTCATGTTTTATAATTATGAAAAAATTTTATAGTTTTATAAATTTATATTTTATAAATTTTATAAATTAATTATTAATTTTATAAATTTTATAGTTTTAAGTAGAATTTTCTCTTATTTGACTCGGACTGGTTATATTTTTATCTGTAATTTTTCATTTTTGGTCCGTAAGGTCCGTATTTTTAAATACTTTCACTGGTTCGAGCCCTGATCTTGTAGTTTTTGAAAATAAATTATTTTATTTATTTCAGAACTCTAAGTATTCTTAGAGAGAATTTCGCTCCATCTGGAGCATCGACATCTAAACGACACGAATTAGCGAGTACAAATATTATTGACTTGGCCGAAGGTTGTTCTCAACTTTCCGAATTATTGAAAGTTCAATTATTGAGTGGAATGGACCAAATAAGCCTTCGTAAGGAAATTAATGTTACTGGATTAGAAATGAAAACAGTTGCGGAAAAAACTGCGGAACAGGTAAAAAGAAAAAAATATTTCGAAACTGATTTCAATTTATGCAAATTTTGAAAAAATTTTCAGTTACTGATGAGTCCTAATTTGATAATGTCCGGAAGGCAAGATATTGCCTGCAGTGCCGTGATGGGTGCAGCGGTTGCACTAGGAGGACAAATATTTCTCCCCAAGAGTTCAAATATGCCTAATATTGCCTGCTGCTCACATTGCAGTGGGGAAATTAAACAAGTGTAAAATATTCCGAACTAATCAATTTAAATTGTATTATATAAAAAAGAGAAATTAGATTATAAATTAATATATTGACCATTGTTTGGTTTAAAATAAGCGCATAAAAATTTAGGTATAAATCATTAACTTCCACTAGGTACCACTAGGTACCACTAGGAACCACTAGATACCACTAGATACCACTAGGAAAATGAATTTCCTTTTTTTTAAAATGGTGATAAGAGAAAACTATTTTGTATACATACATTTTTTCAATAAAAGACTAAAATGAATGAAAGAATAAAATGAAAAATTGCTTTTAAAAAAATTCACTGGAAACAAATTATTTATTTACACATTACAGATGCGCCAGTTTCTTACAAAGAAATTATGCAGTTTAGAAAATACATATTAGATAATTAAATAAATAAGTGTTTGGTTTTTGTTTGTAACTCGTAAGAAAATAGAATACGAAATAACTTGTTACAAACAAACGAAAAAAAAACAAAAAAAAAAGAACGCTTGTCCCTTACCATTTCATTAACAATAAAATATTCGTATTTACAAAAAAGTACTTCTTGCGCTGCAGAAGCGTTTCATTTATTTTTCGTCAGTATCTTCCTCTTGTTCAGGGGATTTATATTAATTGCTATTTTTGTTGAGTCTAACAATAAAAAAGAGAATAACATTTTTCACAGCCGACATAGTATTTTTTTTTTCTTCATTTTCAACTTACAATTAAACTGTATGCTTTTTTTTAAAAAACAGTTTATAATACGAAACACTTTTTTCTTTCATCTATTATTGGAAGTATTTTAAAAAATTACTATTTTTATTATTATTATTAAAAAAGAAACAATGATGATGATGTCGAGTACAATAAAAAATGATAAACTGTAAAGGCGAAATGGCTTTTTAAAAACAATTTTTTAAAATGAATTTTGCTCGATATTAGGTAGTTCCAATACAAACTAGAGAACTATTTTTTTTATAATATCGAAGGGACAATATACTTGAGCAATTTGTTTTGAATACTTGCGGAACTTTTGCTGACATATTAGCCAGACCACTGAAAAGAAAAGATTATATTTTCAAATTATTATTAACATAACTTATTAACTAATTCACATAACTTATTAATATAATTATTATTTATTTTTTAACTTACCTATTATTAACATTAATATGTTCCTGAGTGGACCATAAACAGACTACTCCATCAATACTAGAACTGGCAATAAATTGACCATCAGGACTCCAATCTAAATTTATTACTGAATCCTGATGGGCCTTTAATTCGGTCATTAGCGAATTTGTCGACAAATCCCATATGGAAATACTTTTGTCATCACCTATAATACAGAATACATAAACCTATAATTTATATTTATTATTTTTGAAGTAAAAATTATAGAAAGAGAATCAATTAGCCCGTATGGTATTAAAATTGTCTTTGAATTTAAAGTAAATTAAGTAAATTGAAATCTTGATTTCTGGCATAAATTAAAATGAGGGAGTTGATAGAAGGTATTTTTGAAATAATTACCAGCTGCAGCCAAGTATTTTCCATCGGGACTGAAAGCTAAACTATAGATTGTTGATTGAGCGCCTACATAAACTCGTAACATATTGCCATCGTCCTTATTCCACAACCTAACAGTCTTATCCGCCGAACCAGTCGCTAAATATCGAGCGTTTGGATGAAATCGTATGCACTGAAAATTAATAAATCAGCCCATGAAAATACCTACTTAATAATTTACAAATAATGTCAAAATGAACTGCTTCTTATTTTTCTTTTCTTTCTCTATTTTTCAAAAATACAATTTAAAACATGAAAAATAAAAACTTACATTAACATCCAAAAAATGTCCTGCAAATATTCGAAGAGGGAATGTTCTATCTAACGACCACAATTTGGCTGTTCTATCATGAGAACCGGTTGCTATGTACAAATTAAACGCACTAGTGTCCATACACCATATTGGATAATTATGACCTCTGCAAATGAAAAATTACTTTCTTCTGAATATAAATTAAAGAACCATAAATTGAAAATAAGCTTTAGATTTTTAGATTAAAATAATTAAAAATCAGCTTTATAGAAATATATTTCAAAAACTTGAGGAAAAATCCGACAAACAATCGGAACAAAAATTAATTAAAAGAATAAAAATAACTGAATTATATTTACTTACTGGTAAACTGAAGCACAGGAAAAATCATTCAATCTCCACGCTCTCATGTCTTTGTCACTCGACACGGAAAGAAGAACTTCCGCCTCAGGTACAAATCTAAGATCATGAATAACATCTGTATGACCTCTTAAAATTACAGCTCCATTTGCGGATCTACAAAAAAGATTTCCATTTATTTTATCATTATTAAATATATACAAGGGGCTGTTTAACCAGAAGGGAAAAAAATTAATATAATGAAGGAATAAATAATGAAATAAATAAAGAAATATAACAGGATTCCTACAGAAATCCGCATTTAAAATTCCATACATTTTCCATGATTTCCAGGTCAAATTTTTACGAAATTCCAGTGGAAATTTAAATCTAATTTCATTATTTTTGGGCTCTTTAAAAACACTTTACTTATTTAACAGTCTCTAAAATTATCAAAATTTATCAAAAATTCGAAAAACCGATTTTTTTAAAATTCAACAGTTTTTCTTCTTTTTGATAGTATTTAGCTTCATTATTTTTAGGCTCTTCAAAAACACTTTACTTAATTAATAGTTACCACCCTTTGGTAAAAAATCTAAAATTATCAAAAATTATCAAAAATTCAGAAATCCGAATTTCTTAAAATTCAACATTTTTTCTTGCCTTTCATGCCATTTAGCTTCATTATTTTTGTGCTCTTGGAAAATACTTGACTTATTTAATAGTCTCGACTCTTTGGTAAAAATCTAAAATTATCAAAAATTCAAAAATCCGAATTTCTTAAAATTCAACATTTTTTCATCTGATTTATAGGATTTAGCTTCATTATTTTTGGGCTCTTGGAAAATACTTTACTTATTTAATAGTCTCGATTCTTTGGTAAAAAATCTAAAATTATCGAAAATTATCAAAAATTCAAATATTCGAATTTCTTAAAATTCAACATTTTTCCTTCTTTTTTATGTGATTTAGCTTTACTATTTTTGTGCTCTTTAAAAACACTTTACTTATTTAATAGTCTCCACCCTTTGGTAAAAAATCTAAAATTATCAAAAATTCGAATTTCTTAAAATTCAACATTTTTTCCTCTCGTTTATGTAATTTAGCTTCACTATTTTTGTGCTCTTCAAAAACACTTTACTTATTTAATAGTCTCGATTCTTTGGTAAAAAATCTAAAATTATCGAAAATTATCAAAAATCCGAATTTCTTAAAATTCAACATTTTTTCCTCTCGTTTATGTAATTTAGCTTCACTATTTTTGTGCTCTTCAAAAACACTTTACTTATTTAATAGTCTCGATTCTTTGGTAAAAAATCTAAAATTATCGAAAATTATCAAAAATCCGAATTTCTTAAAATTCAACATTTTTTCTTGTCTTTCATGCCATTTAGCTTTATTATTATTTGACTTTCTATTCAAGAGAAAAAATGGAAAACAGAAAAAATTTAGAAACTTTTAAAAATTCCAGGCCTTTTCCATGATTTTCCTGATTTCCAGAAGCCTTTTAAAAATTCCATACCATTTCCATGATTTCCAGATTCTGTAGGAACCCTGTATAAATACCTAATAAAGGTATTAGATAATAAAAACTTCAAATAATTTAAAAAAAAATTCAATTAAACTTTTTAAAAATATTAATTCTACAGAAATTGTAGTTAAAAGTAGGAAAAATTTTAATTTTCAAAGATTTGAATTTGAAACCTTTTTAAAATTCAATTATTTATAGAAATTCACACTATAACACTTTTAATATTCAATTATTATCTAAAATTTTAACTAAAATTAATTTTTAAATCAATTTTTATTAGAAAATTCTACAAGAATTCAATTATTTAATTGCAATAATGAATAATAATTTATTGAATAATTGAATGTTTCTTTAAATTGTATTCTTGTAAAGAATTTTATCAACAAATTTTTAAATAATTTAATTCTTCCGACAAATTTTAATCAAATTATTAAGAATAATTACATTATTCGAGGAATTCTTTTAAATTGTATTAAAAATAATTTAAATTCTGCGATAAGTTTTATAATTTATAAAAATAATTTAATTCTTGTGAAGAATTTTATTAAAATTTATAAAAATAATTGAATTTTTTTAAGAATATTATTCAAATTTTTTAAATAATTGAATTCTTGGGAAAAATTTTTTTATGTGTGAAAATAATTGAAATCTTGCGAAGAATTTTTTTAAAATTTTCAAAATTAATTGAATTCCGGAAATAATTTTATTTTTTATGAAAATGGTTGAATACTTTTGAAGAATTTTAGTAAAACTTTTAAGAATAATTGCATTTTTCTACGAATTCATTTCAAATTGTAATAAATATAATTGAATTCTTTCGACGAATTTTAATAAAATTTTGAAGAATAATTACATTTTTCGAGAAAATTCGATTGAATATAATTGAAATTCTGAGATGAATTTTATTATTTATGAAAATAATTGAATTATTGCAAAGAAATTTATAAAATATTTGTAAATAATTGAAATTTTGTTGAGAATTTTATTAAAATTTTTGAAAATAATTGAATTTCGGAGAAGAATTTTATTATTTATAAAGATAATTTTAATTTTGACGAGAATTTTTAAAAAATTTTTGAACATAATTGAATTTCTACGAAGAATTTTGTTACTTTTGAAAATAATAATTGAATTTCTACAATAATTTCTAACTTCTCCAAAATTCAGTTTTTCTTAGTGATTTTAACTATAAAATTCTTCTACAAATCCATTATTTTTAATAATTAATTAAATATGTTTATTAAAAAATTTAACTAATTCGTGGTAATTTCATAGTTTACGAGACAAACAAAAAAGACACAAAAATTCAGAATTTTCCTATGAATTCTAAAAACTTAAATTTTTCCAGTACTTTTAACAAAAATCACTGATTTTCCATGAATTCCCTGACAAGAGGTTATTTAACCAAAAAAGAGAAAAAATAAATAACGAAATAAATAAAGAAGAAAATGTAGATGTAATGAAATGTAACGAAGAATAACGAAAAATAGAAATAAAGTATAAATATCGAATTTTCTTACCGATTACTACCGTCGTCAATATAATTGCTTGTTGAGGGTAAATCACAAGCAAGCTTAACGGAAGGTTCAGAAAACGTTGGCCTCATAAGTACAGCATCGCTGATGCCCCACACTCTAATTTCTGAAGTGTTAAAGCCTGCAGCTAATTTATCCATATTCGGCGTAATAATACCGCAACTTGCACTATTTTAATAAAAATAAATTGTTAATTACAGTTATAAATTATAAAATATATTCCTACTACTAAATATAATTCTAAATCAATACAGTTGTACTGGATAAAATTGTACAGTTGTTAAATTGAAATGAGTTAAAGGTCATTTTTATTCCTTCAAATGAGTTAAAATGAGAATTAAAAGAATGTATCAAATGAAATTACTTTTCAATAGCATTGCTGACAGTGAAAACCCGAAGTGGTTGATGAGCAGTATTGCGAATCAGTCGAATTGCTTCCTGAAGTTCACGCATTTCCCTATCGACTCCCGTACCACATGGTTGCTCCATATGACCATTAATACCAATATCATTATTTTGTCCCCGTTCACCATAACTCTCCTCATTTTCCATATAACCATCTGACATCTCTTTTATCACCGTTATGTGAGTATTTATAACCTATCAATTAAAAAAAGTCCATAATTTAATTAAATTCCTTCCAAATTTTAATTTTAATTTATCACTCACAACGTCGTTAATCCAATTTTTTAATCTGGAAATAAAAACAAAATTCCCCCCAAAAAAAGAATAGTTTTCTCCACATCTACCTGCATAAGAATAATATGTCCATATTTTGCTAGAAATCTTTGTAGACAAATGTGAGCTTCATCGGATAAATCAACTTTATATTTCCTCGTTCTAAATGCATGTACTAATGGTCGTATTTCTATATCTTGTATTGATGAGACATTTGATAATTCGTCGAGAAAATCCTTTTCAGTTCTTGTCGTGAAATCAGTTTGATGTGTTTTTAAAAATTGTATTGCCAATTGACTATTTCCCGCGTGCAGCATTTCGAGATAAAAATGACAAAACACTGGATAAAGAAGTTCACGTAATTCATTTCTTAATTTATCACTCACAACGCCGTTAATCCAATTTTTTAATCTGGAAATAAAAACAAATTAAATTCTACACAATCATAACTTGCGGATAAATAAAATTCTGTTATAAAAATAACAAATTCGTCGCTGAAAAATCATGTTTATAAGATATTTTTTGAAGATTATTTAAGTTTAAAAAACACGTCAATAAATTGTTCAAAAATAGAAAAAATGATATTTGGTTTTTAATAATAAAAAGGAATTTTTCTTTTTGAAAATTGGAATTAAGGGACTTAGAGGGCATGCTTACTTTTGATAGGCCTGATCAGCGGCTACAGGGTCATTAATAATTGCACTGAAAATGATGGAATTATCGCGGGATGTCCCACATTCGGCAGAGACATTTAATGTCATTTCCTCACTACTTCGGGAACCAGTTCTCTCAGGTTTTCGAAAAACGTCACTATCCTGTGAGATTATTAGTAAACATTTTTGTAGGTTAGGTCACTCTGTGATTTTATATACTTTCAATGTGGACATCAATGTAAGATTTATTATTTCTATTAGACAAACATACCTGATATCTTCTTCGCTTCAAATACGATTCAACAGTCGCATTGATTATTTCAATTTTCGATCGTTTCATCTTCATTTGATCAGAAATTCATAAATCTTCGGCAATTTCATTTAAAAACACAACATTCATTTGTCCTGTGCGCGTCGGACGCCATCACACACTCTCTCGGAATTATCCAAGAGTTTTCTATTTTCACTTTTAGGTTATGTACTACTGTAAAACCTGTAAAATTAGGAAAAAATCGAAAAAATACAAAATACAAATTGGTAATTTTTTTTCAGAAGAGAGGCGGAATTGTAAATTAATATACTTTTAAAATTATGTTCATATTCTCGAAAAAATCTATAATTAAAATTATTATTTCAATTATAGATTTTTTCCAGATAATCCCGATAATTCGTACAATTTGTAATTTTTACATTTCGATTTCTTTTTTGGAAAAGTTTCCAGTACCGGATATCGACTATTGAAAGTGCAAATTTCTGTATTATTGACAGTAGTTGAAAGTAACACTAGCGCCATCTACAATACTGAAAACTGTAAAATTTTTACCATTTTCCAAGAGATCTGTTCCGAACAAGTCTTTGCATAACCTCACTGCCTGCCTGCATAGTATAAAAGCAGTAAAAAGTATTTTCACCACTTCTCATTTAAAAGTAATAAATATTTCTTCTTTTTCACAAAGTGTCAGTGTTATATTTAATGAATACGTTCGATATTCTCTTTATAAACTGAGTGGCACAACGGATTTATTACAGCTTTTCACATATTCTCAAGGAGTTGAAGAGAATTTTTCTATTTACAAGAAGTGTTAATTTTACCGGTCATTATGAATTGCAATAGATTTTGCATCTGCCGTTTGTTTACAAGGAGGATTTGATCTCGCTGAAGTAAACACTGCCTTTCGTAACATTGTAAGTATAGAGACATTTTACTGTGTGTAACACTTTTTTTAAAATTTTTTAGGTCAACAAGAATAGACAATTCTTTGTTTATGGCTATTATGATTTTCTTTTTGCATTAATCTTTCCGAATTTTTCTCACATAAAACTGTGTTTTACTAGTTAGAGTATGTTTTATTAGTTTTAAAACTAATGTTTTTAATTTAAATTAATATTCTGTTTTGTTTATTTGAACAGTGAAAATGTATTTAAATTTTTTACTATTCGATAGAAAATAGAAATAGTAACGATTTTCTAACAATGTTATTTTGAACTTCGCGAATTCTTTTTTTGGGAAGAATTTAATCAAAATACAACATAAAAAAGTAAAATTTCTGTTATAATTAGTTTTCTTTTCAATAGCTGCAAATTTTTATCCGGACATACAAATTTTTATGATTCATCCGAAGTTTTATTTATTTTATTTAAAAAAAAACACTGGAACGTTTTCAGCTTCTTAAAAAAATCTTTTCGATAAAAGTACCAATTTTTTTATTTCTTTTAAATTCCAAAAATATAATTTACATTAAATATTAAAATTAATTTCTATTAAGAAACTAGCAAATTTTACTAGAAATACTTATTTCAATTAACCGATAATTTATTTTTTCTCCACATAATAATTCGAAGTGGAAAAAAAACGAGGTTGCTTAAAATTTTCTTTTTGAAAAGATAGGTACAATATGTTAAAAAAATATTTTCTTATAAAGTTTGCATACGTGGGAGATTCTTTTATACAAATCGAATGTTCTAATTAACATTTACAAAATTATGCTTGTTATCAATGAATTTAAATTAAAATATATCTGCTTGATTAATTTCAGTGTGACTCATGAAAAATCGACAACAAAAAAAAGTTGTGTATTTATGGAGATTATAATAATCGTTTAGTTGGCCTAGAAAGGTGAAAATCGCACTTGTTCCTGATTACACAATAATTGATCGTAAAACCTTTGAAGGTTTTTTTTGTTACCGGTACATTTGTAAAATTAATTAAAAATTTGTCATTGCAATTTTGGCCCTGAGTAAATGAGGAAAAATGAAAAATTTAGTCCTTATCTATATTTTAATTTATGAATATAGGATGTTTGTTTTTTTTCTCGATTCAAACTTTTTTCAAACACCAACAAAAATTCTAATTTGTCGAGAAAATTTTGCAATATGAATAATTAATTCTTATCTTCTTGATTTTCAATTACAATGAAAATAAATACTTGTTTAACAAGTTTGAATTTCAATTGTTTCTTAGAGAACTGCGTCTTATTTTTTGTAATTAATTTTTTTTTGCTTTTCTTTTCTCTGTTTACGTAAATTTTTTCGGTTGAGATAGAAATTATCTTTTTTTTTTAATTAATTGGAAATTAAAAATTTGGCAATAGTTTTCGTATATCAATATCGATATTGACAAATTTAAGATTTTTTTTCCTTTTTGAGAAAATTTGAAAAATGACATGATTTAAGTGACCTTTAATGAAAAGGATCACGAAGATGGTTTAGGAATGAGACTAATGAAAAGTAGATGGATTTTTTTTTATTCGTTCATTCTCTATTGGAGTAGGTCAGCTCATCAATTTAGTCTCTGCAATAGTTGGAAAAATAGTTTTGAAGTCAGGGCAGCATTTTTATAAATAAACTAAAAGAAATGTAAAATTAATTTCTTCTGTAAAAAAATTCCTTCTGTTTTGATTTTCGTTTCTATTTTCTTCTATTTTAATTTTTTTTCTTTTATTCTAAATTTTTCGGATATGTTTCTAATTTACTTTTTTTTAATTCTAGATTTGTTGCAAGTTTTCTTTTTTTTTGAAGAGAGAATTGCGGAGCACATTTTGTCGCCGGAAAACGGAGTTCTCCGTTTTGAAGAAGCAAATTAGTGTGATGTTGACGTTTCGAGAATTGAGTTTTTTTTCACCTGGACAAGGCAGATAAAAAAAATGAAGGCTACACTGACTTATCCATAACAGTGGACGATAATATACATACTCATTGAAGTATATAAAAGAACATGTATAACCATAATCGCTTTCAGTCGTAAGCGTGACTTGTTAGAAGCAAACCACAAGCAAAGTGATAGTTTCGTTAATATTTCGAATTTCCCCCCCCCCTTATTTATTAATTGATCTGAGTAAAATAATTATTTACATTTTCTAATATCAAGTGTAAAAATTGTATCCTCCCGAAATATTCGTGCCAGTGACTCAGATCGAATCATTGACCTTCTACAAAACTCGATTTCTTCTTGTTGCATTCCCAAGACGTTCGGCGACAACTTTTTACATCTCTCTCGGCTTGTTCTCAAAGTATGGTGTATTTATAAAATTATTTCTAATTATTCAAATTATTAAATCTATTTCAAAACGTATATTATTTTTTATTAAAAATAAATACGATTTTAATTTTCAAAAAAAATATTTTTTCTAGCTAAAATATAGGCATAATATTTTTTTTAATAGTAAAAAAAAGATTGACAGTCAATTTTTGAAATATTTTGAGTTCGATAAACTTTTAATAAAACAATTTTTTTGCTTGTCATGAAGAGAAAAAAAGATGCGAATGAGATTATTAGCCTGTTGAGTTTCATTAACCGCATTGTTGATATGTTTTGGTTTTGCTTTTTTTCCTCCCCCCGTAAATCGAAAGTGTTGACGTTATAAATAGTCAATAAGTGTCCCACTTAAATTAAAGATAAAGAAACTATTTTTTTTATTTGCCGATAGTTTGTTTAATAAAAAAGAAACAAAATTTGCAAAACAAAATTTTATGTTAATAAAAGTAAATAATACAATGTAATAGTAACAAAATTTATTAATAAAGAAAGATAAATTGTAAATAAATAAATTATAAAATCTATAAATTCTAGATAAAATAAATATAAATTATAGATAAATTACTAAATTGTAAATATTTCAAATAATAATTGCCAACAACAACAACAACAACAACAAATTTCTAATAATAATAAATTAGACTATCTTATTTTCTTGTGTTCTGTGGTAAAATTTATTGTTTCATTATTTAAAGTATTTAAATTGATTATTATTATAAATGTGTACAAATTGTCTAATTTATTAAGTAGTGGAAAAAAAAGTTCGTCATTCTATAATTTATGCATATATTTTTTTTGTGAAGTAAAATGCAGAGAAATGATAATTCAGACATAAAGAGAATTGAGTATCTGATTGATTCCAATATTCTTTTACTTATTGCGGGTTAAGTGGACAATTAGCACTTGACACTTTTCTTATCACGTGTATACATTTTTTGATATCAGAAGGCGCTTTATTAAAATGTATCTTATTAATATTAATTAACTTTTATCTATTCTCTTATCAATAATTTTAGTAGTGTTATTAAATATTAATAATTAATAACTATTGTATTTTAATAATCATTGACTGTTTATTCAATATTATTCAAAATTCAATATTATTCAACATTTGATTATTTATATAATACGACATTTTTTCGTAAACTTATTGTTTGCGAATTTTTGCGATTTTGTTTAAAAAAATGCAAAAATACACGTCTTACATACATGATTAGATTAATGTTGTCGAAAATATTTTGCAAATAGAATTATATCAGATATAAATTTTACGAGGCAAATACAAAGTTCTTAACTTCAACTACATTTACATTTTTATTATCATTATTTTACTATTTTTCTTTTAAAGTTTTCGTGGAATTTATATTTTTTTGCCGTTTTGTTTTAGAAATTTTCCGATTCCTTATTATTTAAAAACATGTAATATTTATTTATATCATTTTCTTTTATTTTTAACAAAAGAAAATTTACTTTCAATGAAGTAAAATTTGTTTTTAAAAAAATATTTTAATTACTATTTTATTAAATTTATTATTTTTTTTATTAAATAATTATTTTTTTTATTAAATAATTAGATATTTTATTAAATATGAAATATTTTAATTTTTTTTAATGAAATATTTAATATTAAACATTTTATTAAATATTTAATTACTTTTATTAAAAATAAAATTTAATTTGTTTATTTTTTTACTACAAAATTCGTGAATTATCTATTATTACCAGAATCATAAATTGTGTTCTTTTAATTATAATTTCTAATTTAATATCATTTTAAGATGAATGGGCTGTGAAAGATTATTTATTTAACAACTTTCCATTAGGATTTTAATTTTACGATTGAATGTAAATGAAGCAACGGTCTATAAAATTATAATTAATCACCAATCGTATTCAACTGACTTGTAGAGGCAATTGAATGGAAATTATGTATAAATCTCAATGAAAGTTTAATAATTTATTTACAAATTTTATGCAAAATGAAATAAAGGAAATCGATAAATGTAATCTATTAGATTTTATTTGAATTATTATATTTTACCGGAAATTATATATATTTATAATAATTTAAAAATTAATATTATAATTTATAACAATTTAAAAATTAATATTATTAATTTATTAATATTTAATTAAAAATTAATTTGCCGATTTGAATTATTAATTCAAGTTTAAAAAAATTATTCACATATTTATAGGAATATTTGTGCACAATGTATATTTTATCTAGTGAAGTAAAAATGAAAATTACTTTTAGTCGCAAAATTATTTTACAATTAAATAATGTCAGTATTATCTATAACGTAATGGTTGAGGAAAATTTTCCTGTTAAACACGTAAACATATATTTATTGTATAATACAATAATCATTTTCTGATTAAATTTGGATTTTCTTTTTCTTTATTTTATTTTTTTTTTGCAGATTATTCAGAAATGTCGATGGGAAAACCAAATCGTTGGAGAACGCGAAGGGATGGCAATTGGATCAGTAAATTTGTGAAGAAGAGAATACCAATTACATCTTGGTTGCCAAAGTATGATTCGGAAAAATTGTTCAATGATGCGATTGCCGGTGTTACTGTTGGACTCACTGTAATGCCTCAGGGACTTGCTTATGCAACTCTTGCTGGTTTAGAACCACAGGTGAATTATTTTTATTATTATTATTTTTTTTGTCGAATAAAAATGATGGAAATCTCGATTTTTCCGAATCTTTTTTTTTTAGATATTCAAGGAGTTTCCTGTTTGAGTCTCTCAAGTTGATTCTTTAGACGAATTTTTCTTTTATTTAATTTTTCACTTCAGAGGATTTTCATTTAACAATTTAACGAAAAATTTAGAAAATTAGAATATTAAAATTAGAAATAGAAATTTTACTGTTTAATTCAATTTGCGTTTGATTAAATAATTAAGTTTGCAAAAAAGTTTTACTATTTTTTTCCATTTTAAATTAGTATTAAATTAACAATTTTATTTTTAAATTTTATAATATTGATTTACTGAATTTGAATTTTTAATGTAATTTAAAATACTTTTCTAGATTTCTCGATTTTAAATTGTACAATTATTAGAAATTTTATTTTTTAATATTTAAATTGTGATTAAATATTAATAATAATTAATTTTTAGTGTAATTTTGTATATTTTTTCATTTTTCAAATTTCTTGTAAAAATTTATAAATTCAGATTTGGCAGTGAATTAGTCACAAATACAATTCAGATTATTTTCATATGAAATTTCATAGTTTCTGATAAAAAGAAATTGTAAAAAATATTTGATAAAGTTAACAATTTTTTTATTTGAAATTAGAAAGAGACTTTTTTGAAATTTTTTATTTCTTCAAATGTTAAAATTTTTAAATTTAGTTAAAGATTATTCAACTAATTTTTTAATTAATTAAAACTAGAAAAGAAAAATGAGAAATTATGATGAGAAACATAACTTTTATGGAAAATTCTATTTTTTGGAAATTGTATTTTGTATTTTGTATATTCAGAAAATGAATAAAAAATAATTATTATTTTTAATTACAGTATGGTCTCTATTCGGCATTTATAGGCGCCATAGTCTACGTATTCTTTGGATCCTGCAAAGATATAACAATTGGTCCTACAGCTTTAATGTCATTGATGACTCATGAATATGTTCAAGGTCGCAGTGTCGATTTTGCGATCCTTCTCGCATTTCTGACAGGTTGCATGCAATTACTTATGGGATTCTTACGATTAGGTACGTTTTCTCAATTTTTTAAAATTATTTTTAATTTCAATTTTAATTTTTACGCTTTTGAATTTGATAATAATAATAAAAAAGAATTAATAAATAATAATACTATTTCTAAAGTTTCGTACGTTCAAATAAACGACAATTATTTTTTTGTATTTTTATTATTTATTCCTAATTTGTATTTAATTCAAAAAATTATTTTTTCTATATTTAAAAAATTAATTCTTAACTAAGTAAAATAATATGAAGCAAGTTTTGAACGTTTAAATGAACGAAAATTTTTTCCTGCTTAAATATTTTCAAAAATTATTATATTGAAATGGAAAATAATATTAATTGTGAAATATTATGAATTCGTTCATTTGAACATTCAAAATTTGATTGATATTATTTTCCACTTCAATATAATAATAATTTTTGAAAATATTTAAACAAAAAAATTTTTCGTTCATTTAAACGTTCAAAATTTGATTCATATTATTTTGCACTTCAATGTAATAATTTTTGAAAATATTTAAACAGAAAAAAACTTTTCGTTCATTTGAACGTTCAAAATTTGAGTGAAATCGCTAATAAATATTATTTAAAGCAATTCAAAGTAATTAGAATAATTTAAAAAAATTAAATAAAACTTGATATAAAAAATTGTTTATTTTATATCAATTATTAATTATTTATTTATTATTTATTGATTATTATTTATTACTAATTTGTAATTATGTAGTGTATGAAAATATAATATTATAATTTATACTTTAATATATTGTACACTACATATTTGTTTATTAAAATTTTCAACAACAGATATGAATATCTACGCACGAAAAAGACTTTTTAATTTTGTTTATGTTCTAAGTAAAATGTAAATAAATTCTATTTTTAAAATAGAAAAAAATAGGGACATTGCACCAGTGAATGAACTAATAGTGTGTTCTTTGACTAATTTTTATTTTAAACAGGTAGATAAATTATTTTTTTAAAAATAGTATATTATTCTTGAATACTTTAATTTTTATAATACAATTTTTTTATATATTAGTAAAATAATACTAAAAGTAAAAAATTAATAAAAATATAAAATAAATATAAAAAGACCAGTGAATGGACGTATCGTTTGTTTCATATTTGTTTACAAAAAAAGGAACTTTTAAACAATATTAATATATTAATTTACCATTTTTTGTAAAGAATAATTTTTATATTTAATTTAAATTTAATTTTAATTTTTAAATAGGTTTTTAAATAAAGTGTTCTTTTACTGGCGCCTGTTCATTCACTGGTGCAATGTCCTAATTATAAGAAAATATTAGTTTAACAATTTACTAAAGTGAAATTTGTTTTCTCATTTATTTACATGTAAACGGTTATAAATTTGTTTAAATATAATAAAACCGTTTTTATAGACTTGTTTATTCAGTTTAGTTTCTTTTACCTTGAAATAAAAAAACTATGGTTCGTTCACATAATGATTACTGCTCGTTTTCTTTGTTTATTTAAAAGAGTGCCAAGAACTTTTGTATTTTTTTTTCTCATAAAATCTATTTTAAGTTATTCACTACATGCATTTATTTTATCACTTAAAAAAATACGACAATAAAATTATTATTGATAGCTATTTCATTTAGTCATTGTTATTTTCTTATAGTTTATTAGCTATAATTAATATATTACATTAGCTATAGTTTATTAATTTAAAAATAAATTTTCCTTTTTTTCGCAGGAGTTCTGGTGGATTTTATCTCGGTTCCAGTCACTGTCGGATTCACGTCAGCAACTTCGGTTATAATTGTAGTTTCACAATTAAAAGGTCTTTTGGGTTTGAAGATTTCCTCCTCGGGCTTTATGGACACTTTGAAAGCGGTTTTTCAAAATATCGGCAATACGAGTGTTTGGGACACGCTCATGAGTTTCTCGTGCATCATTATTCTCCTACTATTTAGAGTAATTTTCTCCAATTACGTATTTTTGGCAAATTTTTGAATATGAATAACATTAGTTTTTTTTTCTAGAAAATGAAGGATATAAGTCTCTGTGCAGGAAGTGAGAAACCAACGAAACGTCAACATGTGATGATGAAAATAATATGGTTGATATCAACTGCGAGAAATGCAATTGTCGTTGTTATTTGTTCAGTAATTGCTTTTAAAATGGATTCGTCGACAAATGGTTCGCCATTTATTTTAACTGGTACAGTACGTTCGGGTCTTCCACATTTTAGTTTACCGCCATTTTCGACAAATGTAAATAATCGTACATTAAATTTCGTTGAAATGTGCTCTGAACTTGGTCCGGCAATATTTCTTGTTCCAATTATTGGCGTATTGGGCAATGTTGCCATTGCAAAAGCATTCGCGAGTGGAAATAATGTTGATGCGACACAAGAATTATTGACACTTGGTATTTGTAATGTTCTTGGATCTTGCGCTAGTTCAATGCCAGTCACCGGATCGTTTAGTAGATCAGCGGTTAATCACGCAAGTGGAGTTAAGACACCAATGGGAGGACTTTACACTGGGGTCTTGATACTTTTAGCATTGACACTGCTCACTCCGTATTTCTATTTCATTCCCAAAGGTATTTTAATATTTCTATTTATTTTTAAATTATATATTTTTTCTCTTTTCTAGTTCTTTATTATTGAAATTTCTTATTCTTCTAATCGAATTCTATTCAATTAGAAGAATAAGAAATTTCAATGTGATGTTTAATTGGATGTGAAACATTACATAAGTGACAATTTTGGAAAATAGTTGAAAAGAATTAAATTCATTAATTTTTTAGTTTCTTTTCGAAATTAACATTTGATTGCAAGATCCCTTTTGCGACGCGTGACTTGAATTTGAATTACAAGTTTTGTAATTAATGATACTTTTTATTTTCAGCGTCGCTTGCTGCCGTTATTATTTGCGCTGTAATTTACATGATTGAATACGAAGTCGTAAAATTGATGTGGAGATCGAGCAAGAAGGATCTCATTCCTACATTTGCTACTTTTCTATTTTGTTTAATTATTGGCGTAGAGTATGGAATTTTGATTGGAGTCGCTATTAATATTATGTTCCTGCTTTATCCTTCCGCCAGACCAAAGATACACGTTGAAAAATGTATTGTGAGTATTTATTCAATTTTTTTTACACTATTTTTATTTTTAGCATAAATGAAATAGATTTTTGTATTTATTATTTTAGAAAATTTAAATATAAAAATTTTTAATTTTAAATTCTGAATAATTTTTATTCAAATTTTTTTTAAATTAGTTAAATTCTTGAATGACATATTTTTTATATATTTAATTGATAAATTTTTAAATGATTCAATTGTAAACAAGTGGATTTCAGAATTCTTTCGCAGGAGAACTTTCTTTTTTCGTTTAAATAATTGAATTTCTAAAAAATTTTCACAAAAATGGTTTAAAATGATTGATTTAGAAAAGAATTTTAGTTAAAAATTCCAAAAATAATTAAATTTTGGAAGAATTTCGTTTACAACTTTTGTAAATAATTAAATTTCAAAAGATTTCAAATAAAAATTAAAAATAATTTTAATTTTAAATTCTGAAGAAGTTAGTTTTTATTTTTAATTTTTATTCAAATTGTTTTGTTGTTGTCTTTTTGTTATCAAATTGTTTTTAAATTGTTTGAAATTTCGTAAAGTTTAGTTCTAAACAAGTGGATTTTATACTTATTATTATAGGTGAACTTTTTTTCTTTAAATAATTGAATTTTCAAAAAATTTTCTTAAAAATTATTAAAAATATTTGATTTAGAGAAGAATTTTGGTTTGAATGAAAAAATAATTCGAATTTTATGCAAGTTGGGTTCACAATTTATATTAATAATTAAATTTAAAAAAATTTCAAATTGAAATTATAGAAAATTTGAATTTTAAATAATTTTAATTTCAATTTTTAAAGAATTCAATTTTTTCTTTAAATTTCTATTCAAATTGTCTTGAAATTGTTTGAAATTTTGTAACATTAAATTTTAAACAAGTAGATTTTGAGTTTGACAAATCTTTTTTTGGTTAAATAATTGAATTTTCAAAGTATTTTTTGAAAAATTATTAAAAATAATTGATTTAAAGAAGAATTTCAGTTACAAATTTTAGAAAATAATTAAATTCTGTCTGGAAATCAGGGAAAAACAAAATCAAATTTTTGAAGCAACCCTGTTATAATAATTAATTGAAATAATTTTTTCTTCCATTATAATATGTACAAAGAACTTTTTTCGATTTTTAAAGGATGATGAAAAATTTACATAAATTTGTTTTTACTTATTAAAAAAGTTACTGTTTCTTGTTTAATTTTTTTATCATCTTCCAAAAATCGAAAACAGATTCAATGTATTTTATTATAAATTTAATTAGTAAATATTTAATTTAAAAATTTAATTAGTATTATAATAAATGTCGTAAGTTATGATTTATCTAGTCCAAGAAAAATAATGAAATGATTTCTTTATAGACTGAATCGGGTTCAGAGTACCTTTTAGTAACACCAGGTAATAGTCTTTATTTTCCGGCTATTGACTTTATAAAACAGTCGGTTGGTCACGCTGGAGTGAAACAAGGATCTAGTCAAATACCAGTTGTTGTTGATTGCCGCTATGTCTTAGGTGCAGATTTTACTGCCGCAAAAGTAAGCAACACACTTTATAAATTGATAATAATAATAATAAAATTAAATTGAAATTAGAAATTTTATTCAAAATTTTTCTTTTTTTTCAGGGAATTGCTGCATTGATTAGCGAATTTAATAGCCGAAAACAGGGGCTTTATTTTTATAATCCTCGCAGCGATGTCGTTGCTGTATTGAGAGGAGCATGCGGAGAAGAGTTTCAACATGTGTCCACTGACGATGAATTATCGTATTTATTAAACACAAGTCGAGGTAAATTAATAGCTTTTTTAAACTATTTTAATTCAATTAAATTTAAATCCTATTTTTTAATTTCATTTTTCAGTCTAATTATCAATAAATTTGCTAATATTTTTTAGTCTGGTTCTAAATTATTCTGATTTGTTTCTATTTATATTTTTGTACAATAATTTTAAAAAAATCAGAGTAATATTAATTGATATTCTTTTTCTCAATAATTTTCCTGAAATTTTCTTTCAGATAAAAATTCACAAGAGCTTTTGGAATTGAATCGCGATAAATATGAACCATTTGTAGCAAATAATCCTGAACTAACACATCGAAGTTCATACGTATCGGGACATGAATTGAGAGAAGTGAAGACGACCCTTCTACATGCAACGGGAAGTTGAAATTTTGTAATTTAAAGATTTTTCTGATTTTGTGTACAAATGGTTTTAGATTCTCTGGATCATTTATTTATTTTTTTTTCTTGTCAAACTTTATTATGATAATATTATTTTTCATCGCAATAGTCGAATTAACTCCAGACGTGTTATGCTTTATTACAAGTCTATTTAGATAACAATATTGCATCTAGAAAGTTTGATACGCATATGAAGCATTCAAATAGTTAAATATTATAAATAGTATTTCAAATGCGTACAAAAAGAAAAGATCTTTTTAACGTCTGCAAAGGAGAGAGGATAGAAAGACGAATATTTTTTTTTCTTTCATAAAAAGACGGACATTTCTTATTATTAGAATTTAATTAATAGAATCTCAAGTTTATTAAAAAAAATTAATGATATTTTAGCAGCTTTACATGACAAAAAAAAAATGAGTCTCATGCACATAGATTTGACATTTAAAAAGTATTATTTTTTTGAATTATGAATCTTAAATAAAAGGATAAGCAGTTTTTTATACTTATTTGTGAAACTTATTAGTAAAAGGCTGTGAAAAAAAATAATAATTGACCAATATTTGGACATTTTAGTGGAAAAAAAAATTTCTCATCTCACTGAAACGATCAAACTTGATGAAATAATTTGACTTGTGAATGATTAAAGAATTGCTGGTACCAATGAAAAAGTCAAATTTGTTTTTTATATCTGTTGTCAAGCGCGAGATTACACCGATACATTGTTAAAAAAAATTGAAATGATCGACGTCTTCATTATTCATTTAGATAGTAAGTTTGTTTTTTATGTAAAAAGCAAGATTTTTTTTCTCTTAAATTTTCCCATTAGCCAGTGACGCATATAGTAGGATTTAAAAAATTTTCTCCAGGCAGAAATATTTTCTAGCCATAGAATTCCTGAGAAATGAAAACACAATATTCAAATGGATTGTTTAAAGTTAAACTTTTCTAATTAATTCAATTAATTAATTTACATATATTGCATTCAATTTTTCTTTGGATTGAAAATCCATTCTTTCCTTTTTTTTTTGTTTAAAGAATAGGATTTTTTTTGTTAAACACAATAAAGTAGAGTAGAAAACTTTCTCAGTAAATTAATTTTGTCAATTAAATTGAATTAAATTCAATAAATAGTTAAATAAATAATTGAAAGTACGGAATTTATCAACAGTATTTTTTAGTAATGCAGCAGTGAAATGACTTTTTTTAATTCTTTTTTAATATAATGTATAGACTTGTTTTGACATTTTTAAGTATTGATATTATGTAATTAATATTACGAATGTTTTTAATTGCTCATTAATAATTCTGTCTCAATTTTCTATTAGGAATGCATGTAAACAAATTTTCTGAGTGTTTTAAAAGTGATTTATCCCAGATTTAGTATAAATACATAATATAATTATGTGAAAGAATGTCACACGTATGATATGAGAAAAGTCAATTTGCATTCATTTTAGATCTGATTGGCACATTAATCACTTATTATCGAATTAATTTTTAAATGTCTGCAAATAATGACACTGCCGTACTTAAGAAAGTTGACGAAAAATTTAGAAAAAAAACCCGGAAAAAATGATTTTTGTATTTTAATAATTGTAAACCAATTTGAGATATTAAAATTAATTTTGTTATTAGTACGATTACTATTAGATAATATTAATGTAATATTGATATTATTATTGATAGATATTACTATTATTATTATATTATTATTATATTATATTATATTATATTATTATATTATATTATATTATTATATTATTATTATATTATATTATTACTATTATTATTTTATTATTATATCTATTATTTATAGTATTATACAAAAACAGTAGCTGAATGATAAAAGAATAAAATTGTACAGATCATATTTCTATTTTATTAAATTTCCCTTCCTGAATAAAAGTTTTTGTAAAAAATTGCACACATTGCAAGTAAAGAAATAATTAAATTATTTCAATTTTTCCTTTAATTTCTTGCTGATATTTTTTTTTTTTTGCAGAAAAAGCGAATAATTGTTTGAAAAGAAAAGTAGATGATGAATCTTATTAAAGAAATATTAATTTATTCAATACAACATACATTACATGTACAATTCATCACCAGAGCAATAAACAATTTATTAACGCAGGCGTTTTACGATATAGTTATATTTGTGTAATTGCAATAAATTATAAGCGAGAAACATTTATTGCTGTGGTGTGGCCGTTAGTCGCTGTTAAACCGTTATTAGTAGCTCTCTTTTGCGTAGAGCCACCAAAACTGTTTTCCATATCAATTCCTTAATTCATTAAAAATATTCTTTACCTTCTTAAAGTACAAGTATACACATTAAACTATACAGATTGAATTTCTAATTAAAAGGAATTCTTAGAAATCTTGGAATATTTTAAATGTTCGCATTGAAAATAAAAAAGGGAAAAAATTTTATTACACCGTTAAATATTCCATTATCATTATAGAGATACAGATTTTTTTTCAGAGAAATCTTAATATTGTGGTTTATTAAAATGAAATATTTATCATTCGACACGATACACAGTCTTTTTATATTTTCACATTTTGTTAACTTAGAGAATAATAATTATACTAAAATGGTATTCAAAAATTGTTCTCCTCTTTTCAAAATTGTCTACGAAAATTTTAAATGTTAAAAAATTAGTAGAAATTAGACGCAAAATATTTATTTCCAACGAAATAATTTTGTAGTTGAATCAAATTTTATTCGAATCAATTTCTATATTTGAAAAAAATGCCATTGAATCAAATAATAATTTGTTGGAAAAAACATTTGCTAATTATTCAAGTTAAAAATTATTTGATTTGCTAATTAATAAAGTAACAAATAATTAATTTGCTATTTAATCAAGTGACAAATCATTTATTTGCTGATTAATCAAGTAACAAATCATTTATTTATTGTTCAAGTAATAAATTACTTGAATAAAAATTCTTCTTCAGTGTAATAATACAACAATTGCAAAGTTTATACGCAAATACAAAATAACGACGAGGTAGATTAACTTGAAAAAACGCAATTTAACAATTTTGAATTTTCTTCTGCGACTCGATAATAAATCGAATACTTAGAAAATAGTTCTTAACTATTATCATTTATTTTGAGTAGTTTTATTTGTATAAACTTATAAAAATATTGCACACATTGTGTTAATTTCTCACCAAGCCAATTCAAAGCAGGAAGTTCTCGATTTTATTGCTCTATTTCTTTTTTATTGTAATATTTTATTTCTATTTTATTGAATATTTCTCGAATCACGTTATTATAAATATTTTTGTGAATTGTTATTGTTTATTAATCGTTTCATTAATTATTTATTTTTCTCTTTTATTTATTTATTCAAAAAATTTAATGTAATTCTTATCGCAAGAATTCAATTATTTTCATAAATAATAACATTCTACGGAAGAATTAAATTGTTTATGATAAATAGTAAAATTTTTTGCAAAAATTCAACTATTTTCTATAAAATTTTAATCAAATTTCACGAGAGAATTGCATTTTTTTTCTTAATTCGTTATAATATTTTTCAAAATAATTTAATTATTTCTATAGTAAAATTCATCTCAAGAATTCAACTATTTTCAATTTTTTTTTAAAAATTCCTTGAATGAATTAAATTAATTTAGAAAATTGTAATCAAATTCTGAGAAGAATTTAATTATTTGCGAAAAATTTTAATAAAGATCAATAATTTAATGTTTAATTTCAATGATTAACAAAAACGATTATTTTAAAAACTTGAAAGAAATTGTTCATAAAATTTAATTTTTTTTCAAAATATTTAATTAAAATTATTAAAGAAACTCCATTATTTTAAAAAAATTCAAAGAAACTCTTCAATAGAATTTAATTTAGGATTTTCAAAAATTTTAATAAAATTCTTCTGAAGAATTCAATTATTTTCATAAATAATAAAATTCTTCGCTGGAATTAAATTATTTCTAAATTTTTTCATAAAATTCTTTGCGTGAATTCGATTTTCAATACATTAATTTTAAAATTGAAATTATTTTTAAAAAAAAGTTAGGAAACAAAAAAGCAAACAACAACTAACTTCAAACTGCGAACAGATTACCGGAATACAACGATTATAAGAAGATATATTTATTTTTTTATTTACTTTTATTTATTTTTTATAGACAGTTTATGCCTTTCGGCTTTAAACGTCTTCTGGATATTAATATTTTTACGTATGAATATTCATTAATTTTTTTATATTATTCATAAATATAATATTTTTGTACATGAATATTCATAAGAAAAGAAAAAAATTATTCTTTTAAAAACTGAATTTATTAAAATTAAAAAGGTATTAAAAAAATATTCTAAGAGCAAATATCAAAAAATGTTTAGTTGCTTTTTAATTAACTTTTTAAAACTTTTTGTGAAATATTCATAAAAAAAATATATTAAAAGAAAAAAAAATTATTTTTCTAGAAACTGAATTAATTAAAATCGAAAAGATTATTTAAAAAATATTCTAAGGAAAAATAGAAAATTTTCTTTTTTTAATTACAGGCTTTAAAGGAAACTCTTTGTGAAATTTAAAATTTTCGAAATTTTAGTTCTAAAATATCGAAAATGAAGAAAGAAATCTTCCTGCTAGAAACTCGATTTTATAATACTATTTGGATTTTCAAAAACTACCTTGAATACGCATGGTTTGGAAATTCGTTCGACCCTTTTGGAATCATTCACCATAAATTTGAATTTCAAATTCGCATCTCTTTTGGAAAATATTCTCGGAAAAATTCTCTAAAATGTGTTATAATAATTTCTTGCTCAAAAAATGTTATTAAATTTAGAATGGATTACTTTTTGACTTGTTCGGTTTCTTCAAATTGGATTTAAAAAAGAAATTCTTAATTTTTAGAAATTAATATATTAATATTATCACGTAAAACAATTTCTACATTAATTTCAAGAATTTACTAAAAAAAAAAAAAATTTCAAATGTGTATTAAATCAAATACTGGAAAATACTCTATTTAAACAAATCTTTTTCTGGAAAGATTCAAAGAGAAAATTAAAAAAACTAAATTAAAATTTAGATATGTACCTTTAGAGTGAGAGAATCTTTCCAAAAAAATTATTTTTTAAATATTGGATTTTTTCACACTTGAAATTTTCTGGAAAGATTAAAAGAGAAAAATAAAAACTTAAATTAAAATTTAGAAATTTTTAGAGCAAGAGAATCTTTCCAGAAAAATTCTTTTTTAAACGTTGGATTTTTTCACATTTGAAATTTTTTTCAACTGGTGATGAAAAAAATGATTTTTTTCAACATCAGTTGAAAAAATTTCAAATGTGAAAAATTAAGAGAAGAAAAAATTTTCTGTAAAGATTCAAAGTAAAAGAAGAAAAAAATAAAATAAAATTGAGGTACCTTTTTCTATCGAGAATGGTGATGAAAATAAGAATCGAACCGAACCTTTTACGTATGGGAAATAATTTTAATATAAACCCGAAAGGATGTCAGTGACTTTTCCATGCTTGGTGACAAGTGAGGAAGTTGAATTTCTCACCCCACCGACACTCTCCTTGGGCAAATGATTCCCGGAGTATTTCCCGGCATTGAACCGGTTTTTCCCGAGACCAAAAGCGTCATATGGCCTTCCGGCAAAAATGCCTGACTCGTTGGGCCTGCCAGTGAACTTGCTGCCTGTTTTCTCATAACTGAAGGAATCATGCCTCGAACCTGTTCTTGATTGTGGTATCGTTGACTTGTCATCGGATGGTGATTCCAAACGATGCTGCAACTTCCTCGATCCATTCACCTCGTCGTGATGATGCCACTGTCTTTGATCCTCGTAAAGTTCATCGTTTCGTAATTGTTTATTGCCACCGAAATAGCCACTGTAATTTAGCTCATCGCTCTTCAATTCTCTTGGATTTAATCTTTGCCTTTGCTTCTCTTTTATTTCAATATTATTGTGATGATGGGTGGATTTTTCTTTTTTCGATGATTTATCCTTGAAGAAACGTTGACCTAATATGTTCCAATGTTGTTTCTGTTCGGTTATGACAATGTCGACCATTGAATCGAGACCCTCGTCTATCCTGTCGAGGGATTTTGTGAGAAGATTCGGTGATTTTGATTCGACTTCGGTGATTTTTTTTGGAGTATAAGGTTCTAAATCGTAATCGGTGATGTAGAAGAGTCCACTGTCACTGCCACCTTGTGAGGAGCAATGATCCTTTCGTGGATGTGACACGTGATGAAATGATTCTGAACGACGCATTTTGAGATTATTCAAATTTCCGTGCGATGCGTGTCGATTGTTCGATGAACTGAAACATAGCGAGAGTATTAATTAATAAAAAGAAAGAGTAAAGTTGTTTCCACTCCTTTTGAAACTTAAAATTTAGAATTCTACAGAATTTTATTCCTTTTTCATTTTAATTTTCTAAATTTTCATTAAATTTTTTTCGAACTTTTATTTCAAATTTAAATTGAGAATTTAAAACGTATTGTTTCTATTTCTGAAGTGGCGGTTATAAAAATTCCCTGTCAATCTGATTTTTTGCGAATTCTTCTAAAGAATTAAATTTTAAATCGCTTTCTGCAGATAAATATTCAAATTGATTAAAAGTAATGAATCAAAATTAGTTACGCCAAAATGAAATTTTGAAAAAATTCTAAATATTCTAATGAAGGAAAAATATTTTCCGAAACAATTCACTAGATTAAAAATCAAAAACAAAATCTAAACACTTTGGAAATTTTGAACGTATTCTTTAATAACTATTCAGAGTAAATAGAAAAATTTTATTTTGATTTCCCTGGATTAATTTTAAAAATTTTAATAAAATTATTCAAAAATTCAATTATTATTATTAATTTTTAAACTTGTAAATAAATTACAAATTTTTAATAGAATTTCAGAAAATTTCAATTATTTAAAAAAATTTCAATTACATGTTCATAAAACTTCAATTAACTTTAATTAACTTCAATTAATTAATTCTAAAAATCCATTCTTTCAGATTTTTAAAGAAAAATTTTTCGAAACTTCAATGTGAAAAAAAATTTAATTTCAATCTTTTCAAAATTACTTAATTTAATTAAAACAATTTAATTTTAACTCTTCCGTAATTAAATTATTTTAAATACAATTTAGATCCTTCGAAGTTGTTTTTTATACTAAAAAACATGAATAAATTTAATTGTGATTCTCTATAAAAATTCAATTCGATTCTTTGAAAATTCGATTTTTTTAAAATCTCGAATGAAATTCTTTAAGAAATTTAATAATTTTCAATTCAATTAAGTTCAAAATTCTTTTATATACAAAATTTTCAAAAATTAACTATTAAAATTCTTCGCAAAGATTTAATTTTATTCATAAATAATAAAATTCTTCACAGGAATTTAATTATTTTTAATACAATTTTTTACTAAAATTTTGATAAAATTCTTTCTAAGAATTTAATTATTTTAAATACAGTTTTATATAAATTCCAAGAAAGAAATAAATTAATTTCAAAAATTTTTATAATATTTTATGAAAAATTAAATTATTTTCTAAAATTTTAATATAATGTCTAAAAATTTATTTTCTAAATGAAAAACGATTATTAAATTCAATTTCACAAAAATTAAATTAATTTCAAAATTCTTTATAATAAAAATTTTTGAAAAATTAACTATAAAAATTCTTTTATGAAAATTCAATTACTTTTAGAAATAATAAAATTCTTTACAGGAATTCAATTACTTTGAATTCAATTTTATTGAAATTCCTAGTAAGAATTTAATAATTTTAAATACATTTTTAATTAAATTCCTAGGAACAATTATTTAATAAATTTCAAAAATTTTAATAATATTCTATGGAAAATTAAATAATTTTCTAAAATTTTAATATTATTTGCAAAAATTTCTTGTAAAAATAGTATCACAAAATTTATTTTTTAAATCGAAAACGATTATTGAATTCAATTTCACAAAAATTCAATTAATTTCAAAATTCTTTAATGGAAATTTTGAAAAATCAACTATAAAAATTCTTTACGATAATTTAATTCATTTCATAAATAATGAAATTCTTTACAGAAATTCAATTATTTTCAATACAATTTTATTGAAATTCCTAGAAAGAATTTAATTACTTTAAATATCATTTTAATAAAATTCTTAGAAAGAATTTAATTATTTTCAAAAATTTTAATAAAATTCTTCAAGATAATTTAATTATTTTCTAAAATTGCAAAATTGCAAAATTTTTTCTCTAAATCGAAAACGATTATTAATATAGACAACTAAATTGAATTTTTTTCAAAGAAGTTTTTATTTTTAAAAATTTATCTTTAAAACCGCTTTTCAAATTCAATTTCTTTTGAAAATTTCAAATTGGTTTCAATTTAACTTTTTGTAAGTTGATTAAAATTAAGAACTTTAAGAAAATTATTCCAGAATTTAATTATTTAAAGTAAATCTTCTTATTTACAGAAAATAAAAAAAAATTAAGGTATTGTTTTAAAATTTATTCTGATTAAGAAAACTCTTTAAGATGAAAAAAGGCTCAAAGAGAATTTAAGTTTTTCGGCTGATTCAAAAATTTGTTTCGACACCAAAATAAAAATTTTTGTAGTAATTATAGAAATTTGATATTTTTTCAGTAATTTTTGATAAAGTTTTTTTTAGAAACATTGATTATAAAAATTTTTAAGAAAAAAAATTCTACTTTTTGAGTAGAAAAATATTTCTCTTCTTAATCGTTTATCATAAACTTCATCAATATTCAAAAAGAAATTCTGTTGTTTAATATTTTTTCTCATTTTAAGTTTCAAAAAAAAGTTTACAAAATCAGGAAAAAAAATAATAAACAAGCAAATAAATATAATATTTAAACATAATAAAAATAGAAATACCTTAAATTACCATCCGTGAACCTACTAAAATTCTGCAAACTCTGCCTCTCGTCGAATGAATTAAGACTCTCAAATTTTCGAATTTTCCCCTCAATTCTACTTCCCGATCTTCTCGAATGTGGACTCGAATTATTCGATTCCAAAAAATCGTGACTCGTCGCTCGTCTCAAAAATTTCTTCTTCTCCACTTCGCTTCGATGTCGATGATTTTGCTGTTGACTATTATTACTATTATTCTGCTTTGAAATTGATTTCGATTCTAAATGATTATTGCCAATAATTATCGATTTATCCGAAGCACTCTTTGTTCTCGTTTCACGTAAAATTTCAAAATTCTCATTCACCTTTATCTGATCGACAATTGCCGTATTCCCAGGGACTCTCGCATCGAAATTATTATTCGAATTAATTTTTCCATCATTATACTTGAGTCTAGACGCACTTAACAATGAATCACTACCATCGCCAAGTGTTTCTTCTTCAATTTCTTCATCGTGAGAATTATAGACCTCGTGATCATCGACTAAATCGCAATTTCTCACTGCCAACATAACTGATAGACACGAAGTGGTTCTTCTCGGTGGTTGTGGATGTAATATCGCCGGGACAATTGCTTCCTCAACATCGGGTCCTCTGACGACAATTTTCACACCTCTTTCTGTTGATGATTTTGAAATATGTCCCGAATCTTGAGAACTCGTTTTTCTTGATATTCTCTCCGATTTATCGGAACCAAAATAAGTGACTTGATTTTTTTGGGGGGAATTTTTTATTTCGATCGAAGTTGATTTTTTCTCGTCATTTTTCAGTGAATTGTGAGCATTGACTTTTTTTAAGTTGGTTTGATTTTGGTCTTCGAATTCTTCCTCGGCGTCTTTGACGATTATTCTCAATTCCTCGATAACGTCGTCTATTGTCGTCTCTTGATCGTTGTCGGGTACAATTTCGTTTTGACGATGTTTTAGTTCTTCGGGACTGCTGGATCTTTCCGAGGAACTTATACCCTCGTCTTCGGCGTTCGACGAGTGCTTTTGATTATTTGTCTTGTCGATAATTTTCGATCTCTCTTGACTATTATTATAATTGTTCATTTTTTCGAGTTGTAATTTTTGCAATTGTCCCTGGAGTATTGTGATTTTTTTACTGAGAATTCGACAAGTCTCCTCGGAGCGTGTAACGCGTCTCTGCAATGCCTCAACGTCCACGCAATTTTGGCTCCACTTTTGAATTTCTTTGTGTAAAATATCAGCCAACGCATCTTCCTCGTGACCATCAATTTCCTTTAGCCATTCTTGTAGTACTTGAGGCTCCAAACCTGCTTCGCATGCTTCTGTCTGGAATTCGAATATAAATTACAGTTCATTATTAATTTTTTTCTTTTTTTTTCTTTCTGGAGGGAGGGATATTTTAGTCATCAAGATTTGTTGATGGATTCTGAGAATGTTTGGAAGTTTCGGAGAAAATTGATGAGGCGTCAAAACGACTCTCTCGACATTTCAGAGAAAAGAAGAAGAAAAAAATTGAATTTTTTATTCACGACGAGATTGATTTGAAACTTTGATTTAAGGAGATTAAGACTTTTCAGGGTGGATCATAAATTATATACCTACCTGAATATATAGCCTGGTTTGTGTTCGCGGAGCAGATTTGAGAAAGGCATTCAAGAATGAAATTCCAGCGACTCTTAAAGCCATCGCAGCTCTCGGTGCCAATAAAGCTCCAGCGAGGAACCTAAATCTTCCTCCTTCAGCATATCTCAACCTCAGAGTGGAAACTGCCTCGGAAACTGCTGCATGCCCTCCGGGAGACTGACAGACTTTCGTTAACAGCTGAAAAAAATTTCTCATTTTATTTATTTATATACAAAACACTTTTCCTTTTTTATTTTGCCTTTCTCTATTTTTCCCTTCTTTATTTTCCTCTTCTTCTTCTATTTTTTTTCCTTTTCGAGTAGATTTAGATTTTTTTTTAAATAAACAATAATAATAAATTTAATTTTAATATTTTAATAAACAGATTTAGATTGAACGATTCGTATTGAATTTTTTTATTTGAATCGAAAGTATTGTAATATTGAATAAAAAAAAAAAGAATTGAAAAAATTTGACCAAATCGAATAGTTTTTTTTTTTTTGAACAAAGGTAATGGAAAAAATGTTCAGAACCTCGTTTAAATACTAAATGTATATTGAGATTACTCTATTCCAAACTACTTCCTCGTTTGTAATCATAAACATAGAAACTGGTTCTACAACTCTCCGAAATAACAGATTGAAAGCTATATATGAATTCTTTGTGGGAGTTTTGTAATATAATTTCCATCAGAAATGTCACGACTTAATTACTGTTTTGGACATAAACTAAATTTATAATTTACTTTTATTTTTTTTTCCAAATGAAGAAATCTTTTACTATAGGCAAATTAAAAATCGAAAAGTCATTGATCACAATCTCCTAGGAAGAAACCTCATTAAAATTAATTATTTCTAAACAAGTAAATTAGAAAAATTAATTATTCGTAAAAAAAATTAGAAAAATTAATTATTCGTAAATAAAAAAATACAAAAATTAATTATTCGTAAATGAAAAAATTACAAAAATTAATTATTCATAAAGGAAAATTACAAAAATATTGCAATAAAAAAAATTTTAATAAAAATAAGAGCGAAATAAAAATAATATTGTGACAAAAATAATATTGTAATAAAAATAAGATCCAAATAAAAATACATAATATTGTAACAAAAAAAAAAAATGGTAATAAAAATAATATTCTAACAAAAAAAATTGCAATAAAAATAATATTGTACCGAAAATAATATTGCAATAAAAATAATTTTTTAATAAATACAATATTTCAATAAATAAATCATTTCGATAATAAAATCCAAAATAAAAATATTTTTAAAAGTAAAAAACAAAAAAAAAAAAAGAAAATTAAATTGGCAAAAAAATTGGACAAAAAAAAATTGTTGGACCGACAAAATGATGAAAAATTTGTTTTGTTATTAAAATTTCGAGACGGAGAGTTATTATATTGTAATATTGTTTTCTTTTTTATTCTCTCGCTTCACCTGCAGTGCCAAAACTCGGGACCGGTTTAGACTGCTGGTTAGACAGACGGCCAGAGCCAATAAACCCGGTTGTGCTTGAGCTAAGAGTCGGGGAGCATCGGCGCATCTCTCGCCACAGGCTGCCAAACACTCGACACATCCCAACTCATCTAAAGCGGCTCTTCTTGTGCCGACTCGTGGTCCAGATTGGCCCGAAGGTGGTGATGCTTGCGCCAACTGAACACCTCTCAGGGTCTCGAGCAGTAAAGTGATTCCTTCGGCTGGAGGTGATGCGAATTCCTGCACAAAACTGAAACATAATAATTGTTTTTTTCGTGAAATCATTAATTTACTGTAATTTGCTGGAAAAAAAATCATTATTATTATTATTCTTATTTTTATTATTATTCGACATTCAATATTCTATTTTTTTTATTAATTTATTTAGTGTTTTATCATTTATTTTTCATTTCTTCTATTTTTTTTATTTACTTCTTTATTATTATTTATTATTATTCAATTTATTATTATTATGCAAATTATAAAATTTGTTATTCTTAAATATAAATTTTTGAATAATTTCATAATCAAAATTAAAAAAAAACCACTTATTAAGTACATAATTAATTATTATTGTTTGTATTTTCAAAAATTGAAATATAATTCAATGATTTTCATAAACATTCTTTGAAAGAATTAAATTATTTTTATAAATAGTAGTAAAATTTATTGCAAAAATTCAATATTTAAAAAATTTTTTTAAATCTTTCGTAATAATTCAATTATTTTTATAAATAGTAAAATTCTTTTCAAAAATTAAATTTTTTTAAACTTTTAATAAAATTTCACGAAAGAATTCAATTATTTTCTAAAAGTTTTAAAAATCCTTCTTGATAATTCAATTATTTTTATAAATAGTAAATTTTTTTGCAAAAATTCAATTTTTTAAAATCTTTTAATAAAACTTCGCGAAAGAATTCAATTTATTTTTTAATTCCTTATAAAATTTTTCAAAAGAATTCAATTTATTTTCTAAAATTTTTAAAAACAACTTCGTAATAATTCAATTATTCTTATAAATAGTAAAATTCTTTGCAAAATTTCAAATATTTTTAATACAATTTTAAAAATATTTCATGAAACAATTTAATTTATTTTTAATTTTTAACAAAATTTTTCGAAAGAATTCAATTATTTTCTATATTTTAAGGAAATTCCTAAAATAAATGAAATTTGAAAGAAATTGTTCATAAAATTTAATTATTGTCAAAATTTTTAATTAAAATTATTAAAGAAACTCCTTTAATAAAAAAAAAAATTGAAAAAATTCTTCAAAAGAATTTAATTAGGATTTGCAAAAATTTTAATAAAATTCTTGTCAAAAATTCAATTATTTTCATAAATAATAAAATTCATCAGAGAAATTCAATTATTCTCAAATTTTTTGATAAAATTCTTGTCACGAATTCAATTATTTTTATAAATAATAACATTCTTCAGAGAAATTCAATTATTCTCAAATATTTTTTGATAAAATTCTTGTCATGAATTTAATTATTTTCATAAATAATTTTCTATTTCTGGTTTTTATTCTTATTAATTTTTTTCCTATTTCTATTTTTTTCGCACTCTTTCGATTTTTTTTTATTATTTTTTTATATTTTTTAATTTTTATATTTTCCTATTTCTATTTTTCATTCTTTCTTTTTTTATTTTTGTTCTTCATTCTTTTTAATTTTTTTGATATTTCTATTTTTCCTTTTTTCCATTTTTATTTTTCATTCTTTTTAATAATTTTCCTATTTCTATTTTTCATTTTTTCGATTTTTTTTACTATTTATTTGTCATTTTTCACTCTTTCTATTTTTTTTATTACTCATTTTTAATTTTCTCTTTTTTTAATTAGAATTTATTTTTAATTTTTCATTTCTTCAAAATTTTTCTTTCTATTTCTGTTTTCGTCAAATAATTACGTGATTCATAATGTTCTGAAGTAGGAACGAAATTTTTTGACGAGATAAAAAATTTCAAAAATTATCGAGTTCAATAAAAACCAAAAATTTAAATTAATTTCGAGTTTTTATAATTTGTTTTTTGATACGTTTTCCAATATTATAAAAATAAAATTTAAATTTGAAGATGAAATAAATAAAATTTGTTCATTTGAATGCTTATCAGAACTGTAAGAACTTAAATAATTTTATTAAATTCCATTTTTAAAAAAATTCTCCATTTTTCTTCCAATTGAAAATTAATCCGTTAATTTTCATTTTTTTTTCTTTTTCTCTTTTTTAATTTCATTTTCCTGAAATTGAAAGAAATTGACGTCAATTTCTTTATCAAACCAAAAAATAGTCAATCAAGTTGTAAACTTCTATTGCTTTAATAATTTAAATTTTTTATACGATTCAATAAATAAAAATTCAATAAAAAAAATATTTATCTACCTAATAAAATATAGTTTTTAAGGTTTGAAATATAAATTTAAAATTAAAAAGTTTTGAACAATGAAAATAATATAAATCAAATATAATGAAATTGTCAATTTCTAATTTTCGAATCGAAATAAATTTAAATGAAGCATTTTCCCTCGTTTCCTAGAAAAGGAAATTTTATAATTTCGTATTTAATCTTTTAACACTAAAAAATTAAAATTCAATAATTACATAAATTATTAATGTAATAAACAATTAGATAAGATAAAAAAATATTAAATACCATCGAAAGAATTTGATTTCTAATTATAAAAAATAAAATTAAAATATGTTAATTCAAAGATTTTAATTTTAAATAAGAGTTCGAGAGACTAAATTTAATGATAAAAATCACATACATGAAATCTAATCATTCAATATGAAAGCATTTGAATCTTGTTTAAAAAAGATGAATGACAAAGACAGTGTTTTCTGTTGCGAGACAATATTATTTCGCAACGGCATTTCACTCTCTCGTATATTATGACTTATGCTTTTCGATCAAGTTTATTAAATATGAAATGTTTCTATACCTTAACAAGCGGGTATTTTTAGTTTTTTCTTTTTTTTTTTTTTGCGCAACTTGAGTACCTTTTGTTTTACAAAGAAGGTCAGTTGTCAGTAGGAATTACACTTGCAGGTAAAAAAATATCAATTCTCATTAATAAAAAATAAAAAAACTAGACATATATTAAAGTCCGGTAATTACAAACTATAAATTACATTCTCAAAAAAAAAAAAAAAAAAAATGAATAACTTTACATCTTGTATTTTAATGTTCCTTGTATGATAAGAAAAAGAAAAATCAAATTTTTAATGATGTTTTTATTTTTCTTGAAATATTTTTATACTTTTCTTTTTGGTTTATTTATTTATTTCAATATAAACGGACAAGAATTTTTCATTAATTTTTCATTTTGCAAATTATTAGAGAATTTTCATCGTAAAAAAAAATTGAAAACGTAAAGATTTGATTTTAAATAAAGAATATTTTTTTACTTCTTTTTTTATAAAACGAAAATTATTTTCCCTCGTGAAATTTTATAATTTTGTATAAAGTTTTAACACTGAAAAATTAGAAATTGAAAAATTGCATAAAAAGAAGAATTCTACGATAAAAAATACTGTGACAATAATTTTACTATTTGGAAAAAATACGTTATGGAAAAAATACGCATTGGCAAAAAATACGCCATGGAAAAATTATGCCATGGAAAAAATAAGCTATAGAAAAAATACGTATTGGTAAAAATACGCTATGGAAAAAATACGTTTTGCAAAAAAAATGTTATGGTAAAAATATGTTATGGAAAAAATACGCTATGAAAAAAATACGCCATGGAAAAATATCTTCGACAGGAAAAATTTTATTATGGAATAATTTACTGTGGAAAAATTTCTTATGAAAAAATTTATTACGAAAAAATTGATTAAGAAAAAATTAACTAGGAAAAAAATGCGCTATGAAAAAAAAAATTTCCAATAATTAAACACGAGAAATGTGAATTATAATATTTCAAGCGTGTAAAGCGAGAATTTGTGGTATAATTGACATTCTAGTTTAAAAAAAAGAAGAAAAAAAAAGAAAAAGGAAAAGAAAAAAATTTGAAGAAAACTTGTACGATTAATAAAGAGCGTTACGAGGTATTTAATGTCACCATTAAGAGATGACTTGTGACACAGATATTCACCTGCAAGGATAATCAAAGTTTCTTAACGATCCTCTTTACGTTTGGTATCTACCCTTGTTTGAAATAATTCTTACACACTCTTTATTTTTGTATATATTGCACTATCTTTAATCTACACCGCCTTGTAAATATCTAACCACCCTCTTTCACTATAAATTAAAAATTATTTCTCCTGTTACATTGCCTCTTTGTAAATAAATAGTAGTCTCTCATATATATAAAGGGAGAATGAGCTTTATTTATGAATCTTATTTGCGACCATCTTAAGCCACAAACATTTTTCAGGAGATTCACCATATTTTATCATTCTGTTTTTCTTCATTTTTTTCTTCATTTTTTATTCAATTTAAAAAATTTTTTTCTTGTCTTTCTTCTTTTTTTTAATTAATTATCGAAAAAGCAATCATCTAGAATTTTATTTCTTTTTTTTGTTATTATTTTAATAATTTCAATTTGGTAATAAATTGTCAAAGGATTATTTATTATTAATTTTTATTATTATTACATAAAAATAAAAAACATTAAATTATTTATTTGTATTGTTTTCTTTTGTCCTTTTGATAATAAATTTTGAAATTATTGATATTTTAAAAACCAAAAATTGAGCAAAATAATATTTTCTCAACTTTTTTGTTTAAAAATGTTTGTTTAACTATTAAACTATTATAACTATCTTGTAGGGTATTTAAAAATACATTGATTTACCCAAGATTCAATCACTTTTACCATATTTATAAAAAGTTATTCATATATTCATATAAACCCTTTTAAATATTTGTAACCGCAGTGGGAAACCAGCAGAAGATGAAAATTGTCTTAAAAAGAAGTTTAAATTAATTTGCTTTTAATTTTAATTACTTTTATAGACTGTGAACAATCTATATTGATGCTAGGATGTTGCTGAACAACATTTTGAAGGATAAAAAATTTTCTTGCAACTTTTAAACACTTTTGAATATTTGTAACCACAGCCGGAAATCATCAGAAGACCAAAATTGTCATAAAAAGAAGTTTAAATTAATTCCTTTCAATTTTAATGATTTTTATAAACTATAAACAATCTAGATTGATGCTAAAATGTTACTGAACAACATCCTAAAGGATAACAAATTTTATTGAAACTTTTAAATAAAAAAGTTTTTTAA